CCGCCCCCCCCCGCGGCGCGTGCCCGTATCAGAGGAGACAGCTACCATGACCGCGGGAGGGCAATATCAGCCCAAACTGCCCAACCCAAAAATGACGTAGCCAACGCCAAAGGCCCGCGCGTCACTCAAGCCGCTCACCCAGGCACGGAGCCGAGGGACGGGAACGGCGACACGGGGTGTGAGGAGGGGGGAGGGGGGGGGGAGGAGAAGAGGGGAAGACGTACCAGGGGTCAATGAGCACACGAGTGTTCTCGAACGAGTAGATGTAGCCGGCTTGGCCGAGGAAGAGAAGCTGGGGAACGGGGGCATGGCGACGGTCAAAGAGGGCACCGTTGCCTCGAGGGACAGAGCCACCTCTTGGAGCATCCCATACAGCTGCTGCACGGCTCGCCGCGTTTCCACACTGGCCACCTTGGTGGAGAGACCACCGCCGGATGTCCACAGCAACTTTGGCTGCAAGTCCAGCAACAGATGCCGCGGTAAACGCTCCAAAGGCCGCAGCGCTCATCGCCAACTGCAAGCGCGAGAAAAGTGGGTGACTCGCGGCTCTCTTGCCCAAGCCGAAGCCGATGCTGCTCCCCCATCCGCCATCCGCCGGCTGCCAGGCCGTATCCTCCTCCATCAATCAACTGTCATCCGCTGTCTGCTCCCCACCTCCTGCCGACAGCCAAACTCTGGCAGCCGCCTCCAGTCGCGATCGTCTCGGTGTCGTCACCATCTCAAACACTCTCCCCATACACATCGCAAGCGAAATAGATCAAAGCCAGGAGCGGCAGCCATGACTGTCCCACGCTTCGCACCCACCGCTATTTTGAGTATCACCCTCTCTCTCTCTCTCTCTCTCTCCCGCTCGATCGCTCGCTCTCCCCCAGCCAATGCTCCGGCTCGTCGGTTGGCAGGCTGGAGCAACACCTCACCGTGAGCACGCCACATGGCTTCGACGCGCCGGAGTGTATCGTTCGGCACGGGGCTACCTGGCGGGTCCAAGACGTTCTACGAGCTCGACGCGACGGTTGTTCATCCGCCAGACTACATTCTGCCGCGTATCCCGCTGTTGGCTGTCTACGGTGCTGCGTACCTGCCATGCATGCCTGTCCTTGCCGCCGCTGTCTCTGACGCCCCGAGAGATGGGCTGCTTGATCTGGGCGTACCGGACGATGTCATCGAGGCCATGGAGAGATACGCGGAGAGCAAGGACATCGAGCTGTGTGGAGCACTTGATGTGGCCGTCATTCTGCATGCCTCGCCTATCCGCCAAGAGTGCCAGAAGTTTGTCTGCTCGTCCACGGCCGAGATCAACATGATGTACCACTTGTGGGCTCCTGCTGAGCCCATTGCGGCCATCACGCCTGAGATCCTCTTCACCATCCCGCTTGCTATGGGAGTATTTCATCCCCACCTTGTCCTCCCTGCCCATCTGGATCTGCTCGACGCCGGCATCGCCTTTGGCGCTCTGGAGGAACGATCGGTCGTCATTCACGACACCTGCTTCTCGCCCGAGAACGCCATGCTCGCGCTCGACGACGCTGCTGCTGCGCCAGAGATCGGTGACGACATCGCCTGGTTCTGGTCTGCTGCCGTCTCCTCCTCCGGCCGCGCCGTCGCCGTCCGCCACTTTGTCCCGCTCACCGACGCCGCAGAACGCCGCCTCACCACCGCCATCCCCAGCACCTTCCCAATTCCATCTCCTCCCCATACTGCCCTCGCTGCCGCCATCGCCGCTCTCCGCCCCATCCACTCTGACCTTGCCGCAGCCTTTGATCCCTTCCTCACCCTCCATCCACCGATGCAACGCCTTGAACCCCTTGATCTGCCACACCCAAGCCCCCATCCGCCCCTGTCCTCGCCGGTAGCCCCACCACGCCGCCATCGCCGCCATCGCCGCCACCTCACCACCCTCCCCACCCACCCACCGTCCGCGACCACCACCACCACTAGCCAGCACCACTCCACCCACACCCTCCACACCCTCCACACCCCCACACACGCACGCACACACACACGCACACACGTGCACACACACCTGTACCACCACTGTCGGTGTACCAGGTCCCCCCCCCCCACTATGCTGGTATGTCGACCTTGACCTGCCCCCCTCCTCCCCCCCTACCCCCCTACCCGCTGCAAAATATTGTACTCACAAAACCCCCACCCGCACACACCACGCCCGTAGGCATCCACAACGGCAGCTGCTACGCCGCGCCCGCTGGTGGAATTGGTGCGTGAAGCGGTCGATGGTGCGCCGCAGACGGCAAGGGGCTTGGCTGGCTGGCTCCTCCTCTCGTACTTGATCTCGCTCCTCTCGGGCGGCGCTACCTGGCTGGCGCTCATTCCGGGCAGAACCATTCCGCCGCATCTTTATGTTTGGAACCTCGTGACGGCGCCGTGGATTGAGCACTCGCTTGTGGGAGCCATCGTCGACGCTACCGCCATGCTTGTGATGGGCGGCGTCGCCGAGAAGCTCTGGGGCCGCACAGAGTTCATCCGCTTTGTCGTCATCATCCCCTCGCTCGCCAACGTCGTCACCTTTTCTTTGTCGTCTTTGCCTACGCCGTCGTCGGCAACGAGTCCATGCTCTTTGCCCTCCTCGGCGGCTTTACCGCAGGCACCGGCGCCCTCGCTGTCGTCCTCAAGCAGATACTCCCCGAGCGGCCCATTCCCATTTTTGCCTCGTTTCTCCCGCCGTCGTCGTCGGGTCCGGCCTTCGCGCTCGTCACCTCCCGGCCGCCTTTCTGGTCTTCAAGATCCTCGACGCCGCCTTCTTCTCGCACTCGATGCTGACCCTTGTCGAGGGCGCCGCAGGCGTCGTTGTCGCATGGACCTACCTCCGCTTCTACCAAAAGCACGACAACGGCGTCCGCGGCGACTTTTCCGACTCGTTTGCCTTTGCCTCGTTCTTCCCCGACGCTATGCAGCCTGCGCTCTCGGCTGTTGGCGCCATCCTCTTCCGCGCCCTCGTCGCTTGCTCCGTCTGCACCCCGCGCGCCTCCATGGTCGACTCCACCGGCGAGTACCAGGCTGCCACAGACCCGGCCGGCTCGCTCTTCCACCTCGCGCCCCACGCCCATGGCTCAGCTCCGTCCCTTCCCGGCCACGCCACCGCGAACGGCACCTCGAGCCACATCTCGCCGCCCTTGGTCCCTGCCGCCACAGATCCCGGTGCGTCCTCCGACGTCGTAACTGCCGAGCGCCGCCGCCAGACTGCTCTCAAAATCCTCGAGGGCCGCCTCGAGCGCATGGCCGCCGCAGAACAATCGTAGGCTACTGCCGCTTCTGCTACTACTACTGCTGCCACTCCTCCCCGTGCTCCCGCTCGAGCAAAGTAACACGCCGTTGCCCCTCCTGTCGTCCTCGCGCACACTCGTCTCGCCATGCGGCCTCTTGCCGACCTCGCCGCAGCGCTCAACGCCGCTTCCGTCGCTAACCCCAGCTCGGCTCCGACTGCAGCTGTCGCGCTTATTCTCTGCCCTCCCGCTGCTAGCAACGCGTCGGTAGATCTACTCTTCATCGTCCGCGCCGACAATCCTGACGATGCGTGGTCGGGCCATGTGGCGTTTCCCGGAGGACGGACGTCTGTCGATGACGCCGGGCCGACCGCCACCGCCATCCGCGAGACGTATGAGGAGATCGGGCTTGATCTGAGCAACACGGCGGCGTTTGCTTGTCTCGGACCGCTCCCGCGAGTCCACGTCTTTCACTCACGACGCATTGCGCCTGTCGTCCTCGACATCGAGCCTGTGGTCTTTGCCTCTGGCCTCCCCGCTGCCCGGCTTGTCGACGACATGGTCCTCGAGCCGTCCGAGGTCCGCGCCGTCCTCTCTGTTCCGCTCACGGCACTCACCAACGTCGATGCCGTCTCGCACATTGCACTCCCGCTGCTCTCCATCTTTGCATTTGTCGACAACCTGCTGCCGGAGACGCTCTGGCGCGAGGCCGGGCTCGACGCCCCACTCTTTGGCCGCCTCGACCTCCACACGTGCGGCGCACAAGTGCTCGCGCTGGTAGGCGGGCGGTATGTTCTTGACAAGGCCAGGCCTATGCTCTGGGGCATCTCGCTTCGCATGGTCATCGACCTCTTTCACATCCTCGACGAGGCCTTTGACGACTGGCCGCGCCTCCACGTCACCACACACCCGCTCTTCCCGCACAACAAGCCAGCACAGCTGCTTCTGACCTGGCTCATGTACACTCTCCCATCCCAGGGCTCGCCTCATCCGCGCATCACTAAGATGGACGCCATCGCAACCGCAAAGCCAGTCATTGCCCTCCTCATCGCCATGGCCCATTGGTTCTCCACCCGGACCGAGTCCAAGCTCTGAATAGCTCGGCACACTGCGTTTACATCGCTAGCGCTAGTCGAGCGCCGCAAAGTCGTCGTAGTCGTCGTCGTAGTAGTACTCTGAATCCGAGTTTGAGCCCGCGCCCGGTCCATCGCCGACCGCGTCGCCGACGCCGCCACCGCAGGATGCGCCCGCTGCGGCCTTAGCCGCTGCCTTGGCCGCTGCACGCGCCACCTTGGCCGCCCTGCCGGCTTCAGACTTGGCAGCCTTGCGCGCCTCAGCCGCTGCCGCCTTGGCCGCCACGTACTGTGCCTGGGTAATGATGCCACGGGCGCCGGCAGCAAGCAGCTCACGGAGGTAAGGCTCGTGGTCGGGTGCGCCGGTGGCACGCGCGCGCTGCGCCTCGGTGTCGACGTTGAGGTTGGCGTGCTCGTGGAGGGCGGCGGCAAAAAAGTCGTACCCGCGGTACCAGTCGGAGATGTCGCCGCGCCGGCGCTTGTACAGCTCGCGAACGCGCGGGTCCGGTGACGCGCGGAGGATGTCGGTTACATGCGCTCGGAGGAACTCCCACGCTGACGACTGTGGCTGCAGCGCCTCCATGTCGATCAGCGTCCCGTTCATCGCCAGCGAGCCCTCGAGGAACGTCCTGACCCAGTCCGAACGCTCGAGCCCGACCCACAACGGCTGCTCTTTGTACACCCGCGGGTACGAGGCAAGGAGGAACTGCTGAAAGTCCTCCAGCGCCCAGTGCCGCGCCCCGACCGCCACGCCAGCCCGCCGCGCGCTCTCGGGTCCGTACGTCAGTGGATGTGGTGCCCAGGTGAATGGCTTGAGCTGGAGCACGCCGGCGCGGAGCGTCAGCACCGCACCCTCTTGCATAAAAGCGTCGTCGAGGTTCGGCGCCGAGTGCAGCGAGATGACACTCGGAAACGCCCGCGAGGGCCCGGGCTTGCCGAGCTGGTACCCGCGCCGCCGCGGGACGTAGTGCGACCGCACCATGCCGAGCAGCGAGTTCGTCGCCAGAAAGTAGTTGACCGCACGGTGGCTGACTTTTTTGGCCACCGCCGATCGCGTGGCCGGTCGGAATGCGTCCTTGCCGTAGCTCTCCAGCAAACCGCCGGAGATCTCGTAGCTGGTGCACGGCCCGAGGTTTGCGAGGTTGTACATCAGTGACGGCTGCGAAATGTCGATGCCGCCCGTGTCGTTGGCCGGCGCCCGCCGCTGGACCCACGGCGAGGCGTGCGTCAGCGTCAGCGACGCCACCGACCGGCTCGACGACCGCCGTGACGCCGCGAGCTCCGCCGTCCACACCTCGCTCGCCATCTCGTTCCACAGCAGCTCGCGCAGCCGCGACGTCATGACCGAGCGCCCAGTCCCCAGATCGTCGCTACGATTCACACTCTCAACCGACTCGAGGCTCGGCAGGCTCGACGCCGGCCCGCCGTGGCACGCAAACAGCCGCACGCCCGCAGACTCGGACTCGAGAACCGCCGCCACCGGCAGGGCCTCGTACGTCGCCACCAGCGCGTCAAACACCATTGCGTCGTCGCCCTTGGCCCCGCCGTACTTGGCAAGCACTTCGTCACGGACCCCAAGCGCGGTCGCAGCCTCGCCAGACTCCATCGCCCCGCGCAAGAGCGTCACCTGCTCCGGGTATCGCACCTTGGCTGCAAACAACACCAGCGTGGTCTCGATCGACGTAGTCGAATGCGTCCCATAGTTGCCAAGGAACACCATCGACACGCCCGAGCGCAGCAAGCTGTCCAGCGAGCCAGCCTGGGGACTTCCGGATGCATCCACAAGCGCCGGCAGGTCGTACAGGTGACCGTGCAAGTCGCCGACCACAACCAGCGGCTCGTGGACTGTCACAACGTTGGCCTCGGACGCAGCCAGCGCGCGTGTGCGCTCAAGCAACGCAAATGCGTCGGCAACCTCGAGCTTCCCACCCTGCAGGAACCAGTCGAGAAGGGGGTCGATGCGCGGAGCGCTCAACTCGCCGCCCTCAAAGGCCTCGGCCCGTGGCAGCGGGCTCGTTGGCGCGCCGGTCAGCAGTGTCAGCGTCCGCCACCGTTGCGGCTGGTCAGGATCAGGCTTGGACGGCGGCCGCGAGCGCATGCCAAAGGAGGCGAGCGTCCGCGCCGGGTCCTTCATGTGAAACCCGTTGGGCGCATAGAGCCGGACCCGCGAGACGTCCAGCTCAAAGGCCTCGGCCACCTGCCGCCGCACCACATACACGGTGTCGCTCAGCCGGGCACGCAGCGTCGCGTTGGGCCACGACGGGTGCTGAAAGGCGACAACTACGAGCTCGACACCGTCGGTGGAGGCCCGAACACGCCCGGGTGCGTCTGGAAAGTGGCCTGAGACTGGAGAGTCGGTCGCCGGCTCATACAGCCGCATGAGGTCGTCATCGTAGTGGTCGTCGAGCTCGCCGGCCGGCGTGAGCACCCCGGTCGCGCCCTCGCTTCCAGACGGCTGCGGCTCTGGCAGCGGCTCGAGCTCCGCGTCGTCAAAGACCTGGCCTGAGTAACCGAGCGCTGAGAGCCACTCGGCAAAGTCGATGGCTGTCCGCGACGAGTGGTCCTCAAGGTAGTCAAGGAGCTCGGCACGTTCGACCGGCGTGAGCACCGAGAGCCCGCGGTCTGACGTGATGCCCTTGTTCATGGCGAGCCGCACAGCGTCGATGGTGCCAAATGAGCCCATGGTCGCCTTGGGTGCGCCCCGATAGCCGAGCGAACTGAGGACCGAAATGAGATCCTTCTCCGAGACCACGCCGTCGCCATCGCTGTCGAGGAGCTTAAAGGCCTCGTGGAGAACACGGAACTTGGCGCGCGCCGCATCCTCAAACACCTGGCAGAACTCCACAAACGAGACCTTGCCATCGTCAGACGCTGCGTCGACCTTGGTGTGGAGCCGGTGCAAGACACGCTGGACATGCTCCGGGTCGTGTGCAAAGCCATGCCCGACCGCGTAGTCGCGGACCGCATCGACGGTCACGTACCGGTCGTTTGTCGAGTCTAGCTTGCGGAACGCCGACGCGTACCGCCGCAGCGCCTCTTCCGAAAGACCCAGTGTCTCCAAAAGAGCGTCTTCTTTGGCCCGCCGCGCCCGCCGCGCGAGCTCACCGCTCGAGTACGAGTACGAGTACGAGTACGAGTCCGAGTCTGAGCCCGAGCCCGAGCCCGAGCCCGAGCCCGAGCCGTCGTCAGCCACCTCGGCTGCTGGCTCGGGCTCGCTGCACCCGGTCTCCTCCGACGACGTCTCTTCTGACGACGTCGATGCGTGGCTCCCGTTGTAGCTTGCGATGGTGGCGGCGTGGTCAGGCTCGATGTCGGGAACAGCGACATGGGCGTGCTCGGGTGTCTCCACCTCGTCCGATGACTCGGACTCGACCAGCGTCGGTCTAAACGCCGTCGGCGCCACAACAATGCCTGGAGCCACGGCGTAGACTCGCTCGCCACTCGCGTCAGACTCATCGATGTCGGCCAGGCTCGCCGCGACGTCCGGCGGCAGGTCGCCGGTCGATCCGCTGGCGTGCGACGACGAGTCATTCTGCCGCCGCACATGTCGCCGTCGCCGTCGCCGCCGTCGCCGCTTACCAGACTCGGCATCGACCGACTCGTCGTCCTCGACCTGATCATCGGCGCCATCTCTGCTGCTCGATGCGTCACGGCTTCGGCTCGTCGACCGCCGACGCTTCTTGCGCCTCCTCTGCCCCGACTCTGCCGCGGCATTGCCACCATGCTGTTCATCACCACCATCTTGCTCGACTTCTTCTGTCATAGCGTCTCCACGGCGAGCAGCACGACGGCGGGTTGAGGTCGAGCGCAGGATCTCGACACCGTCATCGTCTATCGGCCGGGCATCGCCGACGCCCGAGTCAGGAGAGACCCTCCCGCCCTCCATCAGCATCTCGTCCGAGCTGTCATCAGCACCGATTTGAGACTTCTTCTTCTTCCTCCTCCTCCTCCGTCTGCGAGGCGGGAGCGGGTCACGCGGCGAGAGGCTTGACCGCCCTGGGCGAGTTGCCGAGTCGGACTCTGGCTCCAGCACGGTACCGACATGCGGCTCCTGGGTAGAGACATCGGCGAGGTCCTCGTCCCCACTAGCATTTCTACTGTCGTCTGTACATGCTGATGTATGGCTCTTGTGGTCTTTCTTGTCATCTTCGTCGTCGCCGTCCCAGCCGTCATGTCGCCTCCTCCTCCTCCTCCTCCGACGGGACTCGCCATGGCCACCGTCATGGTCCGCGCTGGTGTGCTCCGAGTCAGAGAGAGGAACAAGAGAGTCATGGTTATTATGCTCGGTATGTGTATGGCGGCTATAGCTCTCGGGAGCACCAGAGGAAGGCTCAGCTTCAACTTCTTCCCCTCCCCGCTCTCCTCCTCGCCTCCGACGTCCCCTCCGTTTGCGCCGCACTACCTTTTGCTCAGACATGGAGAAATCAAATGAGAGAGACCTGACGACTTTCGGTTTCGGCTGCCGCCGGCCGAGCGGAGCTTGGCGGGGCCGGGGAGTGGGGGGTGGACTTGTGGGTATGAAAACAGATGTAGGCGAGGACGGCAAAGGGGGGGGGGGAGGGGGGAGGGGGGGGGGGCTTCATTGCCACTGGCTCACATGTAGTGGGCTATCGTGCTGGGATCATGAGACCAGCGGTTGCCGCCGCGAATCGGGGTGGCGTCGGCGACGTCATCGTCCGAGTCGATAGCGGGACGGAGGCGGGTCCAGGCCGGAGCGGGTGTGGTGGCAAAGGATGACGACGCAGTCGTGGTTCGCGGCCGTGTCGGCGGTGGGGAGGATGGACGAGGGGTGGGCGCGGGATCGGGCTGGCGCCAGGGCGTCGCGGTGTTAGCCCGGACGGCACGCGGAGTCATGATTGTTGGCGTGGCGAGGAGCTCGTCGAGATCGGGCGTTGGATACTCGACTGGATGCGAGTGCTCGAGATGCAGCAGGTGGTCGTTGTCGTCGAGGACAAAGACATTGGGCGCGTGGTGCATCGAAGCGTTTGTGGAGCCATGAAGAGCATCGATGGCGGCACGTTTGTGAGCCGACTTTGCCGGCGGCGCCGATCGCGGGCGCTTGCTCACGCGCTCGGCCTCGAGCTTGGCAAAGTACTTACACGCCTCGCATTGTGGATGCTCGGACCAAGTGATGGTGCGGAATATGTTGTGCTTGCGGCGAGAGGGGGTGCCGAGCGGGCGCGGCGACGCGAGATGGGGAGCCGGGTCTTAGCCGGCTTGCGGTGTGGGTCTTGAACCGGACCGAGGGCTTGCGACGAGTGTGGCGCGGGGCCGAGGGAGCGGATGACGAGGCTCTACGGCTGCGCGGCTTGACCTGGGTAATGACACCAGCGCGCGACTTGCCGACAACGCGAGCCTTGGTGATACTGACTGGTGAAGCCAAGGCGCCACGGACAACAGTGGCAGCGTCGAGCTCGGTTGATGAGGCGCCGAGGGAGCGGGCCATGGTGGCGAGCTCGGCGTAGCGGGACTCGATCGCATCTCGGCTGAGGCCTACGCCCGACGAGGCCAGCAGCGCGTCCTGAGTACTGGCGTCAAGCGACTCGAGCTGACCGCGGAGAGCAGTGAGGCCTGAGAGCTCGGCCATGGTTCGCATGCGGAGGAGACCGTCCATGTCGTGCAGACCTGCACCGGCGAGGGCGCCGGATCGACGGGCCTGGCGGCGAAGGAACTTTTCCGACAGCTGGTAGATGCGGCCGTCGAGAGTAGCGGCGCCCGAAACGATGTAAAAGGTGAGTGTAGCCGGACCGTAGTACTTGCGCTTGATGGAGAGCCGGACTGGTCGAAGGGCAGAGGGATGGGTGCCGGCCCGGCCGCCACGCTGGGTCGCCTGTCGCAGCTGCTCGGAGCCTTTCTTGTGTGAGCCCCACTCATAGTCGAGGAGCTGGCTCCAATCGAGCTCGAGATCTTGCGGGGCGACGTGCGGGCCAAAGGCGCGGTGACCGACGAGCGGGCCGATGTCCTTCCCGACCCAGATGGAGGTGGGGATGGTGGCGATGGCTCCGGTAGCCGAGTTGACAAGGGTCTGCGGGCGGACAAAGGCGCCGTGGAGGACAAACTTGTGGCCGGCCGGGATCTCAACGGTCACAAACCGCTCGTGGGCGGGCTGGTACTGGAGTTGAACGCCTTCGTTGTTGAGGTAGTCGAGGCTGAGGTCGAGTGCGCCTGTGGGTGGGAGGACGAAGGCGTTAACCTTTGTCTCGTGGGCGTAGCTCCGTGTGCTGTTGTCGATCGGGGATCAAGCCGCTTGCCAGACATGCCCACCTCGTCGGTCGCTGGCTCAACAGCATACGTCTCGGGCCGGGCAAGGTGGTGGAGGGCAAGGAGGAAGCCATCAAAGAAGAGCGGCGCGTCGACAGCCGACCACTCTGCGCAGGCGAGCTTGACCCGGAATGAGAGATGGCCATAAGATGCATGGCCGGCGAGTCCGACGCCGCGGCGTGGGCCCGAATCGGCGTCGGTAACTGCAGTAGTAGCCGGAGCCTTGGTGGCGTGGCGGACTACGCGAAAGTCGGAGGTGTTCTTCGCCCGCGAGCGGAGGACAATATGGAACGATGGCGAGTTGGGAAGTGGCGCGACCGAGACCGATGCGCGAGTAAACGAGGCGAGGCGAGTGAGGTTGTTTTGAAAGTGGGCTGCGAGCACAGCCTCGCAGAGCGGATCGAAGCTCAGGTTACCCCGCCACCGGTAGATGGCCCTTCCGGATCGCGAGCGGACCGACTTGGCAAAGACGCCAGAGCCCTCGGCGTTAACTGTGCCTGGTCTCAGCAGTCTTGGCGTTCTCCGTGGTGACTTGCCGCTCCGCTGTGTCACCAGCTCGTCTAGATGCAGGCCAATGGGTGGGACTCGTGGGTGGTCCTTGACACCAGCCGGAGTGTCGTCATCATCACCACTGTCGGGCAGCGGCGACGGCGGTGACGGGGGATGCGGTCGACAACAAGCTCATCCCCTTGCAAAAGAAGCTGCAGCGCATCGACTTGGCCGCCAGTTGCTGTGCGGATGACAATGTCGGTGTCCTACGCAGAGTTGATGGCGTGTGAGTGCGAGCGCAGCTGAGCCGTCCAACGGCCGTTCGGGCAGTCAGTCAACGGACAGGTTGCTGGGGCGGGTAAGGAGAATGCGCAAGTACATACAGCGGGGAGGTTAAGCTTGGCCTTGACGGTACGGGTAAAGTCGCTCCAAGAACCAGACGGCGGTTGGGGTACAAGCACGCTCGCGATGTGATCGGCTTGCCATGCTGCAGCTACCGTCACCCGCATGGGTGAGGCGGAGAGAGACGGGTGTGGCCCCTGCCCGAGACCACGAATGGCACCGTATGCCAGAGGGCCATCATGCATCACATACGGCACGGCACCTACGGTAGCGATGAATCGTGATGGCGAAGTTGGCGGTCAGAGGGACAGAGTGGCGAGTGCCAATGGTGCTGATAGCGGTGGTGATGGTACGCTCGCCTGCACGCACGGCCACCTACAAACGCAGTGGGAGCGTGGGAGGCAGATCGCAGTGGCGTGGGACATCATCATGGAGAGCTTTTCAATACAAACATAGTGGCTCGGCCGAATGCAACTTGTGGAGTGACATCAAATGATGTGTGTCCTCAGCACGTTGTCGGGCATGGCTTCCGTGCCCGTCCCCGTCGCACGCCATTCGCAACCAAAGAAGGCGAGGCGACGCCGTCGAGCACGAGGACAAGGACAAGTACGGGTACGACGGTGGTAGACTCGACGCCAAGGCGCAAGCGCATGGAGAGTCAGGAAACGACGTCAGCAGGCGCGGAGCAGCCGTCTGTGCTGGTCCGGGCCACCGCACAGCTTGCGTACGTGTGGGGGGGAGTGGGGGGGGGGGGGGAGGGAGGGGAGGGGAGAACGCACGTGCGAGGGGGGGAGAGAGGGGAGGGGAGAGGAGGGAGGGGAGGCCTGTGTGGGCTGGGCTAGGCTAGGCTGGTCGGACACGGGCTGGTTGGGCTGGTTGGGCTGGGCAGAGACGGGCTGGTTGGGCTGGGCAGAGACGGGCTGGTTGGGCTGGTTGGGCTGGGCGGACACGGGCTGGTTGGGCTGGTTGGGCTGGTTGGGCACGACAGAGTGATCAGACACAACGGTTTGGGGGCGGTCGGGCACAACAGACTGATCAGACACAACGGGTTGGGGGCGGTCGGACACGCGAGCTGGTGGGAGACACACTGATCGACACGAATCTGATCGACGCTCGCGGGCCGACACACGCGGGCCGGCACAGACACGCACACCACTAACCCTCTTCTCCCACACCTTGCACAGATTCCGCGATAACATGGTGATGGACCACGCCGGTCGCCGGTTCTGGCTCATCGCTTCGTCCGCCGCCCTCTTCATCCTCTGCATCTCGATGCTCATCGGCGGCCTCGGCCCGGACGTGTTCGAGACAACCGGCGACTACGCGTTCGACTGCCCGCTCGACCGCTGGAACCGCACGTGCTCGCCGTCGACATGCGCCGGCTGCATTCCGGTCTTCACCTCGAATGACACCTTTACCCGCTTCCTCGACGGCCTCTCGGAGCTCAACCAGTTGTTCTCGCTTGAGCTTGGGTTCGAGTCCAAGGACCTTGTTGCCCGCGAGTACTCGGCTTACGACCTCGATGTACAGCTGTTGAAGCAAGTTGCCGGCAACGTCTACCAGCCCATGCGCGGCAACCTCGAGCACGGGCTCAACCTGGTATGCGATGGTGGCCAGCCCGTGTGCGACTCGCTCCTCGTCATTCTCGAGCCGTTTATTGACTCGTCGTCGTACGAGGTCGTCATCTCCATGCCCGACGCCCTGGTCGACACCGAGTGGATTGCCAACATCCACTTTCTCTTCACCACCGTCAACGCCACCTTTACTGTTCTCTCCATCACCGCCCGCGTTGTCTACGCCATCGTCACCATCGCCCTCCTCGTCTGCCTCATCCTCGTCAAGGGCGGCTTCAAGTCGCTCCCGGCCTGGGTCTCAGGCTTCTACATCTCGCGCTACTCGCCGGTCCTCACCCGCCTCGACCCGGGCGCCGACCTCTCCGGCTCGACCGTTTACTACTGGCAGTACGAGCAGCGGGCCGCGCTCGTCCTCCTCCTCTCGCTTGTCATCTACTCCAACCCGTTCATGCCCTTTGACCTCATCGTCCACAACTGGTTCACTTCGGCGCTCTCGGCCTTTACTGTCGTCCAGTTTGAGGCCGTTGTCCTCGGCTTTGTCCTCATCACCTTTGGCCGCTTCCACACCATGGCCGTCTTTGCCGCCCACGGCCCGCAAGCCGCCGCCCTCCGCGCCCACGGATGGTGGTTCTACCTCCCCAAGGCCGTCATCGTCACCCTCCTCGCCTTTCTCATGTGGCTCACCGTCGTCCTCGTCAACGCCGAGCTTGCAAACGACCCGGTCCGCGCATGGAACGGCAACCACGCGTACGCTGCCTTTGTCTTTGTTGTCGAGCTCCTCTGGGTCGTCACCCTCGTCTACACCCTCGTCGTCGTTGTCCTCGCAGGCATCAAGATCCGGGTCACCATGCCGTTCTACCGCCGCTACTCGGTCCTCTCCGCTGTCACCGCCATCTACCTCTTCTGCATCTCGTTTGCTGCACTCACAGGCAACCTCCGCCCCACCACCTCGTTTGCCTTTCTCTTCTTCTTCGCCCTCCGCGCCATGTTTGTCTTCACCGTCGCCGTCGGCTCGTGGCCGCTCGACGAAAATCGAGCCGTCGCCCTCTCTTTTGCCGGCGCCCAGGGCTCGTACACTCCCGCGGCCTCGTCGCTCCTTGCCTCCTCAAACGCGCCGCTCCGCACCTACAACGGCTCGCAGTCGGGTCTCCCCATCGCTGTTCCGGTCGCTACTCCCGTGTCCGCCCAGCCCGTCGCCGCAACCGTCACCTACGACGACGACGGATACGCCGAGCTTCCGCCTGACGAGCTCTCCGGCTCGGTCGACGACGATGACGGCCTGCTCAACGTCCCTCTCCAGCCAACCTCATCCGCAGCTAACGCTGCGCACGACTCTTCTGCACACAACGATACTGGCTCGTTCCCATCCGCCGCCTTTTCCGCCGCCGCTATGAGCGAGTCCCGCAACGTCGACAGCTGATTGAAAGAAATAGTGGTTCCACACCTAGCTTTTGGCTCTCTCGCGATCTACGCCACTCTGCGGACGGTGCAGGTCGTGCCACCTATGGCCACATCGCTCGAGTGCTGCGTGTGTGATGTCATCCTCCTCGTTAATCAGCCACGAGCAAAGTTCAGCTCAAAGATCACGACATTTTCCACACATGCCCTCCCAGACTGTCGACTTACGATGGACACCGCCCCCCCCTCTCTCTCCCCAACACCCCACGAACATCAATGTGCACAAGGCCATAAGAACAGAGCGACAAGGCCATGTATCAGCCACCTGCACCAGCCACACCGCTACACGACCTACAAAACATCCGGGTCATCTCCCCATCGGAAAAAAAACGCTCCCAACCAAACGGCGGCGCACGGCTCCCGCCGCTCTCTCTCCCTCTCTCTGCTCTCTACCACGCTCTCTCACCTCGCACCGCACTCCACACACTGAAAAGTATCATGTCGACTGACGAAGAAGCACCGCTTCTACCACCAGCTGGACATTCGCTCTCGGGAAGGCCGACCAAGGCGGCATTGGGTGCAGGCAGAGCGAGAGGCAACGGAATCGATGACAGGCGGTATGGCGATGGCGGAGATGGCGATGGCGGAGATGGCAAAGGCGGAGATGGCGATGGCGGAGAGGTTGGCGGTGGCGGTGGCAAGGTGGGCAAGGTTCGATTGTTCTCGCTCGATGTTTTCCGAGGCTTTACCATTGTGATGATGATGATGATCGACAACCAGGGCTCGCCGCAGCATGTCTGGTGGCCGTTTCACGAGACGGTGTGGAACGGGCTAGGCACCGCAGACTTTATCTTTCCCTTCTTTCTCTTCATCATGGGATCGGCGGTGGCCATGGCGCTCAAGCGGGCGGCATGGAGCGCGAGTCCTGTTGGCGTCTGCAGGGATCGGGCAGTGTGGATCAAGGTTGCGCGGCGGAGTGTGGCGCTGTTTGGCCTCGGCCTCCTCGCCAACTTGCAGGGAACCAACTTTGAGTTTGGCAAGCTCCGCATCATGGGCGTTCTCCAGCGGCTGGGCCTTTGCTACGGTCTTGTTGCGGTCCTCTACCTCACGCTCCCACCGCTTGGCCAGCGCATTGCGGTTGTCCTCGGCGCCGGTCTCTACCTTGTCATCATGTACGCCGTCGACGTGCCGGACGGATGCGGTGATGGCAAGCTGACGCCGTATTGCAACGGCGGGGCGTACATCGACCGCTCGGTCTTTGGCCGCTCTAACATGATGTGGCCAAACGACCCCGAGGGCCTCACCTCGACGCTGACGGCGACGGTCACCACCTTTGCTGGCCTCGAGCTGGGGCGCATCCTTGTCAACGCGCCGCGAGCGCCGGCCCACATGCTCCCACGCGATGCACAGTCGTTTGTCCACATGCAAGCCAAGATGGTGGCTGTCGCCTGGGCAGCGCTCTCGCTCATGGCCGTCGTCATCTCGCTTGCCCTCCTCCCGGTCATGCAGTTCTCCAAAAAGCGGTACACTGTCAACTTTGCGCTCATGACCGCCGGCTGCGGCGGGCTCCTCCTTGCGGGCCTCTACGCCGCCATGGACATGCCGGGCTTCCAGCGCGCACCACTTGTCGTCGCCGCGCGCAAGCTGGGCCAGCCGCTGGTGTGGATCGGATGCAACCCGCTTGCCGTCTTTCTCGGCATGCTCGAGCTCGAGCTGGTGCTGATGGACAACGTCAAGGTCTCGCTCAACGGCGAGCGCGTCTCGCTCTGGCACTGGTTGTATGTCAAGGCCTTTGCGTCCTGGATGTCACCGTCGTTGGCGTCGTCGGCCATGGCAGGTGCCGTCCTCGCGCTCTGGTGGCTGGTGGCGTGGATCATGTATCGCAGGCAGTGGTTCCTCAAGCTGTAGCACTGCTCGCCAAGCCGTCTTGCCTCACGCTCAGCGAGCCTCAGCCCGTACTTTGCTCTGCGCTAAAGTGCATGTTGTCAATCAGCCGCGTTCGCGACTCACCCCAGTACACCGCCACCGAGACAAGCGCTCTCTCCACCGGCGTGTTGCAGTCTAGATCCTGCAGCGTTTCCGGATCCGAGGCTGCGACGTAGTCGAGCTCACCACCGGCCGCAGTGATGCGTGCAGCGACGTCTTCGCGGATCGCCGACGGCGTGAGCTTGTCGGGTGCGGCAGCGTGCGCTGCGCGCGTATGCTCGAGCGCTTGGTAAATGGCAGCGGCAGACGCTCGCTCGTCGTCGGTCAGGTACGCGTTGCGCGACGAGAGGGCGAGGCCGGACGGCTCACGCACAGTCGGCACAACCACCACCTCCAGTGGGAGGAGCAGATCGCGACTCATCTTGCGGAGGACTGCGCACTGCTGGGCGTCCTTCTGACCGAGAAACATGGCGTCCGGGCTCACGGCGTTGATCAGCTTGGTAACAACAGTGCAGACACCGTCGAAAAAGTGCGGCCGTGACGCAGCTTCCAGCCCATCAGACACACCCTCCGTCCGCACCAGCGTCCCACCGCGAGTCGCCAGGCTTGGCAGTCGGCCGGACTCTTGCACTGAGCCGAGGTGTGGGTACATGTCATCGACCGTCGGCGCCCACACCACGTCCACAGGCACGCCGTTCCTCTCGAGCGCCTCTAGATCACCGTCGAGCGTCCGCGGATATGCGCTAAAGTCTTCGGTCTCTGAGAACTGAGTCGGATTGACAAAGATCGAGACAACCACCGAGTTGCAGGCCTCGCCGGCAGCAGTAACGAGCGAGAGGTGGCCGTCGTGCAGCGCGCCCATGGTGGGGACAAAGCCCAGCGGACGGTCGAGCTCGTTGACCACTTTGCGCAAGTCATCAACGCGCTGAACAACCTGCGGAGAAGCAGGTGGCCGAGTTGTCGAGTACCAGCTGGCTGCGGCAGTGGCCGGGATGCACGCCATGGCCGCGGGGCAAACGCGTTGGCGACGGACGTGTGGAAGGCGACGGTCGCAAAGTTCTTCAATCGAAGCATTTGTTCGGCGAGGCGTGTGGTGGCGTGGCATGACAGGTGAGCGCAGAGCGGCAGCGGCTGTGACAGTGCAGAGTTCATTTCTTCACCAGACCTCAACTAGAGCTCGTCGTGGTCGTCAAAGTCCTCGTCAAAGTCGTCACCGCCAGCGCCCGGGGCACCGCCCTCGTACAGCTTGGAGATGATGGGGTTGGCGACGGCCTCGAGAGCCTCGCGCTGCTCGTCGTAGTCCTCCTTGTCAGCCTCGGGGTTGTCGTCGAGCCACTCGACGGCGACGTTGACGGCGTCGCGGATCTCCTCGATCTCGCTCTCATCGAGCTTGTCGGCGAGCTTCTCGGGGTCGTCGATCTGCGAGCGGAGCGAGTAGGCGTACGACTCGAGCGAGTTGCGGGCCTGGATGCGCTCGGTGGCGGCGCGGTCCTCCTCGGCAAACTGCTCAGCCTCCTCGAGCATACGCTGGATCTCCTCCTCGGAGAGGCGGCCGGTCTCCGAGGTGATGGTGATCTCCTCCGAGTTGCCAGAGCCCTTGTCCTCGGCGGTAACGCGGAGGATGCCGTTGACGTCGACCTCAAACTGGACCTCGATCTGCGGCACGCCGCGCGGCGCGGGCGCAATGCCCGACAGCACAAACGAGCCGAGCAGGTGGTTGTCCTTGGTCATGCCACGCTCGCCCTCGTACACCTGGATGTCAACCTGCTCCTGGTTGTCCTGGTACGTCGAGAAGACGCGGGACTTCTTGGTCGGGACCACGGTGTTGCGGTCGATGATGTTGGTCATGACGCCGCCGACGGTCTCGATGCCGAGCGAGAGCGGAGTCATGTCAAGGAGGACCACGTCGCCGGTACCCTCCTCGTCCGAGAGCACACCGCCCTGGACGGCGGCGCCGTAGGCCACAGCCTCGTCGGGGTTGATCCCGCGGTTCGGCTCCTTGCCGTTGAACACCTTCTTGATCATCTCCTGCACCTTGGGGATCCGAGTCGAACCGCCCACAAGCACAATCTCGTCGACCTCAGACTTGGCAAGGCCAGAGTCCTTGAGGACCTTCTTGACCGGGCCGAGCGTCTTCTTGAACAGGTCCATGTTGAGCTCCTCAAACTTGGCCCGAGTCAGGGTCTCCGACAGGTCCTGCCCGTCCTCGAGAGCCTCGATCTCGATCTTGGTCTGGTGGACTGTCGAGAGCGCACGCTTGGCCTTCTCGACCTCGCGGCGGAGCTTGGCGAGCGCCTTCTTGTGGTTGCCGGCCTTGAGGTCAATGCCGGTCTTCTTCTTGAAGATCTTGATGAGGTGCGCCATGACCCGCTGGTCAAAGTCCTCACCGCCGAGGTGAGTGTCGCCGTTCGTCGCCATCACCTCAAACACGCCGTTGTCGATGGTGAGCATCGAGACGTCAAAGGTGCCGCCACCAAGGTCAAAGACCAGGATGTTCTTCTCGGCGCCGGTCTTGTCGAGACCGTAGGCAATCGCCGCAGCCGTCGGCTCGTTGATGATCCGCATGACGTTGAGACCCGAAATGGTGCCGGCGTCCTTGGTCGCCTGCCGCTGCGCGTCGTTAAAGTACGCCGGGACAGTGACCACTGCGTTGTTGACCTCGTGCCCGAGGTACGCCTCGGCAACCTGCTTCATCTTGGTCAGGACCATGGCCGAGATCTCCTCGGCCGTGAACCGCTTCACATCGCCCTTGACCGAGACCTCGATCTTCGGCCGGCCGCCGTCGTTGACAATCTTGAACGGCAGGAGCTTGCGGTCGCGCTGGACGTCCTTGTCGTCAAACGACCGCCCGATCAGACGCTTGGCGTCGTAGATCGTGTTCTCCGGGTTGAGCGCAGCCTGGTTCTTGGCCGCCTCGCCGATGAGCCGCTCGCCAGACTCGGAGAACGCCACCCACGACGGCGTGATCCGGTTGCCCAGCTCGTTGGTCAGAATCTCCACACGTCCGTTCTTGAACACTCCCACGCACGAGTACGTCGTGCCGAGATCGATGCCAATGACTGTGCCCACAGGCTCGTCAGCCGAGACCACCGTCGCCGCCAGAACGGCCACCGCCACAAGCCCCACGAAAAGGGCCACTGTCTTGTCCACCACCACCACCACCACCACCACCAACACCGCCAACACCCATCAGATCCAGAAACGACCATCACATCGTATGGTTGTTTGCCTTGTCTTGTGAGTCGCAATGTCATTCACCATTTGTTGCATGTCTGCAGCTGAGCTGAGCCGGGCTGGGCTCGCCTTGCCCCCTCCCCCCTCCCCCCCCCCCCCCCCCCCGAATGCTGACCTCACCACAGCGACCACATTTGCTGTTCACCGGTCGCACAATGGGAGGACGACCACGACCAGTTGCTGCAAAGACGGCTAGAGAGAGCATGGTTGGATGGAGAGCGGGGAAATTGTACAGGGGGCTAGGATGGTAGTACACAAAGCAACGACATGACTCATGTGCTTGAGCACGTAAGGACAAGGCCGGGAGTGCACGCTGTGTGTCTCGCTGGTGGGGGCAGGGATCAACGGCAAAAACCTTCACGAAGGCAGAAGAAAGCGAGCTGGTCACCACATGAGCACCTCTATCAGCTTGACTATGGCAAATAACGAAACATGTACCACATAGCAGGCAAGGTAATCTATGTAGCTACCACATCACCAAAGATGACCTTACTGTAACAATCACAGTGTCAGCTAGCCATGGTTACGTACCGTTGGACTTCATGTTTGAAATGAGTCGTGTGTGCGTCAATGAAAAATGATTGAATGTCGGCAACGAAAGACAGAGAACAGAGACAGAGAGAGAGAGAGAGAGAGAGAGAGAGAGAGACCAGTCAATCAGTTGAACTGTTCGAATACTCACTCGAGTAATTAATCGATGTCCTTAGATTCGATGGGATTAATCGGTGTCAAGCTCCTCACTTGTGTGGCGAAAGGCTTGCTTTGTCGATGTGATACACACGTGCGGATATGTGTGCTTGTGTTTGTCTGTCGATGTAGTGGTGATGTATGTGTGCTACGTAACGGATCTTCTCGTCCGGGAGGAATCGTCCGGGTTTTGATGTCGCAGGCGACCTCTGACGTCGGACCTGGACTGACCTCATTATCGATGCTGTTGATGCAAGCCATGTGCGAGCCGGCAGGCATCATGAATGATGACATCACCCACCGTGCTTACCTGCTCAACCGCAGTGACTACCATCACACCCGGCCACCTAACCTCGGCTCGGAGCGATGAGCTTGTCCATCACCCCATGCAACCCCCCTCTCACCCCTCCCCCCCCCCCCCCCCCCCCCCCACACACACGCCCAGGCATTCCACCTTCACTCGGCTGAGCTATGGTCATGCAGCCAACAAGCAAGCATGATCAACGTACTTGATGGGTGGCCCGCGATTAGATGCGGCCGACTTGGTCGTCGCCCTCTCCACTGGCGCCGAGCCAGCTGTCGGTCTTTCACCTCGTGCCCGTCCGCCACCGCCACCGCCACCGCCACGCCCACCTCCGCCTTGCACCACCTCACCTCCCTCCCCCCCCCCCCCCCCTCCCCCCCCACTACCCTACCAACCATGTTCCGGTACCAACCCCGGTTCTCCCTCCACCAAGAAGTGGCCCAGGCCCTCCTCACGACATCACCACATACTCTGGCCACACCTCTGTCTGTGGTGGGCGTGTTCGAGACAGGCGAGGAGACAGCCGATGGCTTGGGCATTGCCCATCGTCACACTCATGGAGCTTCTCCTCGTGGTGATGAGCTCGATCATGGTGCTGCCACCCAAGAACGGCTTATAGAGTCAACGTCATCGTCACACGCTCCGCCATCGCCGTCACCGAGCCACACGGCTGCGGCTTCCGTCTCGGGCGCCTCGGGTGCTTCGTCCGACTCGGCCTTTGTATCGGCGGTCTCTGGTGGCGGCGGTGGCGGCGGCGGTGGTGGTGGAGAGGGGCAAGGAGGCGATGGCGATGGTCTTGGCGGCGGAGCTGGCCCTGCTGGGCGTGCATCTCTCCCGCCGCTGCCGACCATGTTTGTGGTCGGCCAGACCGGCGACGGCGTGCTCCTGGTGGCGACAGATGGGATGGACGCCCGATTTGTGGCTGCTGTCTCGGAGCAAGGCCGGTGCTCGATGGACGAGGCCGAGGCTGCGCGGCGAACGTTCATCCACTCGTACGAGGTGGCGACCGGCAAGTGCGAGGTACTCTACACCCACAACGGACTGACGACGGTTGTGGGTGCGTCCATCAACAACGATCGGACGCTACTTGGATTCTCGACCCTCACTCGCCGCGACACTGGCGTGGCGACGGTGGGCGAGAACGGGCTCGAGAGCAGCATTACCGAGAACGAGTACGAGTCGTGGCTGGTCGAGATCCACCCGCAGTCCAACTGCTACTCGCTCAACGTCATCTCGCGCGAGTTTCAGCGCGTCCAGTTCTGCCCGGTCGACAAAGTCTCGTCACGTACGCGGACCTCATTCTTTGTCTTTATTCTCGACAACGTCTTTATCCACCTCTACCAGATTGCCATGAAGAAGCGCGACCGCGCGCCGGGTTTCAAAATCTTCGCCCAGCCCATGCTCCAGACCCAGCTGTTCAAGCACTTTCTCTGGTATCAATGGGACGTGGAGTCGGGCCACCTTTACGTCATTGTGACACGTCCCAAGGCACCGGACGCCGGTCACGTACTCCGCGGCTACGCGTTCAACGAGCGGCGGCCCGACTGCTTCGCCGAGTTTCCCCTCCCGCTCCTTGCCACCCGCGCGCTCGATCCTCCAGCCGCACATGCGTACCTCCCGCTCGCGCTTCTCCCGCACCTGCCCATTGCCGATCCGCTCATCTCGCTCGTCACTCTCCCGTCCGGCGACAAGGTCCTCGTCCAGCAGCAGTATGTCCGGAGAACGGTCTCCTCGCTCCCGCACATCCAGGTATCGGTGACGCTCCTCGCCTACGCCGAGCTGTACAACTTTACCATTCCCATGCACAACGTTGCCCAGCCGTCGCTCGGCGACTCGCTCGACGTCCGCGGTCTCACCACAAGCTCGGCTGTCAACTGGGCCTCGGTAGCGCCGGTCGCCGACGTCCTCGTCATCTTCATTCCCGACTACTACCTTCACATCATCGACTGCGGGACGGCGCATGCCACCATGCGCTCGCTTGTCCTCGCCGATCCAAGCCTTGTGCCGGGCCTACCCGCCCGCGCCCTCTCCGCCGCCCACCCGGACCTCCTCGCTCTCAACTTTGCTATGCTCGCCGCGCTCCCGGCCGACTCGCCGTCAACCTCGCTCGACCTGCTCTCGGGCCTCGCCTTTACCATCCACATCGACCCAGCCGGCCTTGCTGCTCTCTTTGCCCGCCCGGCTGTCGAGTCGCACGTCCACGCCCTCCACCTCATCCTTGTCCACATGGAGGACGCACGGCTGGCGGCATCGCTCCTCTCTGCCATGTGCGCGTCGTCGCCAGGCCTCGTCGCGCCGGCGCTCTTCAAAGAGTTTATCATCGGCTCGGCATACGCCGCTCTCCGCGCCTGCGGCATGTCGCCGCACCTGCTTGCCACCATGCCGCTCTCGTGCACGCCGCTGCTGGCACACGACGAGCGTGACTTGTACGCCTCACGCAGCCTCTCGCGACCACTCACTAGCTACAACTATGCGCGGCTTGCGGCCGGAACCGGCTCGTTTGCCCGCTCCGGCGCCCCGGTCGCCCCCATCCCGCGCCGCTTTGCGCTCTCGGACGTTGTGCTGTACGACGACGACGGTGACGGCTCTGCCCGCGCCCGCGCAGGCTCGCCGGCCGGCTCACCGTCTGGCTCGCCAACCGCTCCGTCGCCATCAGGCGTCAAGCGCCTCTTCCTCAAGCTGTTCAACATGGAGGACAAGGCCGAGGCCAAGCGGGCCAAGCGGACGTCGTCATTCCCGGCGCTCGCCAAAAAGGCCATCCGGTCACGTCCGCACAACACAGCGCTTCCCGCAGGCCGGTTCCCGCTGGACTGGTCGTCGGGCCGGCACCTCGCCGTCCTCGTCGACCACTTGCAAGAGTCGGCGGCCAAAACGCTCCGGTCGTCGTGCGCTCGCTGGGCCGCCGAGTACCAGACCGCGCTGGTCACCGCGTGCGCAACCCTCTTTGCCGCTGTCAACGACGCCGTCGCGAGCGCCTCGCTGCCCAAATCCGCCCACTTTGCGCTCCTCGAGACCCTCTACTGCGCCATCGAAGAGCTTCAAGCACCGTTTCCGCTCGGCTTTCATGCCATCTTTGCCTTGCTTGGCTTTGACACGCTCACCCGCGCCGCCTTTCTCGCTTACCTCGACCGCGGCGTCTTTCGCGCTACGCCGTCGTTTGTTCTCGAGGCCGCCGCCCGGCTCTCGGACTCGCCGGCCGACACGGCGCTCAAGTACCGGCTCGCCACCGCGCTCGACAATCCCACATACATTGACCAGGTCATGGGTGCAGATCCAGTGTTTCTTCTCGACCGCTACGCCTCGCTCTGCACGCTGCCGACCGTCAACGCCAACGCCACGTCGACGGTCTACACCGAGATCTCGGCAGACGACTCTGAGTCGGCCGCCCCCTTTGTCCCGCTCGCCCTCTACCTACGCCAGCTCGCCGACCTCGCGGCGTCGTGCCCGGAGCTCGCGACCGAAGTCGAGTTTGTGACCGCGTACCTCGTTGCCGAGCAGCATGCGCTCTTTCTTGTGTGATACATGCCGGCTGTCAAGGCGTAAACTGGATGACCTGCAGCGCAATGGCGGCAGACCGGGCGAGGAGCGGGTCGTCGTCGACGGCCGCCAGCTCCTCAAGCCGGTCGACAAGTGGGAGAAAGGCGCGCCGGCCGAGCGGGTGCTCGGCAATGGTGGTGACGGCCTTGAGCGCCGAGACCCGGAGCTCGCGGAGGTGCTCGCGCTGCGGGACCGGAGGGCTGCCATCGCCGCGCGCAAGCGAGGCCGCCACGGCCTCGTCGACTGCAGTATCGGCCTCCAGCTCTGCGACAATAATGTCGGAGAGAATCGAGGGCGCACCGGCCTCGAGCGCCGCAACCTTGCCGCCGTTGTACACCGTCACCGCCATGAGTGCGCGTGCCGCCGCAGGCTGGACCGCCAGCTCGTCATCGCAGAGAGCGACCACCAGCGGCGGCACCGCTGCCGAGTCAACCGCAATGATCTTGCCTTCAAACGGGGTGGCCAGTGCAAGGATGAGCAGCGCCGCCGCGTTGCGGACGCCGCCCGACTCGTGCCCGAGCAGCGCGACCGCGACGTCCATGGCGCCGACCCGCAGCGCATCCGCAGCGTCCTGCCGCACACACCCAGCCAGCGCTTCCAGGGCCAGGATTTGCAGCATCTCTTCCTCGACGGCGGCCTTGTCCACCAGCAGCGGAACGAGGCCGGCGGTGAGGACCGAATGGGCGCCGTCGGGATCGTCGGCCTGAGCCGCCAGCGCGCCGAGCGCGGCCGCCCGGACTGAGCGCTTGTCATCGTCTGCCAGCTGGGCGAGCTTGGGCAGTACGTCTGACGCAGCCAGAGCAGCTTTTCCTGGCGCGAGTCTGGCCAGAGCCTCACAGACAGCAGCAGCTGTGGAGCGGACGAGCTCGTCCGAGGCATCGAGACAAGCACTCAAGCCCGAGACAGTATCAGCATGAAGCGCAGCGGCAGCATTGTCGGGATTGACAACCAGAGTACGGAGCGAGATGAGGGCACGTTGCCGAACAATCAAATCAGGAGACGCCAAGGCGAGGCGGAGCTTGGGCATGGTCCGATCACCGTAGGCCAGCGTCAGGGCCGTTGGGTCGGCTGGGTTGGGGTTGGCCTTGGCGGCAAATGCAGACAGCACCGTTGTGTTGGTCATGAGGGACGGCATAGCCCCATAGTCGGGCTTGCTCATATGTGTTTGTGTGTGTGTGTGTGTGTGTGGTGGGGGTGTGGGGGTGTGGGGTGGGGTGGGGTGTGTGCGTGTGGGGCGCTGTGCGGCCTGTGACGGTCTGCCTGCCATTGGTTGTCGTTGGTGGCCATTGGTTGTCGTTGGTGGCCATTGGTTGTCGTTGGTGGCCATTGGTTGTCGTTGGTGGCCATTGGTTGTCGTTGGTGGCCATTGGTTGTCGTTGGTGGCCATTGGTTGTCGTTGGTGGCCATTGGTTGTCGTTGGTGGCCATTGGTTGTCGTTGGTGGCCATTGGTTGTCGTTGGTGGCCATTGGTTGTCGTTGGTGGCCATTGGTTGTCGTTGGTGGCCATTGGTTGTCGTTGGTGGCCATTGGTTGTCGTTGGTGGCCATTGGTTTACGGTCGAAGGGGTGAGACGGCAACACGGTCAAAGAGACCGCCAACGGCGTGGTCAACGTAGTCAAGCGCTGATGACCGTGTGTGGGGAGGTGGGCGGATCGACGCCGGGTCGACAAAGTCGCCTATCGGCTGTGGGAGCTGGAGCGAGGCCTGCAGCCGCTTGCGCGCCACCTGGTACGAGGCAAAGAGATCGTACGTGTCGCCCTTGATTGGGCCCTGGTCGACCGGCTTCTCCTGCCGGACCACAAACTCGTACTCGAGGACGTGGCCCGAGAGCAGGACACAGACAAGCGAGACTCGGACGCACGGGAGCTCGAGCCGCAGGTGGTGGAGCGTCTCCACTGTCGACAGGTTGGCGTAGTTGGACGCTTGCTCGGTCCGCTGCACCGCGCCGGGCTTGGTCCGCCGCGAGTACACAGCGTGCCGCCGAAGATCGTCGTCCCCGCCCGACGGTGACTCATCGTACTCGTACTCGTACTCGTACTCGTATCGCATGTGCGGCCCATCGCGCGGCTCACGAGACTTGCGTGCCTCATCCGTCTCGCGTGGCGACGTCGGCAGCAGCCGGGCGCGGCCCTCGTCGCCTGCAGCGGGGTCGACGACCGCCGCCACCGCGATTGGAAAGCACCGTGCCGCAAGCATGCCGTCCTCAAAGTCGACCGGCATCCGCGGCGGGCTGGCTGCCGACACCGCTGCCACACGCGGGGTCGTTGGCTGCGACGCGGTAGGGCCCGTGCCCGCCGACGGCGGCGAGAACAGGGTCGAGTTGGGCAGCGCGCACGCCCGCCAGGTCTGCAGCGGGTCCGAGTGCGGCGTCGAGGTGAGGACCTCCACGTCTGGCGAGATTGAAGAGCCAAGCACTAGCAGCCGTGGGAACGGAAGCGAGAGCGAGACCTTGACGCATGCAGGGGCGTCAGCGAGCTGCGAGAAAAGCGCGACCGGGAGTGGGACGTGCGTCAGCTGGGACGCGCGCCGGAGCGAAGCCGCAGAGGCTACAGGGAACAGCTGTGGGCCGAGGACCCGCCACCGTGCCGCCACCGCGCCGCCCTTGCCGGATCGGAGATGAACGAGCGCAAAGACGTACGAGCCGCTCCGCGCCACAAAGCCAACCAGCCACACATCCGAGCCGAGGAACCGGAGGTGCGCCGCGGCGTGGACTCCGCGCAGCTCGTCGGGCGGGCTGAGCGTTCCGAGGAGCATTGCCGACGCCGGCCGCTGCAGGACCACCCGTCCATCGGCGAGGCCCATGGCGAGGACCGCCCGCGGCGTGACGTGTGACTGTGCCATGGGCGCAATGCCCCACGCTAGCGAGACGACGCCCGAGACCGGCGGCCGCTTGCTAGTGCACCCGAGTGCAGACACGGTGCCGCCGCTGACAATGGCGGGCGTGCCGTCGGCGTACAGCACTGCAGCCTCGCACGGCACCGTCTCCAGAACAGGCACCCATGCAAAGGCGACTACCGGAACCGACTCCTTGGTCTGCGGCTCGGTCCACGGCGCCGCTCCGCTGCTACTCGCCGCCGGCGACTGCAGCCGCGCCGCAGGCGTAGGCGCCTCGCCTGCTCCACTCCGTGCGGCGCCACGCGGCGCAAATCGCGGCATGAGTACCTGCGCCGACGACGCGAGGCACGGCGCTACCGTCGAGGTTGAGATCTGCGCCATCGATGCCACCTCGCAGCTGCCCCCGCTTCGGGCCTGATCGAGCGCCCGCAGCAGCGAGAGCCCCGAGTAGACAAGGATGGTAGCCTCGAACGTCGCCACCGCGACATGGTGCGATGCATTGGTCGCCATCGTAGCCACTGTCTGACCCTCGGGAAGTGGGACGAGGAAAGCACGGCCGGCCGCGAGCGCCTCGGCGACCGCCATGGTCCCGGGCTCTAGCTCCGACTGGCGGACCACAACCATGCGGTCGGCGGCGGCCGAGGTCGGCGCACCTGGCGGCGCAAACGTGAGCACGTACAGCGGCGTCTGGGCGCCGAACCGACCGGGGCTGATGGCGACGACGTCCCGCGGGGCGCCGAGCCCGGTTCTGCCGCCGTCCGGACCGACGGCGCTGGCGCGCGAGCCGCGGGCATCGAGCGCACACCGCCACGACCACTGGACGTGGTCGACAAGCCGGTTTGGCGCAAGCCGGCCGAGCAAGTCGACCACATCAGCGCCGACCGCGTTGCCGGCGAGGTTGGCGCTCCGCAGCGAATGATTGATCCGGATGCCCTCCTGCAGCTGCTTGGCACCATCGAGCCCAATCGCGTTGTCCGAGAGATCGAGCGCGAGGAGGGTGGCGTTACGGGTGAGAGCATCGGAGAGTGCGGCGGCGCCGAGGTTCTCAATGGCGTTGCCACGGAGCGAGATGTACTGCAAGTTGTAGTCTGAGGTTGCGAGGAGCGCCGAGAGCGCCACAACGCCGTTGTCGGTGACGAGGTTGTCAGAGAGGTCGAGGTAGTTGAGAACGGGCGAGATGCCCGAGAGCAGCCGGATGAGCCTCTCGTCATCGATGTGTGAGCCGGCGAGGACCAGGGCAGAGATACGCCGGGTGATGAGCGTCGAGGTGAGGTATTCGCCGAGCCGGTCAATGTCCGACGGTGTGAGGACGGTGCCGGTCAGCGCGATGGCGGTGTAGTTGTTGGCCGTCATGTACGGGTTCTGCAGAAACTTGCGAATGTCGTCGAGCGAGGCGAGGACGCCGCCGCCGTCGTGCGCCACCTCCCATCCGCTCTCATGCGACCGGCCGAGCGGCGCGAAGCTCGGTCCGTCAAAGAGCTGGAACCGCGAGTGCGGGCCGCCCGGCGGGAACCAGAGCTCCTTGTATGCCTGAAACTGCGAGAGCGTGGCAAGCTCGCTGAACTTGCTCGCCTCGTAGTTGAAGCACTTGGTCTCGTCGCAAAAGGCAAAGGCGCCACCGCTCGAGGTCTTGACGACGCCGGCGCAAGGTACCGCCGCGCCGGCCTCGGCCTTGGTCGCGATGGGGAACGGGTCGAGAATGAGAATGGGACCAAGGAGAAGGACCTCCTCGAACGTGTTGCCGGTCGACGTCACGTCAAGCGTAAAGGTGAGTGCCGGCGATGCGTTCTGGACCACAAACTTGCGCCACCAGTCCGACTGCGCCTGCAGCTCGCGGACCGGCGCCGAGAGCACCATGCCGCTTCCGTCGGGCGTCCGTCGGGTCACGCTGTACGCCACTGATGCCTTTTGGCCTGACGCGTTGTTGACCCGCAGAATGTAGTTGCCGTCCGGCAGCTCGATCGACCGCGATGCTGTCAGGCCTCCGGGCGCCGGCTTGGTGGACGCACCGCCGGCCAGCGCCAGGTCGACCGCCGAGCACAGCTGGATAATCTCGACCGCGATCCCGTCCGACGACACCAGCTGGAGCGAAAAGAACGTCGACGGCGCGTTAACCGAGAACTTGTGCCACCATTCTTCCCCAGGCGAGATTGTCTCTTCCTCGCCGCGCGAGCACGTCACGTCTGTTGCAGACTGTGGTCCACCCGGCAAAGCCATCGCCGTGTCACCCGCCGCAGCCATCCCCACGCCATTCCCATGCCACCCCCGCACCAGCCCCATGCCACCCCCCACGATCCATCGTCCGCCGTCGGCAGCCACAGCCAGCCAGCCATCAGCAGTTCGAACACCGCCGCCCACACCGCCACACAGCCCCACCCAGGCCGCCGCCCACACGCCACACACAACAAGCCACCATCCCAAGCCCAGACATTGCCCCCACACTCCCGTAAGTCTCCACATACCCCCTTCCCCTCTTCCCTCCCCCCCCCCCCCCCTGCCACCCTCCTTCCCCGACGCCTGCAGTGCGTGTCGCCTTGTGACAACAATGGAAGACGGCAACTTGGAGGCGAGAGGTCGGACCGGGACCTGGCGACGTACCTGGCGCACAAACGAGTACTCAAAGCGGCCGACAAAGTTGGAAAAGTTGGCTACATGTAGCACATAGTCACCGGCTGGGAGGTGGCCAGACTCGGCAAAGCCTGTGGCAATGCTGGCCATAGGAAGAGTCTCCTCGGACTGTGAGCAGCGACACGTGTGGCGACAGCTCTGCCTTTGCTCGAACCGGCGCCAGGTCACCCACACACACGCGACGCCTCACTCGATGCAGAAGGTCTTTTTTGTTTCATAACACGCCCAATAACGCCTGATGTCATCTATTCAGAGCATCAAGCCATGCGGTACAATTCTCGCTGGTCTGCGCATCAAAGTGCAGGACCAAGGGAGCAGGTGGCGCGGTGAGCGAGCCTGTTGATGGGGTGCTGGCGAGCGAGATGGCTGAGATGGCTCCAGGCAGCGTTGCGGGACCGTCGATGTGGAGCGCAAATACAGAAAGATCGGGCTCGGCCCGCTTGATTCGGAGTATCGATGACCGCGGAAACGAGTGCGCGAGCTCGTACTCGCCGTCGGATGTCGAGTAGAGCTTAAAGTCTGCGTCGTTGATGGCTGCAAAGTACAGTGTCTTGCGTACCGCAGAATACGGCTGCGACACCGGAGCGCGCGACATCAAGACAAGACCACGCGAGAGATTGTTCTCGACGCCGCCGTTGAGAATTCTGTGCACCACGCCGAGGTGCGGGCCGACCGTCGGGCTAATGACTGCCAAGATGTCCGACGGCTCCAGCGCCCGCCCGTGAAGTAGCATCACGGCCGTCGCCTCGGACGATCGGATCGCTCGAGAGAGCGCGGACTTGTTGTGCGAGTCGAGCTCATGGACGTTGACTGCCCGCCGTGCATCCGGGTGCGTGAGCAGCCAAGCAATGGTGCTGGCCTTTTCAAACGACGCCGCAATGTGGAGAAGCGGAAGAAGGCCGCGCGAGCCCGAGGCATCCGCACCGGCACGCAAGAGAAATGCCGCAATGTCGACGTGCCCACGGAGGCATGCGAGATACAGCGCCGTCATTCGCGGCTGACCCGACGCTGCGTCCACCTCGGTTCCACGCGCCACCAGGTATCGGACTACATGGGCCCGCCCTGACGACGCCGCCGACTGCAGCGCCGTAAACTTGGAAACCGACTCATCGATAACCTCCTTGACACCGATCTCCTCCACAAAGTATCGCACTGCCGCCAAGTGTCCGCGCTGCGCTGCAGCCACCAAGCACTGCGTGCCTGGAAACGCCGAGCCGACCTGTGCCGAGCCCTCGTCTACCAGCACCCGCAGCATGTCAACATCGCCACGCCGCGCCGCCACAAACAGCGGCGTGTACGCCAGGACCGGGAACTCGACGTCAAATGAGAGTCCGGTCGAGATGAGAAACCGGATGATGTGGACGTGTCCGGTCGCCACGATGCTCGGCAGCGTCGATGGCGGCGGCATGCTCGACGGCGACTGGTTGACAATGTACTTGAGTACATCAAGGTGGCCCTGCAGTGCGGCAATGTGTGCCGGCGTCTGGCCCTGCTCGTCTGGCTCGTTGACCCACACCATGACATGATCCAGAAGAACACGCACCGTCTCGAGCGAGCCGGCATGGCACGCGGTGTGGAACGGCCGTCGCCCGGCCGCGTCCTTGGCTGTCACGTCGGCCCCGAGCTCGTCAATCAGCTGCTGCGCGAGCTCGACGTGCCCGCAAAGGCACGCCCAGTGCAGCGGCGTTCGTTGGGCACTGTCGCGCAAGTTGGCCGAGATTCCGCCCACAAGTACAAGGTACCGCACCACCTCGGTGTGGCCCTCGCGGCATGCCGCGTGCAGAGGATTGCCTTGCAGCGCAAACGACTCGAGCCCATGGAGCATCGCATGCTTGAACACGTCCAGCGCCCCGCGTGCTCCACCAGAAAGTGACTACGGACAACGCCCCCGCCGCGCACGCCATGTACAGCGCCGTAGCGCCAGACTCGGGTTCGGTAGCGTGCACATTGGCTCCGGCTTTGTTGACCAGCCACGCCACCGCCGCCCTCCGGTTCTTCTCGGCCGCGATCATGAGCGGCGTCCGTCCCAGGTCGTCAGTCACCTCCACTTGCGCCGACGACTCCTCTACGAGGTACTGTATGAGATACACATGTCCACCAGCCGCAGCCTCGTGAAGCTGGCTCGCCCGTGCCGCCCGATCCGGTCATCGATCTGCAGCGACCGCGTGGCGGACAGCGAGTTGATGCACCGCACAACTTCAATCTGGCCCATGACGCATGCCAGCGCCAGCGCCGTCCGCGAGTTTTCTTCCACCGTATCCACACGTGCGCCTGTAGACTCCACCAGCCACCGCACCACCTCCGGCCGCCCGTGGATGGCCGCCACGTGTAGCGGGGTGATGCCCTTCTCCGACCTTGCTTCCACCGCCGCCGCCCCGGCCTCGACCAGCCACTTGACAATAGCAAGCGATCGGCTCTCTGCACCACACGCCACATGCAACGCTGTCATGCCTTTGTTGCTTCGCGTCGTCACGTTGGATCCTGCGTGCAGGACGAGCCACTTGACCAGAGAGAGCTTGCTCCCTCCGGCCGCCAGATGCAGGGCCGTGTGACCATCTTCGTCCACCACATCCACCAGTCGACCGCGGTCCACGCTCTCGCCTGACGACCACACACGGTTGTCATGCGCCACTAGCAACTTGGCAACCGCCGTGTTTCCATGTAGTGCCGCAATGTGCAAGCCATGTCGCCCGCGGTCGTCGGTCGCAAGCAGCGACACTCCGGCTCCAAGCCCGGCCCGCACCGCTTGGCACCGCCCACGAGCACACGCCTGCAGAAACGCAGTCTCGGCAGACACGCCCCAACTTGGTATTGCGCCTTCTGGTACAACATGCCCCCGACTACACGACGCAGCTCCGCCCATCTCGACACGTTTGGCTACGCGAGGAGTGTGCACCTCACCCATTCGCTCGCCTCTGAGCAATATCAGGTGACACGGTGGTGAGGCAAACGTCTCTGCGGTGAAAAAAAAAATGCGCCGCACTGCCTTCTATTGTGCGGTCATGTCTCGGTCAATCAGCCACAACAAGCACAGCAAATTGACCCCCCCCCCCCCCTTCCCACCGCTTTCCGCATCTGACATCTCACTCGTGTCGCATGCCATGGCCGACGACGGCGACGAGTACCCATCCTGTGATGCTTGTGAGGAAGCTGCTTATGGCGCGCTGTGGGGAGCTTTTGTGGCCGACGCCGCTGGCGCGGTGCTGGAGTTTGCGCCAGCAGAATGGGACCGTAGCGGTGCCCGCCATGCCATGACCCTGCCTGGAGGGGGGAAGAACAACCTGCGTCGCGGACAGGTGACCGACGACTCGGAGATGGCGCTTGCGCTCGGTCTGGCCCTGGCCGAACAGCCTCTTGCCAATCGGGCCAGCTGTTTTCCGGCTAACGCCGTGGCGCTCGCCTACGGCCGATGGAAGGCGAGCAACCCGCCAGACATCGGCAACACTGTGCGCGCGTCCGTCGGCGTCGCCGCGCCGCGTGGGCGGCAAGCTCGGCCGTCCCCATCGATCGTGCCAGTTACGGCGGCGCTGATGGCCAAAACTGCCGCCCGCCGATCAATGGCTTCACTGGGCAACGGCGCGCTCATGCGCGCCATACCGCTCGCAATCTGCTTTGCATTTGCTCCTCTCGCCGTCATCGTCGATGCCGCCGCCTCCGACGCGCGGTTGACCCATCCTAACCTCATCTGCGTTGCTGCCAATGTCGCATACATCGCTGCACTTGCCACGCTCATCGCGTCTGCGTCACATTGTGGGGTCGTAGACCTTGCGGCGCGACAGGCCGCAGCCCGCGAGTCGGCAGAGGCAGCGCTGGCTGAGCTCGCAGCCCAGAGCGAGGGTTCCGACGAACTCGACCTCGTCGCCCATTGGATTGCCAAGGCGCTGGATGACGAGCCCGAGAGCCAGCTTGTCTTTAACGCCAGCGTCCGCCGGCTCGGTGGCCACGTTCGGTGCGGCTTTGTGCTTGCGTTCCGGACTCTGGCGGATCCGGAGCCTGAGTACGTTGCCACGGTGGAGGCTGTTCTCGCGCTCGGCGGCGATACCGATACCAACGCAGCGATTGCCGGCGGTATGGTTGGCGCCCTTGTCGGGCACTGCAGCTTGCCACACGCCATGGTTGCCACCGTCCGCAAGTGTCGGCCCAAGACTCGACCCAAGTGGCTGCACGCGGCACAGGCAGATGGCATGCTGGCATCGCTTACATCCAGTTGGCCCGAAAGGCGCGACAAAAGTCCTTAAAGCCTTCGCGGGACGAGAGTGAGATGCGCGGCGATGCGAGGAGCTGCGCCGGCCGGGCGGTGCCTGAAAGGAACGCCACTGCCTGAGCTTTGTTCAGCCGAATGCCGGTGAGGTACGCCGACGGCGGAAGCTCGGCCTTGACGATTGACACGGCGTCGGCGCCAATGACCACATCGACGTCGGGAATTGGGTCGTCCTCGATACGGAACATGACGTGGCCGACGACGCCGGCCGACGGATCCCAATGCTTGACAAAGTCGCGGAAGCAGGTCGCGATGTTGATGCCATCATCCTCGTCGTCCGAGTATCCATACTCGTAGTCGTCATAGTACGAGTCGTCGCCGTCGCCATCTGGCTGCGCCGCAGTCGCAGGCTCTGCCAGCGCGTTGGCGGTCTCCATGTCGAACGAGTTGAGAAAGGCAAGCGCAAGCGCGTCGGCGCCGACAGCCGAGAGCCCTCCGCCGACAAGCGCCGTTTGCGCCGAGACTCGACCCATGAGCCAGCTCAGCCACGCCATCCGGGTGCCCTTCACCACCACCAGCGGCTTGCCGAGCTGGCCGCGCGCCATCCGCAGACCGGCCGGCGTCACGCCAAGCGTCAGCACCATTCGCGCTGCAGCGAGCTCGATGTCAAAGTGCACACACGACGGCAGCCCGCTCGCGCTGCGGTGTGCTCCGGGCAGCTTGCGCAACGCCTCAAGCAAGACCGGATCCGGCTCGATGTTGGCAAAGATCGGCTTTTCTGTAGGTGCCGGCGGCGACGGCGGTGCCTCGTCCAAGTCCGGCTCCGGCACAGCATCGACGCCGTGTGCACTTGCAAAGAGCGACGGGCCGGTGGCTTCCGGAAGCTCCTCGCTGTCGTCGTCGCCAAAGAGCGTTGAGTAAACCTCGGTTGACTTGGCCTTCGACGGCGGCGAGGTCGACAATGCCGAGCCGCTGCTCTCACTGCCGCCATCGTCGTCGCTCTCGCCGGAGGCTTTCGCGCCTGCAGCGGGCCGCCCGTTGGGGAACAGCAGCGCCTCCTCCTCGTCCGAGTCAGGAAGCGGAGTAGCATGCTCATCGGCCTCATCGCTCTCGTCGTTGTCATCGTCGGACATCTGTAGCGTTCCGCTGGCTGCGGCGCCAGACGGCACAATCTCGGGCTCGGGCTCGGGCTCTGCCTTGGGCTTTGGCTCGGTCAACGAGTCAAAAGCCGACTTTTCCTGCGCCTTGACCTCTTCTGTGTCGGGTATCTTGCGACGTCGCTTCTTCCGCCGCCGCTTGATGACAGTGGTGCCGGGCGACGGGGCATCGGGACCAGCGGCTCCGGCGGCGTCGGCGGCCTCATCCTTACCCTTAACCACGGCGACGGCGACATTGGCCTCGTCGGCGCTTGCGCACCCTGTACTGGCATCGTCAGCGTCCGCGACATCGTTGGTATCGTCATCATCGGCATCGGCATCGGCATCGGCAGCGAGTGAAAAACCGCTCTGCCGTTTTTCGCCGGCAAGGAGGGCAGCCACACGCTCCTTGTCATCGGCCGAGACAACTACATCAGCGGCGGCAGCCTGCGGCTCAGACGGCGCGGCGCGGGTGGCCGCCGACGAGCCTGCCACATCGGCAGACGACGGTAGCGTTGGCAACTTGCCGTGCGGCAAAAGATGAGGAAACTTGAGAAAGGCGGCGTCGCGCTCCTCGCGTGTGATGGCCACGCCGTCGAGCTCGACAAGCGAGGGCAGATTAGCGATGATCTCGGCCCGGTACGACGACTTTTTGGCAAGTCGGTTGCCCGAGAGGTCAAGCATCCGCAGGCGTGGCGCGTCAAACAGGCCCTTCAGCTGCCGCATCTGCGTCAGGTAGTTGTTTGCCAGCGAGAGCACTTCCAGAGCGATACAGTTCTTGAATGAGCCCAGATCATTGATCTTGTGTCCCGACAGATCAGCCTCCACCAGCTTGCGCAGATCCACACGCTATCCACCTGATCAGTACACCTCTTTGCCCCTCCCCCCCCTCGCACACACACACTCTCTCTGTCTCTCTCTCTCTCTCTCCTCTCCCCTCTTCCCACCCAGCCACCACCCACTACATACCTTTCCCAACTTTGCCCCAATCTTGTCCACCGTTAGCTTGGGCATAGTCCCCCTTCCTGTGACAGCTGTGCCAGCAAATGCGGAGAAGTGTGTGTCCCCCTCCCCTGCCCCCTCCGTCCCCCTTCCCCCTCCCTCTTGTCACTCGTGTGACACGACATTGTCGTGTCTGTGCGCTGGGGACAAATGATTGAGACAGAAATGCGCATGAGTGGGGGGGGGGGGGGGGGTAGTAGTGGGAGTGGTTGATATGATGGATAGCATGGATAGCGCATGTGTGGGATGTTTAGGATGGGGGGGGGGGGGGGGGGAGGGGGGGGAAGGGAGGGGGCATGATGTGACCGTGATCTGGCCCAGTACGGGATAAGCAGCACCAAAGCACACAACTTGCACCAAGTCAGATCAGTATCCATCTCCCCCCTCTCCCTCTCCCCATCAACACAATACCAACACTGATGATGTTCTTATTGTGCCATTCTTGATCAGCTGCATGTGGTTGTTCAGCATGCCACAGTTCATCTCCACCCCCCCCCATGCATTCCCCCGCACTGGCACCGCATGAACACGTCAGTCGCGCCCCCTCGGCTCTCCATACCACATGGCGACCCACTCCTCCTCCTCCTCCGCCACAACCACCGATCATGCACTGCCTACGCCGTGGACTACAGTCGGCTGTTGCATGTGGTCTCATCCTTCCTCCTGGTGGGAAGGGCTCACTGCCTGCAGAGACTGCCGTGGCCATGGAAGCTGTCCTTGACGATGTTCGGCTGTGTGAGGCTATGGCCCTCGCTCTTACACATCCCCAGCTTCATGCTGCACACAATACGCAGCTTCCGAGCTTATCATTGCTCTCGCCAGATGCTATTGTCGCGGCTGTCAATGTCCTCGCTGAAGCGCCCTTCAAGCCGCATGTGGTTCATCTCGCCGCTGCTCTCGCATCAGCCTGGCTCCTCGCTCTCGCTGAGCTGCCGGATGATGCTCAGCTCGCCGGCCTTGCCGACCCGCTCTTGGGGCTTCTCTCGCTCGCCGACCGCGTCTCGTCGCGCGTCCGCAGATCGGCCCCGCTTGCTCTCCGCTTCTACGCTGCCGAGCTGACTGCCGCTGTCCACGCCCTCGAGGCGCGTCTGCTTGGCACCGCCGCCCCGGCCCCACTTCTGGACGAGGCACTCTCCGCTGCGCTTGGCCCGAAGGCTGATATTCCGCTAGCACTCAATCAAGTCCTTGCTGCTCCGTCAGCCTGGTATGGTGCTGTCTTGCTCGTCCGCGCCGCCACCCCTTCACTACTGAGCCCCGCGCCGCACGCCGCCGCCGCCGTCCTCGTCGCCCTCGACGCCGCTCGCGCCAACCTTGCCAGTAAGGTCCTCATCAGCACCTGCCAAGCTCTTGCCCTTGCTACCGCTGCCTGCCCGTCTGTCGATCGTGCTGTCGCGCTCGTGGCCGGCTCCAGCGCTTCCGGTGGCCTCCCGCTTGGCCTCGCTGACCTCGCGGTCTACGATGCATGCCATGCTGCGAACCACAACGCAGACGTCTGCTCTGCTGCTTCCGCCGCCATCGCATTTGTTCGTTCCGAGCTCCCGACCCCACGCCCCGCGCTAGCGGCCGCGCTCGCCGACGCTGAATCGCTCAACGCACCCGCCCCCACCGGCAACATCGGATACGCTGCCCAGGTCGAGGCCGCTGCCGCCATCGCTGAACCAGCTTACGCCGACTCGCTTGCCAAGCACCTCGCCGCCCGCGAGCAAGATCTCGAGGTCAAGCTGCAGAAGACCGCCGCCTCGCTCTCGGACGAGGTAGTCCACTCGGCGACGCTCACTCAGGATCTAGCCTCGACCCGTGCCGAACTGGACGAGTACAAGGCCCGCCATGCCGCAGCATGCTCTCGAGTTGAGGAGCTCGAGGCGACTACAACTGGTCTCGCGGCAGAGCTTGCCGAGACTCGTGACGCACTCGCCGCCCAAACTCGTGCCACGCGTGCCGCAGAGCTCCTCCGCACAATGGCCGAGGCCGAGCTTTTGTCGCGTTCTAGCCAGCCCGTCTCGGCGCCGCCGACGCCACCGCGGTCTCCATCGCCGACGCCTCGTCATGAAATCGGCGTCACGCACCTCCAGGCTCTCAATTCGCGACTCGAGCTTCTGCAGGCTGAAAACGCCGAGTTGCTCAAGGCCAACAAGAAGGCGTCGGGCCTCCGTGCTCGCCTCCGTCAGGTCCAGGCAGCCAACGATGAGCTCGAAGATGCCATGGCTGCTACCCGCTCCGACGTTGTCGCCGCCCAAGTCCGCCTCACCTCGCTAGAAAAGGCTCTCACCGGCGAGATGCTAGCCCATGACAACACGCTCGCTTCCCACCTCGCCACCCTTGGCGATCTGCTCCGCACGCTGGACGCGCCGCTTGCCGACTCGCTCTCGGCATCGTCAACGCCACAGCTCGGCTCCAATGCGTCGACGCCATCCGAGGGCGCAGACGTGCTTGACAGGCTGCGTCTTGTCCAGTGGCGCCGCGAGCACGTCATCCAGCAGATCCAGATCCAGGCTCATCAGCTCGAGGACCTCCTTGCCCGCCTCTCCTCGTCGGTTGTCGCGCAGTCGACCTCGATCGACAGCCTCACCTCGCGCCTCGAGCTCGTCGACGCCGCCCGCCGCGAAGCAGACGCCCAGGTCGGCCAGCTCACCGAACACCTCAACGTGGGCCTTGCCCAGGAAGCCTCCCTTCTCGAGGGCAAAGAGGCTGCCGAAAAGGCACTTGATGACCTCCGGTCATCGCTATCTGCCGTCGTTGCCAACCAGGCCGCTGCCACCTCGCTCACCACGTCGCGCTCCTCCGCCTCGTCTGCCTTGCTCACCGCCGCCATCTCCAAAGCATCGGACGTGGCTGCGCAGCTGACTCTCGATGCCGCCTCGACTCATGCCGCTCTCGATGCCCTCACAGTAGCAGACAGCGATGCCACTACCGTCGCGGCATCCTCGCTGGCACTCTCGTCCACCCTTGCCGCGCACGAGCCGCCGGCAGTCCAGGAGTCGCTTGACGAGCTTGATGCCGAGTATCAAGCCGCCCTGGACGCCTTTCGGTCTCTCCAGGACTCGCTCCCAGAAGAGACAGACGTCCGCGACACGCTTGTTGCCCAGTCGGAGCTCCTCGGCAAGCTGGCCCGCCTGGGCGCCGAGCGGCAGGCCGTGCTCGAAACCGCACTCTCCAATGCACTGGCCTCTGTTGCTGCCACCCATGACAGCACCCATGCCGCCACCGAAGACCGCATCGCCGCGCTCGCCGCCCGGATCGAGGCTGCCAGGGCGTCGTCCGCTGATGGCCGCGACGCGCTCCTCGCTTCAAGGCAAGATGCCGCCCGGCTGCTGGAGCACATGTCCATGATGCAAGGGCTTTTGCTCGCCGAGCAGGTCTCAGCGTTCAAGACGCTGCAAGCTCGCGAAGCCGACCTACTCGCCCTCCTCTCATCGGTGGCGGCATCGCCGTCCGAGACCTCGTCTGTGCGCGCAAGCTGGGACGAATACACTTTGTCGCTTGCCGAGTTTGAGGCCCTCGTTTCGGTTCCGGATCTCGAGCCAGCCTTTGCGGTTGTTGCCGAGGCTGAGGCTGAGACTACCGCTGCGCGCGCTGCCCAGCTCTCGGCCTCCTCGGCCTTGCTCGATGTCAAGATTGCCGCACTCCGGGCCGCCGCGGGTGCCCTCGAGAACACCCTCAACGACTCGGCCTCGGCCCTCAATCGCTCGGCCTCGTTTGATGCCGTCTCGTTTGAGTCGGCCCAGGCTGCGCTCCACGCCGAAGCCGACGCTGACGCCCAGCTTGATGCCCTTCGCGCTCAAGCCGAGGCCAATGTTGCGGCAGGAAACGCCGTCGCCAACTTTATTGCGCGCGTTGCGGCCGAGCTGGCCGCTACCGGCTCGCCGCTCGACCGCGCCCTCGCCAACGTTGACGCCGCCCGTGCCTCAGTCAACGCTGCCGCGCTCTCCCAAGCCACCGCTGCCAAGGAGACCGCCAACGACGCTGTTGCAGCCATGCTCCAGCAACTCTCCGGCGCGACGTCCAAGGGTGTCAAGGCCCGCATCCGGCTGGAGACCTCACTCGCTACGTCGCGCGCCGAGGCTACCGCTGCGGCCTCGCGCTCCGCTGCTGCTGCCAAGCTTGCACTTCTTGACCGCCTCGCTGCCGCCCTCACCGACGCTGCCCCAACCTCTGAAGCTGCTGTCGAGGCTGTCATTGCCGACTTTCGCGCCGAGCACGTTGCTCGGGCGAGCGAAGCCGACGAGACTGCAACCCAGCTGGCAGCCGCCGCGCTGGCGGACCACCAGGCACGACTCAAGACCATCGACGACCCGCAGCTCTTTGATGCCACAATGGCCGAGATTGCCGCGCTCAAGACCCGGGCCTCGCATGCTCACTTTGAGCGACTCGACGAGCTCCACACCCATGTTGCGCTCATCGAGTCGGCGTCGGTCGCCAACGTCCTTGCCCGCGCCGACGCTGTCCAAGCCGCCACTGCCAAACTCCTCGCCGAGTCTGCCGCCGCCACAGAGCGGTCCGAGCTCGATCTTCGCACCCAGCTCCAATCCAAGCTCACGGGCATCATGGCCGAGCTGGAGACCAAGAAGCTATCCGAGCGCCGACAGGGCCAGCTGCTGGCTGCCATGGCCGAGGCCAAGGCGCGGTCCGTGGCCGAGATCGATGCTCTCCACCACGCCCATCAGCGTTGCGCTGCCGCCGCCGAGGCTCTCTTAGCATCGTCCTGCACCGCCGCCGTCGCCCAGTCCTCGCCGCTCCCGCAGTACACGCGGAGTCTGGCGTCGGCGCTTCGTGACGCCGCCACCGACGTGGGCGGCGAAGCCCGCAAGCTCCGCGACTCGCTCACCAAGACGCGCCTCGATAGCGCGAGCGTCCGCAGCGTCCTCCACGCCGTCGAGGAGCTCTCGGAGCGGTATGAGGCCGAGCTCGATCGCATCCACGACGCCGGTCATGATCAGCTCGCCGCCGAGCTCTCGGCCTCGCAAAAGGCCACGTCTGCCAAGGTCTCGCACATTGCCAACAAGCTCCGTGCAGCTCGCGAGGCCGCCATGGACCGCGGCGCGCGCAATCTCGACATGCTCAAGCTGCAGCTCGCCGCTGGTCCGTCCGCCTCTCGCTCACCGCGCGGCGTGGCGCTTGCCGCCGACGCCACCGAAGAGCTCGCCGGTCAGCTCGGCGAAGTCCAGGACGAGCTCTCGCGGGTCCGCCACGAGGCCAACGAGTCGCAATTCCAGCTCCACCGACTGCACGCACTCACCACGGCGCAGCTGCGGAGCATGGCTGACGACGACGGAGACGCGCCGTCGCCAAATGGTACCGAGCCTGACTACTTTGCCTACACCATTGGCGCAAGTCTTGCCCAGGCGCTTGCCGATGCCGACGCACGGATGGCGAGGCTGGCACTCGCACACAAGGCGGAAAAGTCGGTTCTCGAGGCCCGGCTTGCCGATGCTGGATCTGACGGTGAAGCGCGCGCTGTAGAGGCCGCGCTCGAGGACAAGGCAATCATCCACGATGCGGTCCACGCCGCCCATGTTATTGTCCGGCGCGCCATTGTCGATGCGCAGGGCGTGCCGCCCACCCAGGCAGCACGTGCTCTCCGTGAGGCGCGCGGCCGCCTCGCCGACATCTACGCCGCCAAGGCCGAGGCATACACGACAGGCATGACCGCGACGCTGGCCGGCGTTCAGGCCGAACTGGCTGTGGCCGAGCCGGGCTCGGCCCGGGCCAAGGTCCTTACCCAGCGGGTTGATGACCTTCAGCGCGAAGCGAATGTCTGGCACCGCGCCGCCGAGACCGGCAGGACTGCCGCCGACGGACAGCTTGGTCGGTTGCTCGAGTTTATGATGGAGGCCGAGGCGGCACAGGACGACGCGGAGCGAGTAGCCGCCGACTCGGTCGTTCGACGGGTGGCGCAGCGCGAGCGGTCGGCGTCGCGCGAGACCGAGGCCCTGCTCCGGGCCATGCCCGGCTCGCAGAGCGACGGTCCGGCGGCAGCGCGGACAGTGGCGCATCTTCGCCAGCGCCAGACCCGCAGCAACTCGATCCACTCTGCGCACCTGGCCGCTGTTCGTGAGCGGCTCGACGAGCTCAAAACTGTGCAGCCATCGCCCAACCTCAACGAATCGCGGAGGATGTTTGCCGAGACGCAGCGCGCGCTGCATCAGATGGTGGCGCTCGCCGACGAGCACGCCATTGAGCAGGATGCCCGCATCGCGTCGTTGGTGGACCAGCTCGCGCTGGCCACCAAGGAGCGTGCGGTGCTAGCCGCCGACGCGCGCGAGCTCCGGGAGTCGCGGACCCAGCTCGCAGCCCAGGTCTCGCGGCTCTCTGCGCTCCACGAGGCTGACCTCAAGGCGCAGGCCTCGTCGCTCGACGCGCTGCTGACCGAAATGACGTCTGCGTCGGGTGTCGCGCCGACCGCCGGTCCCCGGTTTGAGGACATGGCAGCGGAAGCGCCGTGGCAGGCCCGGACTCGGGCACAGCCGCAGGCTCAGGCGCAAGAGAACCACACCCAGCCTGATGATGACACCCCGCTTGTGGCGACTCTTGCGCCGGCGTCTGTCGTCGCTGCCCCCGCTCCTGCGCTCCCCGCGGCTTCGCTTGACGACGTCCTTGGCGTGCTAGGGGACCACTACGAGGCGCTGCGAGAGGCTAACGCGCTTTCGACGAGTGCCATGCTCGCTGACATTGCGACGCATGCGGCACAGGCTGGCGCCGGGCCGGTGCAGGCTCAGGTGTGTGCTGAGCTCAGCCGAGCAGCCGAGGCAGCTGGCGCCGAACGCGACAGCGTGCTTGTGGCCAAGATCGAGTTTTTGGCGCGGGCCAAGGCTGAAGCCGGAGTGTGGGCGGCGGCGAGCGGTGCGCCGCTCTCGGATCTGGGTGCTCTCCTGACTGCGGCGAGCCAGCGAGTTCAGGGCGAGTTCGAGGCAACATCTGCTGAGGTGGCACGGGCGGCCGACGCCGAAATTGCGGCGCTCTCGCGCCAGCTGCTCGAGGTGACTAAGCCTGCGCAGCAGGCCAAGCTGATGGCCAAGCTCGAGGGTGCGCGCGAGGCCAAGGCTGCTTCGCTGGCGAGCCTCGATGCGAGCAACGACGTTGCTGCCGACGTGCTCTCGGACATGCTTGCCGAACACCGTGCTGCGATGGTGCCTGCCGAGGTTGCTGTGAAGATGGGTGTGCCAGCGCCAGATGCGGCCGAGACTCGGGCCCGCGTGGCTGCGCTGCGCGAGGCGCTGGCTGCTTGTGAATCGAGCGGTCGAGCCGACTTGGCCGAGACCCGGCGGATTGTGCTCGAGGCCGAGGAGGTGGCGCGGGCCCATGATCATGGGCTGGTGGCGCGGGCGTCGGCGGTCGAGCACGCCGTGGCTCGGCTCAAGGGTGCCGAGCTGGAGGCCGGCATGGAGGCTGCCGCCGAATGGCGGCAGGCTGCGCACGCCACATCGATCGACATGGTCAAGACGCTGCGCGACGAGCTGGCGGCGAGCAAGGCAGCACTTGCGGAGCTCGAGGTCCGGACCCAGACAACCTCGCAGTCACTGCTCAACACCAGACGCGAGCTTGATGAAGAACAGAGTCAGCTGAACCAATCCCGGAAGACGTTGGACGAGACGAACCAAGTGCTACAGGCTACTCAAGATGCGTTGGCCATGCTTGACAGCACGCTAGCGGAGCAGGCGAGCAGCGCTTTGGCCGACCTCAATGCTGCATTGGCGAATGCTGGCCTCGACGAGGCGCGCGCCGCGGGATCTTCGGCACTGTTTGAGGTATCTAGCCGACCCGAGAGCTCGAGCGCCGCTGTGGCCGACGCGCGGCGGCTGAGCAAGTCCGGCACGAGCGTGGCTGACACGTTTGCGACGCTGGAGGCCGGCCTGGCACGGAGCACGGAGGCTATTGCGAGCCTCTCGGAAGCGCTGCGAACGAGCGAATCGGGGCTTGACACTAGTCGGGCGCGCTGCCTTGCGCTGTTGGGCGAGCGCGATGCGGCGCTTGACGCGGTCGATGACCTTGCGGCCATGCTTCGGTGGTATGCGGCCGAGGCTGTTGACGCCGGAAGGTCGCGGGTGGGCATGCTCGATGAGCTGCGGGTAGCAGTGAGCAACGCTGACGGCGTGGCCAACAACGATGTGGCGGTCAACAAGACCGAGACCGAGCTCTGTCGCAAGGCTCACGGCGTCACCTCCTGGCTCCGCGAGCCGCTGCTGCCTGTGCCGTTCGAGGCTGCGCTGGCGTCGACGATCCGGCTGCTAGAAAGCCAAGCCGAGGTGCTGGGTCGGTTGGCAGAGGTCGAGTCTAGCGTCGGCGAGAGCTTGGATGTGGCAGATACAACGCTGCTGGTGCCAGCGGGTGGGGCGAAGGCGGTGGCTGAAAGCCTGGTGGCAGCCAGGGTCGTCGCGGAAGCGCTGTCCAACTCGCCGACACCCGCACAGGCAATCGATGCGCTCGATGAGGTGGAGGCCAAGGCTGGACAGACCGAGGGCGGGCGACAGGTAGTTGCAATGCTGCGCCACCTTGTTTCCGGCCAACGCGCGCTGGCGCCGCAAGCGTACGTGCGGCGGTGGGCATACCAACTCGCGCGAAGCCGCGCCGATAGCGCACGGGTCTCCCGCGTGCTCGACAAGGTGCATGCTGTGGGCGGCGGCGAGCGCGGGCTGCGGCTTGCGCGGACTCTCCTCGGCGTGCCTCCCGAGGTAACCGAGGCCGAGACAAGCCGGCAGACCGAGGCGATGCACGAGGCCAACAGTGTGTGCAAGCACGTGTCGGAACAGGCTCACAGTGTGATGGCCGGGCTCGAGGCGGCAGGCGACGAGGGCGCGGCTGCTGTCCGCGAGGTGATCCGCGAGCACGATGCGGCTGCGGCGGAGCGGCTTGACTTGCTTGCGCACCTGCAAGCTGTGCTCCGATCCGAGATCGAGGCCGAGGATCTCGGGCAGGGTCACGACGCGGACGACCACTCGGACGTGGAAGACAACGTCGTTGCGGTGCGGAGCGGCGACGGTCAGCTAGTTCCGCTCACCGTGAGCGCGGCGACCGTGGACGAGGTCGAGCCCGCGGCGATGATGCTGCGGCGGCGGCTGCGGGGGCTTGCGCACGAGCCAGGTCACAGCGTCGAATCAGCGGTGGAGGAGGTGGACGCAGTGTTTGAAGGCCTCCCGTCAGAGCATCCCGCCGTGCTAGGCGCCAAGCTCGAGAGCGTGCGCGTTTACCACGCGCAGCGGCGAGCGGCCAACGCCACTGCGCTGCTCCAGGCGTCGCAGCAGCTTGCCAAAGCGCAGTCGAGCGTCCGGCTCGACGGCACGGTCTCGCCGGGCCTCATGCGGACGGTGAAGAACGCCAAGGCGGCACTGCAGCGCGAGTTGAAGCGGGCCCAGACCGAGACGGCGCTGCTGCAGGAGATCGAGGCAGAGACCAAGGCCAGCATCGCATCCGAGTCGCTGCGGGTGGTGAGCAAGGAGGAGGAGGCGCTCGGGCCGGATGAGCTGCAGCAGCTGGTTGGCTCGCTCAAGTCCCGGGTCCGCCGGCTGGCGCGGCTGGAAGAAGTGCAGGTGAGCAACCAGAACGCAAGCGGTGAGGTGGTCTCGGCCGTCTCGGCCCTGCTCCTTGACGAGATGGATGCGACCCGGCGGCTGCAGCACGAGAAGCAGATGATGGAGGAGGAAGCGGCGGCGGCGGAAGAAGACAAGGCGCAGCTGGCGCACTCGCTGTATGCAGCACAGAACGAGCTGGCGTCGTTCAAGGCCTCGGCCGAGCACCGCAAGGCCATTGCGGTCATGGAGTCGCGGCTGGAGGAACTCGAGGCAGCGGCGGCGGAGGATCCGGACAACGCCGAGCTGCAGGCGGCGCTGGCCGCGCTCCGCGACGAGCTGGCAGCCAAGGAGGCCGAGTACGAGTTGGAGCTTGCGCTAGCCAAGGAAATCGAGGCCGGCTTCCTCGCCGTCAAGCAGAAGATCCACGTGACCGGCCGGAAGGAACGCGCCGCGCTCGAGAACGAGCGCGCGCAGTCTGCCGCCATGTACGACGAGCTGCTGGTAGAGGTCGAGGATCTCGAGGCCAAGGTTGTTGCACTCGACGCCGAAAACTCAACGCTCAAGCGCAAGCTCTTCCAGCAGGGCCGCCGGCTCTCGACCTCGTCAGGCTCGGTGGCCAACGAGGAGTCGCGCCTGGCGGTCATCGCCGCCGCGCGGGCCGCCCGCGAGAAGCAGGTCTCGCTCAAGGCCAAGGTCACCGAGCTCGAGTCAATGCTGCGGGTGAAAAGCGCGATGAAGCCGCGCGCGGCGGCGGCGAGGAGCCTCAACGCTACCCCGTGAGGCTGTGGCAATGAATGCGTATGTGCGCACGTGGTCGTGGGTGACGGTTGTGCACCAATTACAATTTTTTTGCCATTGGTCGCACCCAAATCATACAACTCCCCCCGCAGCTGCTGATCTCGCTGGCCGACCTCGTGGTTGGGCGACTCGCCACCGGTCTCTCCGCGCTTGGATTCGTACGTCGACGAGGAGAGCATGAGCAAGAGAGGAAAGGGAGGACGAAGAGAGAGAGAAGCGAGTGTGTTGGGCGGGGAGGGGATAGGGATGGACATAGCTATAGTTCATGGTATCCCCCCCCCAGTGTAGGCCATGCCAGACGAGCTACTCTTCCCCGTACCATGCATGACCACTCCCCCCAGCTCGGAAGCCGACCTTGGGGCCGTTGCCATTTTTTCGCCTGAACGAGGAAGGCACCACCATGACCTTCCGACAAGGTGTTCCTTGCGGCAAGCGAGGAGGGATGGGAGGGGGGAAGGAGTGGTGGGGAGAGAGGGTGGAGGAGGGGTGGTGGAGGAGGAGGAGGAGGAGGAAATGAGAGGGTGTGGCAGCGTGGGGGCGACGGGGGCTAGGGTCGCTGCGGGGGGCAAGAGTGGCTGGCTGGCTGGCTGGCTGGCTGGCTTGGCTGGCTGGCTCGGGCAAAGGGACTCGCTCGGGCAAAACGGAAGATGGTTCACTAACAAGCGAGGGTATGGAGGGAATAGACATGTCGAGTAACGCGGAAGCGCTTGTGCTGCTCAATGAGCACGCGCAGGGTATGCTGACGAGGGTGTACAACCTCAAGACGACGTTCAACTCGGACCGTGCGCCCGAGGCCATGCGCGAGCCGGCGCTGAAGAAGATGCACGCGGCGATCGAGAAGCACTTTCCGTCTGTCCCGCCCAACTTTGAGAGCATGCCCGGGTACGACCTTGTCGACCGCAACGCGCAGCAGTACGAGGCCGAGCTCCAGGAGTACTACTTTGTGTTCCAGGAGTGCCTCGAGTTCAAGGAGGTGGCGTACAAGGTGCTTGCGGACATGTCGACGTCGACGCGGACGTTGGACATGAGCATCAACCCGCGCCAAATGACCGAGTACCTCGATCTGATGGTGGCGTACGCGCAGCTGCAGATGCTTGTGGCGTCGGTTGCGGAGCGCCGGATTGTGGTCGGCTTTTACGCCCGTGCGTACTTTCGGATGAAACTCAAGGAGGAGGAGCACTACTCGGGCATTTGCACGTACCTGCAGGAGTACTCTGAGCCGCGCGAGCGGCTCATCGAGGAGTTTGCGTCGATCTCGTCGCTGGTCGGCTCGGCGCTGACCACGCTGCAGATGCCGTACATGAAGCTGCTCTCGACAGCGCAGCTCCGCGACGACGGCGACATCTCGATTGTGTCACACGCCGGGGCGGCTGCGGTGGTGCCGGCCAACGGGCCCATCTACACTGCGGCGCGCAACATGGAAAAGTACACCATGTGGATCCTGTTTGGCACCCTCCTTTGTCCGAACGAGCTGGCGTCGGCCAACCTGTTTGGCCTCCTCAAGACGGCTCTTTCGTACGTCTCGATGCTCCCTGTCCACCGCGACGTGCTTGTTGTCATCCACAACGAGTTCCAGCAGGTCTTTGCCTCGTTCAACGGCTCGGCCATCAACCTGACCAAGCAGAAGAAGTTTGTGGTCGAGACGTCGACGACGTTTACCCAGACCGCCGGAGCGACGCACCGCGAGCGGCGGCAGTGGCTGCGGCAGGCGCTGGCCTCGCTGTACTCGATGTGTGCGGGCGAGCCGGGCCTTCTCGGCCCAAAGCTCCCGATGGTGCTGGCGGCGTGCGCTCTGGCCACCGACGAGATCAAGTTCTACGTCCACCACCACGGCCGCGAGGAGCTTCCTCCGAACAAGTCCAAGGCCAAGCACAACGCGGCCGAGTTTGAGGACCCGACGGTGCCGACAATTGTGTACTACGTCGATGCGTTTGTTGACCTGCTCGAAAAGTACGAGGACGATATCCTGGCGTACCATGTCAAGTACCTGCAAACGACCGACGTCAACGGTCTGCAGCATGCACTCAACGCGTTCTCGGCCGAGTGCGGGCTCGACCAGGAGCCGCTCGACGTGTTTGAAGACATCATTTCCGCGTGCGAGAACGCGTCGGCCGGTAACCGCGCGCTGATGGAGACCATCTCGCTCAACTGGATGCGGCTGCAGGTCATCTATTGCTCGCAGCAGGCGCCGTTCCAGCCGACCAACGTCGCGTTCAAGAACCTTGCCGCGAGGCTCAACCTCATTTCGCAGCACGCCGAGGTGGTGGGCAACTTCAAGTCGACGGTCCTCAAGCACGCCTCGCTCGACATGCTCTTCTGGCACCGCCCAACCTTCCTCGCCATGTTCCAAGGCGCGGTCGGCTCGCCGACGCCGCTGGCCATGCACTCGATGGCCATGGCCAAGGTCTGCGACACCTTTGCCTACCGGACCTCGCGCTTCCTGCCTGAGGAGCGGGTCCACATCGGCTCGCAGGGCATCGAGCTCGCCACCCAGGTCTTCTCGGCCATGGCCAAGCAAATCACCAACATGTGCCAGCGGGTCGGCGAGTCGATCCTCTCGCTCAAGTCGCAGCTCGCGCCAGTCGAGGCCTTTAAGCTCTTCCAGGCCCAGCGCGACGCTGCGGCGGCCGGGACGGCGGTCAACCCGAGCGCCGGCGGTGCGCTTCCGGGCACCGAGTCGATTCCGGCCAACCGCAATGCGGTTGCGCGCATGTCCGAGGCGCTTGTCATCCTCCGCTACCTCTGCATGGCCTTTGGCGAGCACGAGGCCGTCCGCGTTTTTGACTCGGTCATTGTTCCTCGTGAAATCCTTGTCCGTGCCATCAAGGACGTCTTCTCAGCGCTTGTCCTCAAGCTCTGCCGCTCCGAATCGGGCATGATTGCCCGCCCCTCGCAGCTCCTCTCGCGGCTCCAAGCGTACCTGCACGGCTTCTCCCTTGTCGAGCGGTACATCGACGTGAACGTGCAGGAGCTCATCCGCACGGTCATGGTCCACCACTCGTTCTCGACGACACTCGAGCAGCAAAAGTCCGGAGTCGAGGCCGAGCCGCAGGCCATGGTCATGGTCGACTTTGTCGCCAAGTGGTACACCGAGTTTGTCCTCCGCAAGGTTGTCGACGGCGTCTGCTTCTCGCCGCTCAACGGGTCGTTCATTACCCCACCGGTTGCCGGGCGGACCGGCCCGTTTGCGCAGCACTTTCTCTCCGAGCCCGAGATCCGCGCCCTCGTCACCCTCCTCGGCCCGTACGGTGTCGACGTCATGGACCACCATCTTGTCAACGGCATCGGCCGGCACATTGTGCTGATGAAGAAGATCCTCGCCGCCAACCGCTCGTACACAGAGGAGCTCGTCACCAACTACCACGCCGAAGACCCCGCCGCCGAGACCATCGCCAAGTTCCAGTCGCTGCCGCAGCTGACCTCGTCGGTCGTCGCCATCGGCAACATCACCTTCCTCCGCAACATGCTGCGCAAGGCGCTGCGCGAGGCCGTCCGCGACGCCACCCCGTTCATCGCCTCGGTCGTCGAGTCGACCGTCCGCCAGTACGCCATCAACTACGAGCGCGAGCCCAAGCTGCTAGGCATGGACCAGCTCGCCAAGTACTGCGGCTCAGACCGCGACCCGGACCACCTGCTCCTCGGCGTGTGCGCACAGGTGACCAAGGTCCAGGAGGACGTCCAACTCTGGGCCCGCCTCCCCTTTGTCCTCGCCGCCTGCTTCTCCTGCACCGCGGTGTGGGGCCAGCCTTCGGCCCGCTACGACCCCGACCTCGAGGCCGCCCCGCTCGGTGGCCACGCCTTTGCCCAGGCCGCCGCCCTCCTCATCTCTGCATTCACCATTACCCTCGAGGCCATGCGCGACCTCCGCCCGGGCTCTATCACCCGCGGCGCCGTCGTCTCGTCGCGCCTCTTTGTCGAGGTCTCCTCCGTCATCATCCTCCGCCTCTTCAAGGTCGAGGGCAAGGCCGCGAACCCGCAGATCCCCTCGCTCCTCGTCGCCCTCGACAAGTTTGTCCAGGCCTCGGAGTTTATCTCGCAAGAGACCGCAGACGTCTTTGTCCCGTATGCCGCCACCCGCTCAGCCTACCGCACTCTCTACCAGCCGCCCGAGGAGCCGCCCAAGCGCATCAACTTTGAGATCACTGGCGATGTTCCTGTTGATCTTGATGCCATCTGATCCCCTCATACCCTACCCTCTCAATGTACAAAAGTTGAACCTCGGCGCCGTGACCACGATTGTGCGTGTGTGGTGAGGTGTTGCCGCATGTGCCAAACCAAGCATTCAAGCATTGGTTGTTGGCCGGCCATTCCACTCGACGGCACAGCCCTCCATGGCACGCACCCGCCGTCGCGAGACCTTTGCAAGCTACATTTACAAGGTGTTGAAGCAGGTATGGGTTCCATGTGGGTGATGGTTGGGGTGGGTGGGTGACGGTTGGGGTGGGGTGGGGGGGGGGGGGGGGGGAGGGGGAGGGAGGGGGTGGCAATGGAAGCCTGTCTTTTTCTTTCGACACGCAAGCAAACAGGCGACACACACTACACGCGCGACAATTGCAACAGGCGCATGTCACGCGCATACACACACATACGAAAACTCATACAAAAGGGGGGGTGCGGTGCTGGTGGCGGTGACGGTGGCGGTGCCGGTGCCGGTGGCGATGGGAATGGCGATGACGATGGCTCGGTGCGGGGCTGGCTATGATCGGGATGGCTCGAATGCGGGGCTGGCTCGATCCCGGGATGGCAATGATCGGGATGGCTCGAATGCGGGGCTGGCTCGATGCGGGGCTGGCTATGATCGGAATGGCTCTGGGCCACAACTGGACGTGCTAACCACGTCCGGGACGCTAGGTCCATCCGGATGCAGGCATCTCCAAGCAAGGCATGACGATGGTCAACGCGTTTGTGTTTGACACCCTGCGGCAGATCGTGGAGCTCGCCAGCAGAATCATGCCCATGATGGGCAAGACTACTGTTTCGTCGCGCGAGATCCAGACGGCAGTCAGGATTGTCATCCAGGGTGAGCTGACCAAGCATGCCGTTGCTGAAGGCTGCAAGGCTGTGACCAAGTTCTCAGGCTCTGGCTCTGGATACCGGTCGACAACGCGCTCGACTCGCGCCGGCCTGCAGTTCCCGGTCGGCCGCATCCACCGGTACATGCGGGCGATAGTCATCGGCCGGGTCAGCGGCAGCGCACCGGTCTACCTCGCGGCCGTCCTCGAATACTTGGTTGCCGAGATCGTCGAGCTGTCGGGCAACGCCGCCAGAGCTGCCGGCCGAATGCGGATCACGCCGATCGACCTCGAGACCGCCATCGGCGCCGACGCCGAGCTCGCCGCCCTCGTCGGCAACTCGCTTGTGCTGCGCAAGACTTGGAAGTCGGTGGCGCAAGGCGGTGACGCGAGCGACAAGCCGTGCGCCTCGTCTACCACCGCCAAGCCACCCAAGGGCTTCACCACTCCGGCGGGCGCCGCGGTCGCCGCGCTCAAGCTCTCGCGTGACTCGGCCCGCATCGAGCACTTTACGCTCGGGCTCTACGATGACGTCCGCGAGCGGCTCACCACCCGCCTCAACACGCTTCTCGGCGTAGTCCGAATCCTCGTCGAGTACCGCCGGAAGAAGACTATTTCCCAGGAGGATGTCATTCTCGCCCACATGTTTGTTGAGGGCTCGGTCCCGTACCTCCGCTTTGAGCCCAATGCTGTGACCAAGCAGCTGCCGCCTTCGGGTCTGCCCACAGCCTACGCCTCAGACACATTCATCGATCCAGAAGCGCTGAAGAGCATCGTGAACGAGCTCGTCGCCAGTGCGCTTGACGACTTGTATCTCAAGCTGAAGATCAAGGCCGTCGCGAGGACGGCGCTCGTCGAAATTGCCCACTCGTGGCTCGTCGCCGAGGAGGCCGAGGTGGCGCGGACAGCTCAGCAGGTCGCCCGCTCGCCGTCGCTCGCGGTGATCTTTGACACCTTTGCCGATGGCTCTGCCCAGACTAGCTCTGCCCGGCGAAACACCGAGCTTGTAGCCGAGATCGACAGGCTCCGCGCAAAGGCGTCGACGCTCCCTGCCGCCACCGCTGCCCAAGTTGCCGAGTCTCTCCGACAGGTCATGGCGAGCTTGCACTCTGACCAGTAAACCGCTTCCTCTCTGCTGCTGCACACAAAGACGCGCGATCAGACGAGTAAAGCCCTGCCCTGGACCTGCGGGGTCATTGCTGCACTTTATCGGCGCGTCACTCGGCAAGGATCTTCCGCAGCTGGTCCTTCTGGCCCGACGAAAGGCGGGCCGGCATGCGGATGTGGACGGTGACATACAGGTCGCCGCGGATGTCAGGCGTCTCAAAGTGCGGCATGCCCTCGCCGGCGATCTTGATGACCTGGCCTGGGCGGGTGATGCCGACGTTCTCAAGGTCAACGGTGTGGCCGTCAAGGTGAACCAGCGGAGTCGAGAAGCCGACAAGCGCGTCGAGGAGCGAGATTGTGGCCGAGGTATGAAGGTCGACCTGGTTGGCGTCACGGGTAAAGGTCGGATGCGGCGCGGTCTTGATGACAAAGATAAGGTCGCCGGGCACCATGTCGGGAGCCTGATCGGCCTCCATGGGGAACTCGACCCGGTGGCCGTCGGGCGTGCCCGACTCGAGCACAATGTCGATGACCGACGAGCCCGGGACGACCTTGCGCCCGCGACAGGCGCGGCAGACCGACTTGACAATCTTGCCTTTGCCGCCGCACTTGTCGCACGTTGTCTGCATCTGCTGGACAAAGCCCGGCGCCATCTGGTGGCGGGTAATCTTGACGCCGCGGCCGCCGCACACTGGGCACGTCTGCACGTCGTCGGGATCCTCGGCGCCGGTCCCGTCGCACTCGGGGCAGATGACCTGCTTGGCAAACTGCGCCTCGAGCGCGGTGCCCTCGTAGAGCGCGTCGAGCGCGACCTCAAACTCGATCTCGATCGACGGCCCTCGCCGCTCCTGGTTGCCGCCGCCGCCGCCGCGGTTGAAGCCAAACATGTCAAACGGATTGAACCCGCCGCCATGGCCCGAAGCCGCCTGCTTCTCGTGCTTCTCCACGGCCTTGACTCCGCCGCGGTCGTAGATCTGCCTCAGCTTCTCGTCGGTGAGGACCTCATACGCCCGCGCCGCTTCCATGAACTTGCTGTTTGCATCCGGATCATCAGGGTTCTTGTCCGGATGCAACTCCCGCGAGAGCTTCCGATACGCCCGCTTGATCTCCCGCTTGCTCGCCTTGGCCGTCACTCCGAGCACTGAGTAGTACGACGGCGTCCTCGCCTCGCTCGTCGCCACCAGGCACGCCACAACCACCGCAACCACGCACACGCACCATGCCACCAACGTCGTCCGCGTCACCCGCATCTTTGTGAGCTCAGTGAGTGAGTATGAGGCGGTGACAAAGTCAGAAGAAGTGTGGTGCGAGTGGGGAGCCGAGGCAGCGGGTGGAGGGGGATCGGACTGAGGTCAGAGAGTGTGTGGCTTGGCGTCGGTTGGTGGTTTTTCATGAAGGTGGCTTCGAGAGGGAGAAGGGGCGGGTGGGGGGTGGGCTGTCTAATTTTTTTGCTACGGCGCCCGGGGCTTTGACAGATCCCCCCCTGGCTTGACCTCGCTCCGCCGCCCACACTCAACACCTTGCTCGCAACGCTCACGTCTCCCCAATAGCGGTGGCATGGCACGCAACAAGCCCATTATGGCATGTATTGTCATTGCCATAGCTGCAGTCGTCGTTCTCCAGCTGAGAACGCCGACGCTGTCTGCCTCGTCGCAGGCGAGCACAGCGCAAGGAAGCCGACAGTCATCGCAGAGGATACAATCACATCGTGCTCCGCCCACTCCATCCGCTCCGCCCACTCCATCCGCTCCACCCGCTCCATCTACCCCGCCCGCCCCGTCCGCCCCGTCCGGCCCGTCCGTTCATTCAAGGCCTTTGTCGCCGGCAAGCACGGCATGGGGCGCGTCGCGGGCTGGACTCGTCCTCCCTCCGCTGAACCTGTACCAGCGGGTGGTGGACAACTGGTCGAGTGTGTGGGAGATGCATAATGTTGTCCTCCGTGGCGATGGCAAGATCGAGCTTGGTGGCCTCTCCGAGTCGGACAGAGCCGAGATCGACGCCGGTCTCGCCGACGAGACTCTCATCCCGTACAAGCTCTGGCCAGAGGGGCTGAGCGATCCCTGGCAAGGCCCAAAGACGGAGTCCATGGCCTCACGGCTGGTGCTCACCGACGATCCCGTCGATGAGGCCTTGTGCACCGAGATGCTCCCGCCAGACTCGACTGTCTTTATGGTCGCGCCGTGGGTCGCCGAGAACGCGTGGCACACGCACAACGACATCATCATGCCCATGTTCTTTAACGTGTGGCTCGCCGACACGCTCTCGTCCGACAAGGCTTCCAACAACGTGCTTTATGTGTTCAATCCCGGGCTTGCCCGCGCCGTCATCCGCGAGCTTCCAACCTTTCTCGAGCGCATCCTCTTTGGCGGCGGCATCCGCTCTACGAGCGAGCTCTCGGCATCGCCCGACGCGCGGATTTGCATTCCGCGGCTCCGCTACGGCCGCGGTCCGCTCTTGCTCTACCTCAACGATGAAGTCTTTCCAGCCCTGCGCGGGAAGCTCGGCTCGCCGGACACCGCTTGGCAGCACTTTTCGCCCGGCGAGATCACCACCGCGTATCGGGCTCACGTCTGGCAACAGCTCGGCATCGAGCCCAAGGCGCCGCTCGACGGCATGACCGGCATGGCAGGCAATGACCAAGTGCTCAACGGGAGTCGCACCATCCTCGTTCCGCGTCGCAGCTCACGGTCGTTCCGCCTTCCCGACGGCGAGGACGCGTTTGTCGACGCCCTCGCTGCGTATCCGCACCTGGACGTAGTCTCAGAGACCTTTGCCGGCTCGTTCACCGATACTATCACCCGTTTTGCTTCCGTCGACGTAGTGATGGGCGCGTCGGGCGCCGGACTCATCCACACGCTGTATGCACCGCCGCATGCGGCGCTTGTCGATCTGCGGCTCTCGGTCGGCTGCCAGCCGTCGTTCCACGCCGAAACCGCCCATCACGCCTCACTCCGCTACCTCGAGATTTGGGAGCCTGAATACGAGCCGTACTCGCTTGATCAGCTCGCCCGCGACTTGGTCGTTGTTCTCGAGCAAGTCTTTGGCCTCTGGTCGCGCCGCGCCATGGCAGGCCCATTCCTCTCTAACGAGGCTGCTGGCCTGCCTGCCTTTCTCGTTGGCGACGGAGAGAGCAAAGCCACAGCGACGAGTCGCTGCCGCCCATTCCCTGCCGAGTCGGGCATGGGGCCACGCGCGATGTGCTGGCACGTGCCGAGCCTATCGGTCCCAGCCACCTCGCGGGCTTTCATCACCCTTCCGGCGCCGCACATCCCACTCACGTGCTTTGGCCGTGACCGCGTCGTGCTGCCGGATCCGGACGACCGTGACACCCGATTCCCGCTCGTCGACATTGCTCCCGGTCGCGACGGGCTCACGCCCCGCCTCTACCCTGCTGTGACCGTTACCGACGAGTCAGCCGCGGCCGGTAGGTAGTCTACAAGAAGTGTTAATTCGGGAGAAGAGCAAGAGGAAAGAGCAAGCAAAGCGAGGACGAGAGCGCTTAGGCCTCGACCGCCTCGTCCTCAACATCGTCGGCGCCTTCGTCGTCCGAGTCGTCGGACTTGTACAGCAGATCCTGGACCTGCTTAAGGAACGGGATGTCCTCGTCTTCGTGGGCCTCGGCAAGGATCTCAATGTCGCGGAGCTTGCCAAGTAAAAGTCGCGCTCCTTCTCGAGCGCGTCGGTGTTGAGCTCGAGGTTGGCAACCTGCTCCTTGAGCGCCTCGATCTCAGCGGCGTGCTTGGCCTCGAGCGCAGCCTTGACCTCGTCGATCTTGGCCTTCATGGCTGCAGCTGAGATGCCCTTGGCGCCCGTCGACGGCGGCGGAGCGTTCTCGTTGCGAGTTGCCGACCGGCGGGCCGACGAGCCCGGTGCCTGGCCCGGGCGCGGCCGCGAGCGCGAGCGCGAGCCCGACGCGCCGGGCGCCCTGCTCGACGACCGCGCCTTGGCGTTGGCCTGGCCCTTGCGACGGGCGAGAGCCTTGTACTCGTCGGCGTTGGCCGCGTAGTTGGCGTCGAAAAAGTGCTTGAACCACTGGAAGAACTCGAGGTTGTCCATCGGCTTGCCCTTGACGAGCTTGTGCGCGTCGACCACCTTGGGCACGTTGTTCTTCTCAAACACAGACTGCAGAACCTTGTAGTTCTTGAGCTTGTCATACTCGTACTTGGCCGAGAAGTTGACCTTGCTCATCGGCACAGTGCCCGGGAAGAGCATGTCGCACAGCTGGCAGAACGCAGCGCCTGTCAATCCACCGTTGTCCATCACGTCGGTGAGTACGTGTCGGTGACCACTCCAACTCATCGCGCGCCAAACACTGCACAAACTTTCAAATTTTCCGCGCGCCTACACCACCACCGCCACCCTTCCACACACCCTCCCACACACACATATACACCATACACACTCTACAGCTACGTACCGTTCGAAACCTCCTCGATCTTCTGGTATGACAGGTCGAGGGTCTCGTTAAGCCAGCCGAGAAGCTCGGACCGGGAGACGTAGAAGGCACCAGAATGCAGTCCTGCGGGAGACCGAGGGGAAGGACGTGGGCGGTGAGTCGTGGGAGGGGGGGGGGGGGGGAGGGGAGGGAGGGAGAGGGGAGAGAACAGGGGTTGTAGGGGGGGGGAGGGAGGGGGAGGGGGGATCGTACCTGCGGAAACACCCTGCATTGTTGTACGGGGAGAGGGAGAGGCGTGTTGTGTGTCTGTGCTGGTGTTTGTCGCCAACTGGTCCGGCGTGGGCTTTTCGCCTCGTTCGTTCCTTCAAAGGTTTGTTCGATCCTTCATTCGTCGCTCGTCCTCAGTGACATGAGTGACAGCAGAGACGCGGTCGTGGCCTGTGATGGGAGCCATTGGCATCACGCCAAGCTTCACCATGCCGTCATCATGCCACCATGGTCACTCATCATACAAAATCCGCTCCCGGTCCCCTCCACATCATCTGAGTAACTAAGCATCTGGTTAAAGCAAGGACACTCTTCGCCAACTTTCGGCCATTGTTGCCCCGCGCACATCGATCACACTCTCGTGGTATCCTCCTCCTCCCCCCCCCACCCTCGCCAGCCATCAAATCGCATCATCTGCCCCTCTTCCCTCTATCTCCCTTCCTCTCCTGATACCTATCCACGCCCCATGACGCCATGACCGCTTGCTGTGCCTCTTTCGATGTAGACTCATCCCCACATCGCTTCTATCGTCATCATCATCGGGAGATCCGGTCCAGCGGCAGCGAGTCGCCCAACACCCGTCGTTGCGCGCAACAACCATGTCGGCTCGTGGCGGGTCAGACCGCAACCAGAAGGTAGGTCAGGGTGGAGGAGAGGATGCAGGGTAGTCAGAGTGGGAGGGAGAGGAAGAGGAAGGAGCAGAACTCACCGCGAGCCGGCGGCTCGGCGAGAGGGCGCGAGACAGCGGCGTGGGCTGCGCAAGATCAAGTTCTACTGCCAGATGTGCGAGAAGGAGTGCTCGGATCGCAACGGGTTTGAAGCGCACTCGCGGTCGGCAGGGCATCTGGCCAAGATGGAGCTGTTTGCCGCCAATCCGGAAAAGTATCTCGCCATGTTCTCGGACCAGTTTGAGGCCGACTTTATGGAGCTGGTCAAGTCGCGCCATCGCGGACGCAAGGTCCTTGTCAACTACGTCCACAACGAATATGTGCAGGACAGATCGCACGTGAGGCTCAACGGAACTCGGTGGAAGACTCTCGACGAGTTTGCCCAGCACCTGAGCAGCAAGGGCATTGTCGAGCTCTCCTACGACGACGACGGCAACCCGTACATCAAGTACATCGACGTCGCTGTGCTCTCGGCCCGCGAGAAGCACGCCGAAAAGGAGCGCAAGCGCAAGGCTCGCGTCGCCGCCAAGCTTGAAGACCAGCGCCGCTCCGCCATGGAGGCATCCGTTGCCGCTGCACGCGCCGCCGGCTCGCTTGCCGGCCCAGTCCTCGAGCTCGCTCGCCCGCCGGACTCGGACACCATCTCGGTCGCGCTCCCAGCAAAGGCTGCGCAGCCTGCGCCGTTGCGTGGCCCGGCTGCGGCTCTCGATCCACTTCAGCCGCCTGCACCACTTCGTACCGCTCCGGCTACGCTACCATCGGCGCGTCTCCCGGCCCACCCCAAACCGCTCTCCAACGTGGAGCGCATTCTGCAGGAAACTCGGGCGCGCGAGGCGCGCGACGCTGCTCGCGCGACCTGGGCTGTTCCAGGCGCCGTAGTCCGCATCCTCGACGCCTCGCTCGACTCGCTGTTCAAGGCCAAGGCCGTTGTTGTCTCGCGCCACGCCTCGCCGCGCCATCTCGTGGCCGTCGCCGTCGTCGGCACCCCGCCTGCCGATCGCGTTCTCGTCGACATCGACGAGGCTCTCCTCCGTCCGGTCCTCCCGCCCATCGGCAAGCCCGTCGTAGTTGTCCGCGGCGAGCACGCCGGCGAGCGCGGCGTCCTCGTCGACCATATGCCCTCCGACAAGTCGCTTGCTGTCCGACTCGACGCCACAGGCATAACTGTCCGCGGCCTCGGCTATGCGGCGGTGTGTAAGGTCCGCGCTCGTGGCTGATGAGGCTTTGCTGCGTTTACTTTACAGCGTCTTCTGCTTCTTCGTGGGCGACGCGTCCTCGTCCTCGTCGTCGTCCTCGTCATCGTCGTCTTCGGCCTCGGGATCAAAGTCATCATCGTCATCCTCGTCGTCATCACCGCCGTCGCTTTCGTCATCTGCGTCGTTGTCGTCGTCATCGTCGTCATCGTCGTTGTTGTCGTCAGCGCTCTGCTTCAGCGACTGGCGGGCCTTCTCGGCTGCCTTGCGCGGCGAGCGCTTGCGCTTGTTGGACGGCGATGACGAGCCGGCCTCGTCGTCGACCTCCTCTTGCTGCTCAACCTCCTCGACCTCAGCCTCGGCCTCTGTCGCCGCCTCTGCATTGCTTGTCTGTTTCGCCCAGCGTATAGCCCATGAGTTGTGACCGCAGCGCCCACTTTCACGACCTTTTTCGGTCGCGCACACTGGCACGTACCTTGACCTCTTGCGACGCGGGCGCAGGCGCTTCTTCGACCATCGGGGCGGAGATGGGGGTAACAGTCTCGACAGCAGTAGCCATTGTGTGCTTGTGGATGTGTCCGAGGGGGTTCTTGCCTGATTGTTGGTGTGGAGAGGTGTGCCCAGGTGAGAGTGGAAGGCCCAGCATGGTTGCCGGCCGGTTTTGTTCTCGGCGGCCAGGTCGTCAACTCGCGGGTTGCGGGGAGAAGCAGCCAGTTATCGCACCGCAACACACGTGGCGCATGTACTTTACAGTCACTAACACCCAGGCTTGCGTGTGTGACGATAGTATGCTATCCGGATGCAGGGGGGTGCTCGAAAGAAGAGAGTACCGCGAGAACTACGACCTTTTTTTGGACGCGGAAAACTGCCGGAGCACCGAGGTGCTCGCTCACCTGCGGGTACGCCACTTGCGGCTCTTGTGGCTGGTGTGCTTGCCGTGGCTGGTGTGCTTGCCGTGGCTGGTGTGCTTGCCGTGGCTGGTGTGCTTCGAGGTGTGGGCGCGGGACAAAATGCCTTTGACGGCGTCATGGACCCGGCCGGCGAGGCGGCGGCTCCACTTGTCGGCCGAGGCGCCCAGGTCGTCGGCGACGGCGGCAAGCTTGGCGCGGAGCTCGCGGGCACGGCGCTCGAGACTGGCCTTTGCGGCACGCAACTTGGTGCCCAGCGAGCGCGATGCGCGCGTGACCTCATCGGAGAGCTCATCTGAGGGCACGGCGGCGGTGAGCGCGGCGAGCGCGCCATCGAGGAAACTGAGCTCGACGTCGCGAAGCGCGGCTGTGGCCGAGTCGGCGGCGGTGTGGAGGGTGGCGGCGAGGTCTGCAACAAAGGTGGCGGCGAGGTGACGGGGGCGGCCTGGCCGTGCCTGCGCGAGCGCATATCCTGCGATCTGCATCAGCCTATCGCGCTTGGCCTCCCACTTTGCAGACTTGCGCGCGAGCTTGGCGCGGAGGCCCTCGATGTGGTCGAGGATGTCGGCGAGCTCACCGGAGGTGCGCGAGCCTTCGCGGAGGCTGGCCCGCAGCTCGGTGTGAAGCTCGTTGATGCGCGCATTGTACTTGGTGGTCTTGGAGCCGGCCTTGTGGGCGAGGAACTGAAACGAGGTACGGGTGGCGGCGACGACTGCAGCGGCCTGTGCGGGTGTGGCCGTCGCAAGCGCACGGCGGGCCTCGTCGATGTTGCGAATCTTGTCCGGCCGGGTCTGGAGCCTGGCAAGTACATCGGCGAGCGTCCATCGCTTGCTGCGCTTGTGGCTGGTGTGCTTTGAGGTGCGGTACGGTTTGCCATGGTGCTTGGCGCCGCCACGAGCCGGAGGCGGGGTCGGTGCCGGCTCAGGGTGACCGAGTGCCGCCAGCCGGGCGCGGATGCGACGGATGGCGGCCACAGTGCGGGCGAGGCTGTACCGGTTCTTCAGCGCCGCCACGAGATCGCGGCTCGGCTCGGGCGCGGCCGCGACCAGCTTGTCGGCGTTGGTGACGGCGGCGTCGAGCAGCGCGTGCAGCTCATCGCGGCCGCGCGGAAGCTCGCTCTCGCGCGGCGCGGTGACTGTTGGGGAGACCTTGGCTGCGGCTCGGACGACAGCACTGGCGAGCTGCCACACAGGCTCGAGCTCGGGCGCAACGAGCGCGGCGGCGTCGGACGCATCGTCGATCTGGGCTCGGAGCGAAACGGCGGCGGCCACCACCCCACGGTCGAGGAGTGCGCGAGCTGCAGCACCAAGCCCGCAACCCGACCGACGGCGGGCCCGTGCGGACCGTGGAAGCCGCGGAGGATGGCAGTTTGCATGTAGAGCGCAAGCACGTCATCGTCGTCGGTCTCGAGCTCGCTCACGGCCTCGTGGTACTCGTCGAGCACGCTTGCCAGCTGATTCCGAATCGCCGAGCGGCGGAGCGCATGCAACTCGCGGAAGACATCGGTGAGGGTGGCGACGATCTGGTGGCATTGCGGGGTGGCACAGAACGAGGCCGGCGGGTGGACGTCAAGTGCATGCACAAGCGACGGTACGGCATCGGCGTCAGCGGCCGAGCTCGGCGTGCGGAAGACAAGCAGCGCAAGGACGAGCGCTGCCAGAATGAAGCCAAGCTGGACAAGCGGGCGGCGTGGTTGCGACTGCGACGTCGGATGCGACTGCGGCTGTGGCTCCGGCTGCGGCTGTGGGAGACGGCAACCAATGCTTGACGAGCGGGCCCGCAGCGGCGGCGGCTGGTCGACGTCGTTCGCAGGCGGCGATGGCCGAGGCTGAGAGACGCGCAAGCGCAGCCGCTGATTCGGGTTGTACGTTGGCGAGTCTGGCGGACGATACGGCGGCAGCTCGTCGTCTGCGGCGTGGTTGCACTCTGTGTGACCATCTGCTGCGCATGGAGCGGTTGCTAGCTTGTCGACCGACGTGCCGGGATTGTCAGCCGGTGTTGTGGGGTTGTCGGCCACCGGACCATCGGCAGCCGCCACATCGGCGTCCGCTACATTGGCATCGGCAGCCAACTCATCGGCAGCCGCTACATCGGCATCGGCAGCCGCTACATCGGCATCGGCAGCCGCTACATCGGCATCGGCAGCCGCTACATCGGCATCGGCAGCCGCTACATCGGCATCGGCAGCCGCCACATCAGCAGCCACTACATCGGCATCGGCAGCCAACACATCGGCATCGGCAGCCGCCACATCAGCAGCCACTACATCGGCATCGGCAGCCAACACATCGGCAGATGACGAACTGCCTTGAGCTGGCGACGACGACCTCGAGCGGCCATCAGCGGAGCCCACCAAAGTCCATCCGTCATCCGACGGAGAAGTGGTACCAGAGGAGGTGGGAACAACGTCACCTCCCCCCATAGTTCTCGGAGCTATGCTACGATCCTTCTGAACTCTGCTCATCCACCACCATCAGCCACCCGTGAGCTTCCATGGAACACCCGAGCATGTCCCCATCCTGTGTTCTTTCACGACGTCAGCACCACCCTCCCTGCCACCACCATGCCCATCTGCCCCTTCCTCCACCCTACCCGCCCACCCACCCACCCACCCACCCGCCACCGCCTACCTCATACTGTCACATACCTCTTGGGTAAAACACTTGCTGGTGTCGAGTGGATGCGTGTGACGGCTCTTGTCGTGTCGTCCTCCCTCGCGTGCCTCTCTCTCGTCTTGTGCCGCTCACACCGACAGTGATGGACTGATGTGGGAGAGATGACCTCATCACCGGCTTGTCGTGCCTTCTCACCACGCTACTTGGTTTTGCCAACTCCACATCGCTGACCTCCAGCCACTGACCTCGCACCCTCATCGCTCCATGGATCTGACCTGGCCACTGACCTCAGTCTCTCCTCCTCCTCCCCTCCCCCCCTCCCCCACAGTAGCCGCCGCAGCCACCGCAGCCGCAGCCGCCGGGGCCACCATCGTCCAACCTGCTTCGATCAGCATCGCTCTGTTACCCAAGATCACACAGACCCTGATCGAACCATCCAGAACCCCCCCCCCCCCCTCCTCCCCCACCCCACCCCTCTCCCCCCCCCACCCCTCCACCCTCCCCTACTCCCAACACCCACACGTCTCTCTCACCCCCCCTCTCAACATGTCCCACGTAGTTAAGGCTGACGAGGACGACCCAGTGGTGGCCAGCTACGACCTAGTGCTTTCGCATGAGCTTCAGGATGCCCTCTATCGTACGTTGTGGGTGCAGAGGGTGGATCATCGCCGCAGAGCGTGCCGAGGGCAAAGGGCGGCGACGGAGAGCATGTCGGCGGTACTCACTATGATGGATCCGGTTACGATACACTATACACAGTGCTGCAGTACCCGACCAAGCCGCGCGGAGAGGGCGTGGCAGTGTCGAGCGTGCATGAGGTGAAAGTCAAGCCTGAGGCGCGGGTGCTCCGGATGGAGGTGGAGATGCACGACAAGGTGAACACCAACGACAAGCCGGATCATCCGTTCCACCACTCGCAGTTCGAGTCCAAGCTCATTCCACTGCCGACAGAGCAGTGCGTAGTGACCATGGCTAACGGGGTGGCGACGCTCTCGCCGCTGACCAACGTCCTCCAGATGCGGCCGTATCTGGGCCATTTGGACGCCTCGCCCGAAGACGAGATCGCGCCCATGGAGACCGAGGAGGCCAAGCCGAAGAGCTCGCGGGTCGAGGTCAAGATTGCACGGCCCGAGTCGCAAATGGCCCGTGATCGCCGGCAGAACTCGTACGCATACATGGCCTCGCTCATCGAGGAGGAAGAGTGGCTGACGCTGCTGCCGCTCGCGCCCGGCTGTGGCTCGCCCGACGCCGACGCCGACGAGGCCCTGCTCTCGGCCTCGCAAGTCGCACCGTCGCCTGCCCTCGAGCGCGCCCTCACTGTTGCTGAGTACCTCAACGCGTTCTGCCCACCGGCCACGGCCTCGTCGGGCCTCAAGACCTCGTCGGCGCGCGGCCAGATGCTGGCATCGGCGGCGGCGTCAGCGTCGGCTGTTGTCTCGACCTCGCTCGTCTCGCGGCTGCGGCTTCTGGAGCCGGCCGCGCGGCTGACCGAGATCCTTGTCCGCGTCAATGTCATCGGCCACCCGCAGCTGGCCTCTTACTTTCCGGATGTGCCCGTTGACGCCTTTCCGGCCCTCCTCGGCTCGAACGTCTTCTGGATCCACTCGCGATGGGTGGTGGCACCCGACGTGGTCGAGACCGAGCCGCGAACCGTTCGCGCCCGCACGTATCTGATGGCGGTGCTGGCGGCGTCGCCGACGGCCTCGGTCCGCCGCGAAAAGCTCGCCGGCCGGCTAGCCCTCGAGTCGCAGTGGGCGACAGAGGTGCTCTCGTCCATCGCCGAGGTCAACGGCCAGCTGTGGACGCTCAAGGAGGCGACCGCCGCCGGTGCCGGCGCCATCCTGCCGCCGGACCTCGCCGCCTCCGCTGCCGATGCCACTGCCGGCCTCCTCGCCGCTCTCCCTGACCTCACTGCCGAGATGGAGGCGTCAGCGTCCGAGGCCGACCCGCTCTCCGGCACTGCCCCGCTTACCGAGCAGATCAAGGCGCTGACTGACATCATTCTCGCCGCCCGCGAGGCTGCGCCCGACAAGGACCCGGTCATGGTCCTCGTCGACGCACTCCTCGACACCTATGGCGTCATCTCGCTCGAGGGCGCCTCCAAGCGGCTGCAGCTCCTCGTTCCCAACCAGACGCTCGGCTTTGGCTCGGCCGGCGCCGCCCACCTCCACGACATCCTCTCCATGTCTACCCGCTACACCTGCCTTTCGGCCTCGCCGGCTAAGCCCTCGACCGAGTACGTCCGCGCTCATGTGATTGGCCAGGAGCCGTTCCCGGCCGTCCGCTCAGCGCTCATCGCCCTCCTCGACGCCGACGGCTTTGATGCCCTCCTCTCGTTCGAGTCCGCCGCCAACTACGTCGCCGCCAACTCGCCGCATGCCTCCCCGAGTGGGTCCACGCCCGCGTCGTCGACGAGCTCTCCTACATCTCGCCCTCCACCTCGGCCCGCATCCTCAAGTCCGGCCTCGGCACCGCTGATGAGGCTCTCTCCTCCCGTCGGGTCCACTCTTGACGGTCTCCATCGAGTTTCCTCTTTCCCCAGCCGCCGCCATTCTGCCACCAACTGTCGTTCACTCGACTCATTCTTTTCCGACGAATGAAGGCTTGCACGACGCTGGTGGTCCTTGGACTCGCCATGGCGCTTGCTTCCGCCTGTCCCTACCCCATCACCAAGCCGCTGGAGCCGCTCAACGAGTTCCGGAAGCTGGTTGTTCCCAAGCCGCGCTTCTTTTCCGAAGACAATGGCCTCTCCAAGTGCCTCAACAACTCGCGCACCCTTGCCGACTATCCCGTCTGCCAGTACAAGTACGTCCTGTCGCTGTGCTCTCTCCGCTCCCCCTCCCCCTCCCGCCCCTAGTCCGCCTACACCAGCACAACACGACGTTCCCCTCCCCTCCCCCCTCTCCCCCTCCCCTCCTCCCCCTCCCCCCCTCCCCCCTCTCCACCTTACCTTTCTTCCTCTCTCCCATCCTCATCCTCCCCGCTCTTCCCGTCCTCGCCAAGTCCCTCTCGGCGCGTGCCCGCTGCAAAAGTCAGCCAATGCAATTCGCTCGAGGGTGAGCCTGTGAGCTCCTTTTTTTTTTTCGGGCAACGGCACGGCCGTCAGCCTGCCACTCCTCTGTCAGACTCACGAGGTGTCTTGAAACCAGCTTTCCGTCCGTTCTCTATGTCGAAGCTACTCTGGAAGACATCACAGCGGCCAAGACATGCTCGGTGGCGCTGGCCGTCGACCGCGAAATGGAAAGGTGCTCACCGGCGAGACGAACCCGATCTCGGCCGAAATGGCGTTCCTCGAGGCCAAGGTTGTCAATGCGTGGGTGGTGATCCGCGATGTCGACACTGGCGCGACGCTCCGCCGGCTGCCTGAGTTTACCTTTGCAGCATCGGAGGAGGTCTCGCTGCTGGCGACAACGACCCAGCCTTCGATGGTTGGCGACACATTCAACGCGTCGACGGTGGCGGGCTTCCGGGCCGAGGTCACCTCGTTCAACACCCGCGACTACATCTACGACTACGAGCGCGAGGTGCCTTTTATTGCCTTTTCGGTCTTGATGTCATACACGCCGCTGTACAACGCCGGCGAGGCCAAGAGCGGCCCCCTGGAGCGCGTCGACTGCGAGGCGTTTGAGAAGCAGGTCATCTTTCCGTGCGACGAGCCGGCGCTCAATGACTTTAACTATGTTGTCGGCCGGCTCGAGGGCCGCCAGCCCATCGCGCTCCGCGGCGCGCAGCCTGTGCCGGCCCGGGTGGCCATGGGTGAGACAGATGCTGAGGGCTCGGCTGTCGGCACCGGCGCGCGGCCCTTTGCCTGGGTCCCCACCTACGACGCGGATAACTCGATGGTCAACGACACCATGGTGACTGATGGCGCATGCTCGGACGAGCGATGTGGGCGCTACACCTGTGTGGCTTCGGGCAACTGCATCGAGTGCACCACGTCGATTCCCTGCGGCATCTTTGATCAGCCTGGCTCAGTGAGTAACTGCGACGCCAACAACGGCGGCCTCCTCCTTTGCAAGTACTCGCCCGGCAACATTACCGAGCTACCGGCCCCGCGCTCGGGCGCGCCGTACTACGACAGCCCATGCAGTCCGGTGTGCGGCCTGCACAAGGTCTGCCAGGCCGGTGAGTGCGTCGACTGCACCACAAACGCCGACTGCACCCTCGACTTTACCCCGGCCGACGGCTACACCTCCTCGTGCTCGGCCAACAAGTGCAACTATGTCCTGCCCTCGCCGCCGGCGCCGGTCAAGTCCATCCGCGGCAAGGTCATCCTCATCTCCTCGCTCGCCGTCGCAGGCGTCTGCTGCATCGGCTGCGTCATCGCAGCCATCTTACTCTACCGCCGCTACCGTAAGAACATCGAGGCCGACAACCTCATGGGCGACGAGCTCAACAAGGAGGCTGCATCGGGCAAGAAGTCGCGCTTCACCTTTACTGGCCTTGACGAGACGGACACCAAGGGTCGTAACCTCAACGATCCGTTTGCGTGAGCATGTTTCGTCGTGCTCCCGAACCCCTCCCAGTTCAAAGTGATCGACGAGCTCGAACGCTCACGCCAGTATGTACAAAGTCATTGTCAACTCTCTCCTCTCACACATCTACATCTCCTCTTTCCCCCCCCCCCCCCTTCCCCACATGATTTGATCATGCTAACGCGACCGTCGTGGCCAACACCTCGGGCGCGGTCCACAACAGCGTTCCCCCAGCGGCATGTCGAGCTCCATCGGAGCATCCTTGAAGGCGACGACGAGGTCATCTACTTGCCCTTGCCACTGCCATCGCTTTGCTACTCGGCCTCTTTGCCAAATGGCCAAGTTCAGGCCAAATGACAAGCACGTGTGACACCCACCCCCTTCCTCGTCTGCGCACGCAGACAACACTCTCCCCTCTCCTTCCCCCCCCCTTCCCACCTCTCTCCCCTCCCTCCTCCCCCTCCCCCCTCCCCCCCTTACCCCCATGCACGGTCGACGACCAAGCCGACAGGGACTGGCCCTCGCCCTTGCCCTCGCCCTCGCCTTTGCCTTAGCCGTCCCCATTGCCGCGGCCGCGGGTCAGAGAGCGACTGTAGCAGACGAGAGGGACCAAGTCGCATCACCGTCGCCACTAATGACGTCGTCGCCGCCATCGTCGCCATCGCCAACGCCACATAGCTCGATACCACCGTTCGGAATGATCACCAAGCCGGCGAACCCGGAGCGGTTCGAGGCGGTGGACATTCAGGTGGGAAGGACGTACTGCTCCCGGGCTCCGAGCCCAGCATCTACGTCTTGTACCCGGACGTGCTGTATCAGCTCGATGGAAGGACGCTAGCGTCGGTCAACTCGTTTGTCTTTCTCGGCGACATGGAGCGGGTTATCATCCTCAACGCGGGTCGGGCCCTCATTCAGCTCGCATGGGCGCCGGCCACCGATGGAAGGCTGGATCCGGTGACTGGCGAGGCTGTTGGGCGGCTCTCGTTTGTGGTCCTGGACCTGTACTCGATGTCGATGGTGGGCAAGACCGTGCCTCAGTCCGACGTGGCCAAGCCCGAGGACGTGCTCATCACAGCCAACGGTTCGCGGCTGGTGTTGATGAGCGAGTACAAGGCGACGTTGTTGAGCGTGGACCACGATACGTCGGACGTGACAGTTATTGATGCTGCGCCAATTCCCAAGTTCATTGCGGCCTCGATCGACAACGAGTACGCAACAGTCATTGCGGCGTGCGAGGCGTCCGAAGGCCCCGAGCTCGGCCACATCCTGCTTGATGACTTTAAGGCCCTGCAGTACCTCGGCCCTGTCAATGGCGCCCAATTTACGCCGCGGACGCTCAGTGTGTACAACTCGGGCGAGAGCGGGCAGGTGCTCTGGGTCGATGGCATCGAAATCTATGCATTTTCCGTTCTTCAGCGTCGGCTTGACGACTCGATCCTCGACTACGATTTGGCCGCGACAGCGGCAGCCAAGACCGGGGGCGTGTTTTACTACGCGGTCCAGCCGGCGGCGGCGACAGTGACCCGGACCCAGATGCTGCCGTACCTTGGGACGGCGCAGGTGTTTGACGAGTGCAACGCCACGCTGGTGGCCTCGTGGGACACCTTTATGGTGACTCAGTGCCGAAACGAGCGCGGCATCATGCCCCAGTTTTCGATTTTCAAGCTCGGAAATCTGCCGCCGCCACCAACGTCGCCGCCGCCGCCGTCAGCACCAAAGCCGCCGCCGCCGCCGCCGATCTTCCCGGTCTCGCCCACACAAGGGCCGCCGCCGCCGCCGGCGTTCCGGCTTATTCTCTCTGTGGTCATCGTGGTGCTCGCGGTGTGCGTTGTTGCCCTCGCCATTCCGCTCATCATCATGTGCCGGCGGTCCAAGTGGTACATCCGGCGCAAGCGGACGCGGCGGGCCAAGAAGCGGTCGCGGCGCGGTATTGCATCGGCGGAGCGGCTGCGCGCCCATGAGCAATCGCTGCTGCAGCCGCAGGCGGCCATCCGGCCGGGGCGTGGGTTCGGCGGTGGATCGGCAGAGCGGTTTCCCGAGTACGGGTCGACGCTCAGCGGAGCACGGCCGCGGCCGGTGCCGGGCGGTGGCGGCAGTCGTCCCATGCGGGCACCGGTTGCGGCTGGCGCGTCGGTGCCGACCGTGTCGTGGGCATCGGGCCTGCAGCAGGCTAGTGGGAGTGGCGAGTAAAGCAGAGTGCTGTTATTGGCGCGGGGACGTGATGCGGCTGAGGAGGGCAATGTTCTCGGCGTTGAGCTCGTTGTTGAGCTCGGCGAGCTGGCGCATCTGGACCTTAAGTTCGTTGAGCTCGTCCATAGTGGCTAGCAAGAGAGCCTCGGTCTCGACCGACTTCATGGTGCACGAGATCTTGGCCATCATCGAGGCGCGCTCGATGGCCGCAGCGACAACCGGGAGCGCCAACAGCTCGTCGGCAATCGCCTGCGGGGCGTCGCCGGCTGAGGCTGCGGCAACAGCCGCCGCCATCTTGACGCGGGCGGGCGAGCCGGCTTCGGGTGCGTCGCGGGCGTCGAGCGCCTCCAGTTCGGCGCGCAGCAGCTGCAGCTGGTTCTGCTTCTTCTCCAGGCGGCGCCGGACTTTGGAGTGTGACTTGAGGAGCTTCGAGTGAGTGACCTTGAGGCCTTCGAGCTCCTCGACAAGCGGGGCAACCTGGCGCATGGTGGCCGAGAGCGAGGCCACCGACTCCATCGAGGCCGACATGGAGGCCTCCAGCTCGCGGGTCTGGACCTCGAGCTCGTCGCGCTCCTTCAGCACCTTGGCCTTGTGCGAGGCCTCTGCGGCGAGTTCCGTCTCGAGCGCAGCGACACGAGCAACCAGCGCCGCATTCTCGCGCTTCAGCTGCAGCGCCTCCGTCCTCGCAGCGAGGCCCTCGCGGATCCGCTCTGCCCCGTTTGCCCCATCGTCTCCATGGGCCTGTTCGCTCCGGGCTTGCTTGGCCTCCCCGTCACCGACCGAAGCCAGCAAGTCCAGATACTTTGCCTTGAGCTGGTCGTACGCCTTCTTTGCCTCTGCGTACTCTGCCTTGTAGTTGCGGCCCTTTGCCTTGTCCTTCTCCTTCTTGCTCCGCACTCTCCTGCTCGACCTCGACTCGCTGGCCTCTCTTCCTGACATCGATTCCAGTATGTATTCCTCGTCGACGTGATATGTATGTATGCGTGTGTGATGTGTGTGTGATGTGATGTGATGCGATGTATGCAGGCTCGGGGTGGTGGTGGTGGGTGGGTGGTGGAGGCCAAGGGTGTGGTGGTGCGTGTGTGTGTGTGTGCGCTGATGGGCAAGGGTGTGCGCTGATGGGCAAGGGTGTGCGGTGGTGGTGGTGGTGGTGGTGGTGGTGGTGGAGGTGGTTGGAGATGTAGCGGTGGTGTAGTGGAGTGTGGTGTGCTCTGTACCTGTCCCTCTTCCCGCCCTGTCCGCCCAGTCTGCTCTGCTTGCTCCTCGCCCGGGTGGCGCCAACTCGGTGACGTGCGCATGTCACGGCATTACTCGCCAAATGAATGGTGTGGCAATGTCAGTTGGCAACGTCCCGATGTTGTGGGGATGGTCCACGCCACCTATGATGGTCATGATGTGTGTTATCACTTGGGGGTGAGTGTGTCTACCATACCTAAGTGACCATCGAGAGCGGCCATCGGGAGCGGCCATCGAGCGCGGCTGGATCGATCCACAGGCGTAGGTTGGCGATGGCGATGGCGTTGGCGATGGCGATAGCGATAATGACGACAATGACGATGGTTGAAGCGATGGCTATGGCAACAAGCTACAACTACAGTGACTGGCGGACGCTGGGTTCACAATGGCAGCCACATCGGGTGACACATGCAGCGGCCACAGAGTGTGCGGCGACGAGTCGACGGCGGTCAACACGCCGAGGCACCGACACACCCGGCACACCACTCTACACCTGCGCCGAGGATGAGCAAGCGCAAGCACGGGAGCGACGGCGACGACGACGAGTATACGTACTCGTACTCGTACTCGTACAGCGATGACGAGGGCGAGGACAAGGGCAAGGGCAAAAACAAGGGCAAGGGCAAGGACAAGAGCAAGAGCAAGAGCAAGAGCAAGAGCAAGGGCAAGGGTAAGGAGAAGGACAAGGGCAAGAGCAAGAGCAAGGACAAGGGCAAGAAAAAGGCAAAGGACAAGGACAAGGGCAAAAAGAAGGCAAAGGCGCTCGACGGCCGCGGGCTCGATCGGAGCAATGGCAATGATGACGATGATGACGACGACGACGAGTTTGTGGCGGACAATGAGGTGGACGATGAGTCGGGCATCGCCGCTGAAGAGGCGCTCGGCGGGCTCGGAGGGGAGGACGAGATCAAGGGCCTGGAGGACGAGGCCAACATCCCCATCGAGGTGCTCCGTGCGCGCTACGCAGCCATGGCCGAGGCTCACATCAACGACGACGACAGCGACGGCAAGAGCGACGACGATGCCGAAGAGTACGATGAGGACGAAGAGTTTGTTGACGATCATGAGCTCGACGATGAAACCGGCATCGCCGAGGCCGAGGCCGATCTCGCTGCCGAGGACGTTGCCGCCGAGCTCAATGATCTCAATGAGGAGGCGCGCCTTTCAGTCGAAGAGCTCCGCCGCAAGTACGGCATGGCGTAGCGTTGTAAAGATCCCCCCCTCCACCTAGTCGGCGAGTCAAGGCCAAGCGGGGCCGAGGAGGACCAACTCGCCAAGTCGCCGCACCTCACTCTGCGGGCCGGGAAGTGGTCATGGCGACCAAAGCTGGTGAGACGCAAAGCGGGCTGGAAGCCCGACTGATAGCCGAAGCACGGATGCGGAGAGCAGCCGCACGAGAGAGCACCCGCAGTGGCTACCACCCGGATCGCACGCGTAGGCGCTCCCGCCTCAAGGTTGCCCGCCTCGGCCGAGACGGCTCGGTCGCCCGAGAGACGCCGCTCTTTGCACCGCGCCGTACCTCGGTCCCGCTCACCCTCTCTGCCGGCACTGCCTCGCGCCACTACACACGAACCTATGTCGCCTACGAGAACGAGCTCGCTGCCAAGAAGGCTGCTCTCCGTGAGCGTACGTACCTCCTCCCCGTCCCCGTCCTCTCCCCCTCTCCCCCGTCCTCGCTGGTAGTCACTCGCCTGTCCTTGGCGCCAACGGTGCATGCAGCTGGCGAGGAGCGGGTTTTTTTTCGGGGGCTGTCTCCCTCCGCACCTCTCCCTTCTGGCCAACGAATCGCTACTCATTATCTTTGCAGAACGCAAGTCGCAGTTGTCGCACAGAGAACGCGTGGCGCGTGCTGCGAGGGAGCGGCGGATGCGTCAGGCAAGGATCCGGGGTGTGGCCGTGGTGCCGCAGGTGGAGGCCACAGTCGAGTCCTCGACGCTGCCCAAGCCGAGTTCACCGTCGCCCCCTCGGCGGCGTTCACCATCACCGAGCCGACGCAAGTCGCCTTCACCGCGCCCAAAGACGCCGTCTCCGTCACCCCCACCTCTGCCATCACCGGCCAAGTCACAGATGCGCGAGACCCAGGAGGAAATTGTGGCGCTGCTGCGGGCGTTGGTGGCTCAGAATGGCAGCGCAGGCGAGGGATCGTTGCGCGCAGCCGCATGGGAGCGGCGTGTGAGGGAAGAGGTGGCCGAGAGCAGAGCCGCCGGCGCCGCGCACGCCCGGGCCCGGCTCTCGGCTGATGGCGCCAGCCGCACTGCTGCGGTAGCGACCTTTGCCGCGCTCCCGGCCGCGTCGGCGGAAGCAAAGTCGGCGATGGCAGACGCGCAAGCCGAGCTCCGCTCAGTCTTGCTCGCCCAACTCAATACTGTAGCCCCCGCGCCAGTCGCTACCTCGCTCGCGGCGTCGCTTGCCCATCGGCAAGCCGATGCTGCCGCTGCGGCGTCGGTGGCGGCGGTGGCCACATCGTCGGTCGCCGCCGACACAACCCCGTCGCCCGGCACAGCAGGTCGATGCCGATCGCGAGTCGATGAGCAAGTGGCTGCCAAGATGGCGGAGCTCCGCGCCGCACGGCGCGCTGCACAGAACTCGTCAGCCCAGCTCGGGGCTGACCCGCTGCCGCCGCCGCCGCCGTCGCCACGCCCACCGCTGTCGCCTGCAGCTTCGCCTGTTCGATACCCAGGAGCCTCTCCCGCGCGCCGCTACGCCTGGCCGGCATACCCCGCAGATCCACCGCAGGGCGGTTCGCTGCTCTACACCCAGCCCGCGTCCGAACTCGACGGTACGGTGCCATCGAGCCACTGGCGCATTCCGCGGTTTGCCGCGTCCGGCGCACAGTACACCGATGTCGCCATGTCGCCCTCGCTCACGTCCTCGATCCCGGCCTTTGACGCCGCCATCATGGCCTCATCACCCCAGCACCACTAGATGCAACAAGTGTTAAACCGCTCAGCCGCGTAAAAGGCAAGCGTCACCCACCTGTTTTGCTGCCATATTGGCAGACGTGTAGTGGGAGGCGGCAGGCAGCTCGGGTGCCATTGAACGCGACTCGGGCCACTCGCCGCGGCCGCCACCACCACCACCACCACCACCACCACCGTCGCGGCACACGGAGAGAGACCCGCCACACTCGACTCTTCCCTCCCGCGTGAGCCATGTCGTACATGCTCCCGCACCTCGGGTCTGGGTGGGCTGTGGACCAGGCCATTGTGACCGAAGAGGAGAAGGTGGTCATTATCCGATGGGGTCACGACTGGTCGCCCGAGTGCATGGCTCAGGACGAGATCCTGGCCAGGATTGCCGACAAGGTCTCCAAGTTTGCTGTCATCTATGTCGTCGACATCTCTGAGGTTCCCGAGTTTACCGTCATGTACGAGCTCGTTGACTCGTGCACCATCATGTTCTTCTACCGCAACCGCCACATCCTCGTCGACGTCTCGTCGGGCAACAACAACAAGATCAACTTTCTCATCGAGGACGAGGACGATCTCATCTCCATCATCGAGGCCGTCTACGTGGCCGCTACACAGGGCAAGGGCCTTGCCGTCTCGCCTATCGACTACTCGACCCGCTACCGCTATTGAGCGAACGCAGCGCCGCACTCAGTCGAGCACAATGACTTGTCCAGCCGCGCTTGCGCCCTGCTTCCTCTGCCGCCGCGGCTTCTTTCGCCGTCGGGCGCGTGATGCTCGATGTGGCAAAGGCGCGTGCGCGAAAAAGGTGTCAAGCGTGGCCGCAGGCCCGGCCTTAGCTGAGCCAGCAGCAGCCTTGGCGGCTGCGTCCTCGGTGACACCCTCGAGACATGCCTCGACGTGCGCGCTCATGGCAGCGGTCGAGATCCGCAGCTGCGCAGAGCAGACTGGGCAGTCGAGCGGCGGGAGAAGCGGAGCGGCGGAAGCGCGGACAAGGTGGTCGCGAAGTGAGGCCGAGCGGGCGTCGACAAGACCAGTCATGCGAATGCCCATGAGGCGAAGCGTGAGCGGGAGCTCTTCGTGGAGCATGGCGACAGCAGCGCCGTAGACATCGTCAAAGGCGTCGGTCGGCGCACGGAGCGTTGTCGACCGCGAGATGACCTTGAACGCCGTAGTCTTGAGCTTGAGTACCACCGTCGCACCTTTGAGGCTCTTGGCCTGCATGTCGCGGACAACCATGCCGGCCAGCGACGAGAGCTTGGCCACGAGCTGGTTGCGGGCTGAGACTGCGCCAAAGGTTCGCTCGTGGCCGATTGACTTGCGGACGCGAACAACGTCTGTGGTAGTTGACGAGCCCGAGCCGAGGCCAAGCGCAGCGCGAAAGAAGAACCGCGACGACTTGGCCGAGAACAAGAGCAGGAGCTCGCCGCGGCGCTCGCCGAGCACGTCCGCACACGTCCGCACACCAAGCGCGTCAAGCACTTGGGCCGTGACCTTGCCGATGCCGGGTACTTTGCGGACCGGGAGCCGCGCCATAAATGAGAGCACAGCATCGCGGTCTGGTGCCACATACGTCTGCCCATTGGGCTTGTTCATGTCGGCCGCGATCTTGGCCACCAGCTTGTTGGGCCCGGTGCCTGCTGACGCCGTCAGGTGTGTCGCGTCGAAAATCCTCTGCCGCATCTCGGCAACAACGCCACCTGCTGCGATCTCGTGGCTACTGCCTGTGGCATCCATGACCGCCTTCACGCGGGCGGTGATGTCTACGTACGCTTCGTCGAGCGAGACGGCCTGGACGTGCTCGTCATACTCGGCGAGGATGCCGCGGATGGTGGCGGCGGCGGCCTTGTACTTGTCAAAGTGCGACTTGACCAGAATCAGCTCTGGACAAAGCGCCTTGCCGATGTAGCCCGGCATGGCCGCGCGGACGCCATACTGGCGCGCCACGTAGTTGGAGGTGGAGATCATCGACATGCCGCCGACCGCCATCGGCTTGCCGCGGAGCTCTGGGTTGTCGCGCTCCTCGATGGCGGCGTAGAACATGTCCATGTCGACAAGAACCATGGTCGTGCCCAGCTCGCGCTCAGCCTCCAGCGCCTCTAGCATGACTGCTGCCTTGCGCGCCATGCCGGCCCGCTGCACCGCTCCGATCTTGCTCGCCCGCGCCTTCATGTCGGCAATGCGCACTGCCGTCCGGGCGTGCCGCTCCTTCTCAGCCTCTAGATACCGCGAGCCCTCGGACATAGACATAATGATCTTGTTGACCGCCTCAGCATCGACCTTGCCCATCCCAGCCTTGTTTGTGTTGAGCGCCATCCGCCCCGCAAGCGCCGCGCCGACCCCCGACGCGCCCGTTCCGTCGTCGTCGTTGTCTTCCCCTTTCCTGCTCCCGCTCCCACTCCCGCTCCCGCTCCCGCTCCGACTTGCCATGCCGTAGCTGCGTGAAGGGTGGGTGCGGCGGCAGGGTGTGTGGGTGCGTCTTCCTAACTTCCGCTTTCTATCTCTATCTTCCTCCTCACTTTCCCGTTGCAAGGTGGGGGTGGGCGAGAGGTCTGGGCGGGCAGAAAAGGTCGTGGTTTACCGACGCAGCTACGGCTTGAGCAGAGCCGAGCCCTCGGCTGAGCCCGTCTTCGACGCACGGGCACGCCAGACAAAGAAGAAGATAGCGGCAATGACAGCGAGGCCGCCGACACCACCGGCAACAGCAATGGCCATCTTGCTGGTCGACAAGCCGCTCGGCGATGGCGACGGCGCGGGCGGCGGTGGCGCGTCGCACTGGGCAATCGAGTCGAAGCAAGTGTGCGAGAACGAGGTTGGCCAGCAGCCACGCGAGCGCGACTCGGATGCCGGGCAGAAGCGGCAGATCGACGGGTCGGAGACGCAGTTGTGGCAGTCGGACCCGTTGCACACGCTTGAGAAGCCGACAACAATCTCGAGGCGGAGGCTGAGATGGGTTGACCAGACGGCGCTCTTGTCCGAGGACGAGAGCCCGCCGTTGACAGACCACGTCAAGCGCTTGCCGTCATCGATCGGCGTATCAAGCTGGAGCGCATACGCGCCAGAGTAGACTGCAGTCGACGAGATGTTGGCCAGCGGGGTGTCCTCATTCCACACGCCGATAGCCGATCCCTTGCCGATCGGCTGCCACAGGGTGGTGGAGAGAGACAGACCAGCAACGTTGCCGGTTGTGTTGACCAGCGAGACCTCCGAGACCCTCCCCTCGATGACCAGCTGATGAGTCTTGGCCATCTCGTAGATGTCCTCTCCGATGTGGGCCGGCATGGTGCAGCCGGACGGGCCATTGTTAATGACCTTGATATTGCACGAAGAGTGGCCGGTGTACACGGGGTCGACCACAGCAGACAGAGCCATACCGAGCATACACACCAGCACCAGCACGCCTACACACTGTCCAATCATCATTGCTGCTTTTGTCAAGTGGTCGTATCTAGCTGCTGCCATCTCGCTGTCCTGTGGTCCAAGCCGGAGCCACCCTTGTTGCGGGAGTTTGGAGGGAACCACACGCGTGCCAGGGCTTTCTTGCCTGCAAACATCTCCTCTTTTTGCGCCATGTCTACCACCGCAAAGCACCCATTGTGGCCCATCGTGACCGACCGGTCACAATGGCTTTGCCGACCGATGGAGACACTGATCTGATGGGTGGCCGGCCGGCAGCGGCTGGCAGCCGCTCGGCCGACAGTCGCCGCTGTAAGCCGCGGCCTTGCCCGGACACAGCTTCAGGGTCTCTTTCTTGTGCAAGTCTCGCGATCGCGAGACTCGTTGACGCTCATGACACCGGCTTGACCGTCAGTCCTCTCCCCCTCCCCCTGCTCTTGTGAATGCTGCGCATGACCGTGATCAAAGTGCAGCTGTGGGCGATGGCTGGCCTTGCGTGGCGGGGGCACCTCACTCTCACGCCACACCTGACGATCATGCGGCAGAGCAAGGTGGATCAGTCAAAGAGCGAACTGGCCAAGAACATCCCTGCATCGCTCGGCAGGTAGGTCTCGTCAGGCACAGCGTGGCCGAGGCGTGGCAGTTGGTGGTTGGGTAGTGAGAGCGGGGTGTCGGGGAGGGATCCTTGTCGGGGAGCGAGGGCCAGTGCTCAGCAGACTTACAGGCAGTGTGACGGCGGGATGTCACGTTGCTCCATGGGGCTGGTGGCTGTACCGACGAGCAACAGTGCGGGGCTTGCAGTGGCAATGTTCAACCCGCTGGACACGCTGCGCATCCGGTGGCAGGTCTCGCCGCCGGGCCAGGCGTCGACGAGCTCGAGCTCGACCAAGGGCGGCGAGGCGGTGCGGGCGGCGATGGGCCGGATGGGCGAGGGCGGCAAGCCGAGCAACATTGTAGCCTTTGCGCGACAGGTGATCCGTACCGAAGGACTGTGGCGCGGATTGTGGAAGCCGGGCATGCTGGCCAACTCGGCGTCGATCGCGTGCTCCTCCGGCCTCCGCATGGGCTTCTATCCGCTCCTCCGCGACTGGCTTGACATGCAGTTCTCGGCCGGCGAGGCCGATAGCGAGGCACACGCTGCCAGCAAGTCGCCGGCTGCCATGGCGCTGGCCTCGTTTGCTGCTGGCGGCCTGGGCTACTGGGTCTCCACCCCGACGTACCAGGTCAAGGTCCGGCTGCAGGCCGAGGCCGGCAAGGTGGTCGACGGCGTGCTAACGACCGGGGCGAGGGCCGGCTCGCCGCCACGCTACCGCGGCCTCTTCCATGCCCTTTACACCATCGCGCGCGACGAAGGTCCAACCGCACTGTATCGGGGTGCCGGCGCCCTACTTATTCGCGGAGCGCTCATCACCACCGGTCAGCTCACGGCCTACGATCTGACCAAGACCCGCGCCAAGGCTGCAGGCCTCCTCGGTGACGGCCCGGTCCTGCACGTTGTTGCCTCTATTGTGGCCGCCTTCTTTATGACCACCCTCTCGGCTCCGGCTGACATCCTCATGACCCGATACCAGACCGCGCCGCAAATGGGCAAGTCGTACCGCGGCCTCATCCACTGCGCCTCATGCATGATCCGTGATGAAGGCCCGATGGTCTTTTACCGCGGCTGGACCGCGTTCTTTGTCCGCCTTGCTCCGCTCAACCTCGTCCTCTTTCCGCTCTACGAGCAGCTCCGTCGCCTCTTTGGCCTCGAGTACATGGACTGAATCCCCGCCATCCGATCTTCCCTTCGCCCCCCCCCCCCCCCTCCCCCGAAAGCCACGCCCGGAAACCCCGTGTCACCGACCGGTCACGTCGGCCGAGGCCAACCCCTACACTACGCCACGCCACCTCACTCCACTCACCCACCCACCAACATGTCGGACGACCCGTTTGCGGCACTGATGCAGGCGTCGTCTCAGGGGACACCACGTGGAAGCGTGGGCGTGGCTGCTGCAGCTGCTGCTGCTGAGCGTGCCAACACCCCGCTGGCGGCCATGGCCTCGCGTGGGAGCACTCCGAAGCCTTCGACGACCACAACAACAACGACGGCAAAGACGACAGCCAGCTCTGCCCACCCTCCTCAGCACGGACATAGTCGGGCGGCGGGCGGTCTGGGTAATCTCGACGATGCCTTTGCCTCTCTCGGCTGGGCCTCGGCAGGTGCCCAGACCGGCCCGGGTGCCTCGGTCTCGGCTCCGCCGTCGACTGCAGGTTCGTCCCGGGCGTCACCTGCGCCTTCGTCGACTGCCAGCTCGGGAGGAAGCTCGGTGGCATCGTCGGCTCCGACATCGGCACGTGGTGCAGAGTCGCAGTCCCAGCCGGCCCCGCCGCTCTCGCCGACCTCGGCCTTTGCGCCCATTGTCACTCTCTCGCGAGCATCAGACTCCTCGCCGGCTCCCGCGGTCGCCGATCCGTTTGATATGCTCTCATCGATCTCGGGCACGTCTCCGCGGTCGGTGGCGGCGACGCCGGAGCCTGCGTCTGAGCCTGCACCTGCGCCGGAGCCGGCAGCACAAGCCCGTGAGCCGTCGATTCCGCCGCGGCAGCGCGGTGCGGCCAAAACCCAGCAGCCGGCCAAGCAGCCGACCAGCATGCCGCGTTCAGGTGATGTCCAAGTCACGCCTGGCGAGATGCGAACTATCCGCGACCAGCTTGTTGAGCTCTACTCGATTGAGCCGCAGAACGTGCTTGACCTCCTCCTCTCGGCCATGGAGTCATCGACCGAAGTCGCTGCCAACCTCCGCGAAATGGTCCCGCTTGTCCTCGCCAACGCCCAAGAGGCAGCGCAAGCCCGGGCGGCGGCCGAGGGCAGCGCACCTGGTACCGGCGGCTCGCTTCTTGCCGCCGCTCGCCAGCGCGCCTCCAAGATCGGCTCCAAGCTCTCGTCCATGCTTCGCAGCGACCGACCTGCCGGCGGCCCGCCGCCGTCGTCGGCAGCGGTCGCCACGCCCCCGCTTGTCTCGGTCCCGCTCCGTGACACAACAGCTCCCCAGTTGCGTAACGTCGCGGATGCGCCTGCATGCAGGACGCAAGTCCAAGACGTCAGCCGCAGCATCACCCGCACCTGCGCCTGAGCCCGCGCCCGCGCCTGCGCCCGCGCCTGCGCCTGACCGGACCGAGCTCAAGGCAGCTCGTGAGGCCGAGGTTGCGGAGCAAGTCCGCGTGGCGCGCGAGCAGCACCTCAACCGTCTCGAGGCCGAAGACGCGGCGGCCGAGGAGCTCGAGGCAGCCAAGCTTGCGGTGGCGCCGGTCATTGCCGGATGGGCGACCGAGAAGAAGCGCGGCAACGCGGTGGCGCTCCTTTCGACGCTGCATGAGATCACGTGGCCCGACTCGGGCTGGAAGGAAGTCTCGTTCACACAGCTGATGAATGGCGCCGGTGTGCGCAAGGCGTACTTTAACGCCTGTCGCAAGCTGTATCCTGATAAGCTGCCCGCGGACGCACCCGCAATGCAGGTTGCGCTCTCGACCGAAATCGCCTTTATCCTCAACAACGCGTGGGAAAAGTACAAGTCGGACAACGGCATGTAAAGTTCAGCAGGAAGCTTCAGTCGTCATCGAGTGGGAGGCCGTGCTTGGCCCGCCGCTCGCGGCGCCGCCCGGCAAACGTCCGCTGCAGTCCGTCGAGCAGGTCGGCGAGGTCGGCGTCGAGCCCGTCGCGGCGGGCCGCCGCAGCCACGGCAAACCCGCGCGACCGCTTTTCGACGTACGCCTCGATCGCGGCAATGTCGCCGACGTCAAGTAGTGCTGTGCGGTGGGCTTGGGCGGCCTCACGTGCAGACTCACGCGCGCGCGCCCCGTCGAGCAGCGTCTCCACCGCGGCAGCCACCGCGGCGGCGGTCTTTGCTGCCTGGCCGCTCTTTCCAACCCCGCTGCCGGCTCCGCGACCTGCTTGGCTCGGCCCACTTCCCCCGCTCCGCTCCGCAGTATCGTCGACAATGACGTTGCGCGCGGCGGAGCGGCGATCGGCGGCCGAGGCCAACAGATGCTTGCCCAGAAAGTGGATGCGGTCCTTGGACGGGTAGCTCGGGAGGAGGGCATCAAAGGCGTCGAGCATGGCTGCAATGGCGTCGTCACGGGCCACAAAGGCCGAGAGCTTGGGCGCCGTCGCCAGAGTCGCCTTGGACGATACCATCACTGTCCGGCCGGCGTCGACAATGTCGGCCAGGCGGCGCCTGACCCGCTCGAGCTCCTCGTCGTCGACGTCTGGATCGATCCACGCCTCGAGCATGTCCTGGACGGCGACAAGTGCATCTCGGACTTCGTTAGCGCGTGCGAAAAACGTCGATGTTGTCCCGTCTGCATCCCTACGGGCCGTGACCAGATCCTCCAAAGCATCGATGGTCTCAACCATGACCGCCAGCACGTCCTCCTCGGTGGCAGCCTCGACCGAGCCGGACTCGCTCTCAGTCGCGTACTCGTACTCGTAGTCGGACATGACACGAGGCGGAGGTGACAGTGTAGCAGGGGATGCAGGTACGTGGGTGGGGTGTGGGCGGGTGAGGGGGTATGCGCGTGGCAGGCGGACTGGTGCAGCACCTGCAAGGGCCACGACATGGAAGACTGCCTGCCCGCCGCAAAGGACGATCACCAGCGCACCAAAGACATCGACCCAGCTGACGAGCTTGGCTCGGCTCCGCCCGTTCACGCTGCCGGCAGCAATCTCCATCGCATCGAACGTCTTCCAGTCGGCATACGGCGTGAGCACGTAGAGCGAGCAGGCGGCTCGGGCTTCGCCAAGAGCTACGATGGCGTCGAGACAGTCGGCACCGATCCTTCGACGACGATGCACGACGACGATGCCGGGCGGCCCTCCGAGCGGCCCTCCGGGCGTCCGTTCCTTACCTCGACATCACGTGTACGCGAGCTATCGATGGGCGCAAGTGTACATGCGGCTTGCCTTGCCAATGCGACGAGGTCTCTCAACCCGTCGAGCCACCGGAGCGAGCAGGCGGATCGGGCTGGCAACTGAGAGTGTCGCCACTCCTCCTCTCTCTCTCTCTCTCGCTGACACGGCTTGTGGCAGTGCCACCCAACTCACTGCCATGCTCGACTACCTCCCATCCACGTGGCTCGGCTGGGCACTTGTACTCATTGCGGCTATCAATGTGACTGGCCTCCCACTTGCCTTCCACATCCGACTCCTCCTCACGGTGGCGTGGCAGTTTCGCAACGGCCGCATTCCCGATGTGCTGGAGGGTGTGCGCCTGCCGCTGCGCGTGTGGCCGTCCGAGTGCGATATTAATCTGCACATGAACAATGCTTCTTACAACCTCGTGGCCGACATGGGTCGCTACGCCTTTGCCGTCGGCACCGGCATGTGGGCCAAGTCGCGAGCGGATGGCTTCTATCTTGCCAATGGCGGCGTCTCGCTGCGGTTCAAGCGCGAGCTCAAGCCGCTCGCCGCATACACCCACATCACGCGGCTGCACTCGTTCGACGGCAAGTGGATGTACCTGGAGCATCGCTTTGAGGCTCCCAACTCGGGCAAGGTTCACGCCTTTGGCTACTCGCGCTTTGTGGCCAAGAAAGGTCGCGACGACGTCCCACCGGCCACCCTCCTCCGCGAGCTCGGCTATGCCGACGCCGTCGACGTTGTCTCGGCCTTGACGGCGTCCAAGGCCCCTCACGCGAGCCTGGGCGCTCTGGCAGATTCGATCGACGACGCTCTCTACGACGTTGCCGGAAGGTGGAGTCGCTAACTCAACCAATGTCGTCACTTTCAGGGTGACGACATTGGCTCGCTCAAGAGCGAGCCGATCTTGGAAAACGTCGAGCTGAGCGTCGAGCCCCAGGCCTTCAACTCTGCGATGGCCTCCAACCGCTCAGAAGAATGTTCAGGCGTGAGCGACTGCGACAACGACTGGGACTGCGTTGCCGACCTCTCTTCCCCACTCATCGGCTCCTCCTCCGTTATGGTGAGCGTGGTGAGCGTGGCGTATGAGCTAAATACTATCTCTTGCGTCGCCGCCATGTTCCACCGCACACGGTGAGATGATGGCTTGTGCCGGAGCGCGGGCAGTGAATCCAACTCATCGTCGTTGTCCCATTCGGCTCTGCTACCGCCAATGTCCACGGTAGCCGTCATTCGAGTGGGAATGGCGTTGTGAGTAGAGCCCACGTCGACATCCTCTTCAGCCTCAGCCTGGATATCGGTTTTGGCCTCGTTCTTTGCCTTGCTCGAGTCTGCAGCAAGCGCCTTGTTCAGCTCGTCTACAATGTCCGCCCGCGACCGCTGCTTGCTCGAGCCGAACATGTCCGAACGGTCAACGCCGTACAGCGCGATTCCGTGCCCTGGCAGCGAGGTGTAGAGATCGATGTCACTGGTGCCTGGCTTGCGCCGCTGAAAAGTCGTGCATTGTAGTCCGAGTTGTGCCTTGCCTGCTGCCATCTCCGCGCCAGCATAATGGCCTCGGCCTCAGCATCAATTGACGGCGGTGTCGACGATGACGATGACGTTGCACTGCCAAAACTCGAACTGCACTCCGAGTCCGAATCCGAGGCAGGGCCCGTCTCGGAGCTTGTCTCAGAGCCCGAGTCCGAGTCGCTGCCTCCTTCTGACGAGCTCGAGCAGCTGCCCGGTGCCGACGACGACGCTGAGCCGATGTACCTGCCAAACGACTCGATCGCGCTCGGCGGTCCACGTGGCTGCTCAGTCAGCCGGCGCAAGCGACGTTTGCGAGCCAGTCGGTTTGTTCTGCTGCGATGCGGGATGGATGCCACGTCTAACACATCCATCCGATCCATGCCTTTTCCGAGATCGGTGAGATAGCCTCGTCGGATGTCGGGCAGTGGACCAGCCGCTCTGCCTGCTGCATCATGTGCAGCCTCTTGAGCTTCTTCCACAGCTGCGCATACAGCTCGTCGATCGACGCCAACTTGCTCGTCGCCGACACGGCCTCAGACTCGATGAGTCCGCGGACTCGTGCCTTGGTTTGCATCGACATCGTCATGCCGCTCCCCAATGATGTCGCGGTGCTGGAGGCGCCGCTCACTCGCGACAGCCGCCGGGCCACTAGCCGACTTTCATCTTGCTTCATCCGTGCCCTCAGCGCCCGCGCCTCCTTGACCGACATGCCCTCACCTCTAGTCCGCCGCAAGATCTCTCCGCGCCGTGTCTTTGGCCACGAGGTCAGCCGCATCATCGCTGGCAGGGTGACGAGCGGCCTGCCCGACTCGTCGTCAGCCGCATGCCGTATTAAATCATACGTCGCCACCCGGCCGCCTCCCTGTGTCGACCAGCCCCATACTTGGACTGGCATTGCGTGCACCTTGCCCAAGTTGGGCTCGCTTGTGACGTGGGGTGTAGGGCGAGACCGCAAGTCGCGAGTGTAGCGCCGACTGTGGTATCGACAGCGTTTGTTGCGGGACAGAATAGAATTGGCAGCTAGCAGGAGTGTGCCGTGGTGGTTCATGGAACATCCGCGCCACTTCACCCACGAACAACGTTTGCCGTTGACCCATGTCGGCCGGAGCCAGGAGCTGTTGCTCACATCGCCCGCCAATCCTCTTCTCAAACTAATCGAGTTGATGGCATCCAGCCGGCTTTGTGCCTCATCGCACGACTACATTGACAAGGGTGTGGCCGTTCGGGCTACGTGACGGGACAATGACAACGCGGACGACGTCCTTGTCGGCGAGGGCTCGATCAAGGCCGACGTTGTCGGCTGCGGCTTCGCGGATGGTGGCGAGGACCTTGTCCTCGCTCCCGCGTACCGCATCATCGGCGGCAATGCTCACCGAGCCGCGCTTCTTGCCGTTGACCTGGACCACCACCTCGATGCACTCGTCGCCAGGCCCCGCCGCAAGCTGCACCACAGGCAGCGGCTCGGGCCACGGCGCGGTGAGAACGGACTCGCGGTGTCCAAGGCCCTCCCAAAGCTCTTCTGCGAGGTGCGGCGCCATCGGCGCCAGCATCACCGCTAGCCGCTCCATGGCCGCCAGCAGGGTCGCCTTAGGCGCAGCTCCATCGGCTGCGGTCTTTCCCACAACCGTCGAAAGCTTCATCAGCGCCGCCACAGCGGTGTTGAACGCGTTGCTCTTCTCAAACGCGCGCGTCACCGCCTCGAGCGCCTCATTGGTGGCGTCGACTACGCCCGCTGCGGCCACAGCCGCCGCACCCTCGACGGCAGCGTTCTCTGGCAGTGCCGTGACTGTCGACGGCAGCAGCGCCAGCCGACGCATCCAGCGTGCCTGTCCCTGGATCCCGGCATCGTCCCAGTCAAGCACCTTGTCCGGCGGTGCCTTGAAGAGCATGAACAGCCGCAGCACGTCCGCCCATGCTCCTCCACCAACGGCACCGGATCGACGCCATTGTACTTGCTCTTGGACATCTTCTCGTGGGTCACCACCAACGGCTCGCCAGTTGCTCGACAACACGCCTGCCCGTCGTCGGCCACAGCAACTTCATGAGGTGCAAGGTACTTGCCTGATCCCTGCACCTGGTACGTGGGCGCGTGGACCATGCCCTGGGCGAGGAGCTTGGAAAACGGCTCGCGGACCGAGACGAGGCCGCGGTCAGCCAGGAAGTGGGTCACAAACCGGGCGTAGAGCAAGTGAAGGATAGCGTGCTCGATGCCGCCGATGTAGACGTCCACCGGAAGCAGCGCGTCAAGGGCCTTCTTCTCAGCCGGGAAGCTAGGCGACGACGGCGAGGCGTAGCGGAGAAAGTACCACGACGAGTCCACAAACGTATCCATGGTGTCTGTCTCGCGGACGGCAGACTGAGATCCACACTGCGGACACGAAACCTCGTGTGCCCACGCCGAGAGCACTGGATCTGGGCCTTCGCTGCTGGCCCCGTCATCGAGTGACGCCGACGCGGACGCCACGCCGTACTTGATGCCGTCAGGAAACACAACAGGAAGCTCGCTGTCGGGCACCGGTACCGCCTCGGCGCAGTCTGAACAGTGAATCATCGGAATCGGCGTACCCACCGCCGCTGACGTGAGACTAGCCAGTCGCGAAGTCGAAACTGGACGTGCGGCCGTGCGCCGAGCTTACGCAGCTCAGCAGCTAGAGCGTTCGGACACGGATCGAGCGCAATGTCGTCCAGCGACACGCCGCGAGCAGCAAGGGCCGAGCCGCCGGACGGCAGCGACGCTGCAAACGCCGCGTCGCGCTCGTCCGCCAGTGGCACGCCCATCACTGCTCCGGTCCCGTAGCCATCAAGTACGTACTCGGCCTCGTAGACCGGGAGGCGCTGTCCCGTCAGTGGGTGCCGCGCCTCGCAGTCGGCAAGCGGTGAGCCTGGGGCAACAGCGACAAACTCGACCGCAGGCAGCGTCTCTGGTCGGGTGGTAAAGGCCTCAAGCCCGTCGCCAAACGGAATGAGGTATCCCTCGGAGCGGCCGATCCAGTTGGCTTGCATGTGCTTGACTTGCGCTGGCCACTCGAGGGCATCAAGGCCGTCAAGCAGAGGCTGTGCGTACTTTGTGATGGCCACAAACCACTGCCGCAGATGCCGCTTCTCCACCAGCGCGCCCGACCGCCACGACCGGCCCTCGGCGTCTACCTGCTCGTTGGCAAGAACTGTCCCGTCGACCGGATCCCAGTTGACCGGCGCCTCATCCATGTACGCCAGGCCGGCCTTGTGCATCTCCAAAACAGCCGCTGTGTGTGGGCAAAGTACGCCGGGCTTGCCGTCGACACGTCCGACGTCTCCCACTGGAATCCGAGCCCGAGCGCATCCATCTGCTCGCGCATCGACGCAATGTTGCGCTTTGTCCACTCACCCGGATGCGCACCGCGCTGTAGAGCCGCGTTCTCCGCCGGTAGGCCAAACGCGTCCCATCCCATCGGATGCAGCAGCTTGCGCCCGCGCGCCGCCGCGTATCTCGCCAGCACATCCGACATGGTGTAGACACGGACATGGCCCATGTGCAGCTCGCCCGACGGATAAGGAAACATCGACAGCACATACGCCTTCTCGCCCGAGCCCTTCCTGGCACCGTCGTTAGGCCCGGCCGCAGCCGCCATGTCAGCCCCGCCGCCGCTCTCAAACCGGGCGGCGCCCAGCGTGTCCATCCTCGCGCCGTCCTTGGCCGCCGCCGCAGCCCAGCGTGTGCGCCACTTGGCCTCAACCGCAGCCGCCTGGTACCACCGTGCCCACCCGCGGATGCTGCTGGTCAGCCACGTTGCTCCGCTTCCGCCCCGCAGCATCGTCAGACGAGTTCTATGCGTTTACCCAAAGCCAGCCTCGCCACAAGGGGGCGGGTTGAGCCGCCGGTCCGCCGCTCGCTGCTGGCGACGACGGCATGTCGCGTCGCTTCGTTCCCCGTCCGCCGGTCCCCAGCCCACGCCCAGCCAATGCTTTCCACGCCGTCCAGTGTGAAGCCAGACCGAGAAGACCCAGACAATGTGTTCTTCGCCATGCTCACGAGTCGACAAAGACATTTGATTGCGTCACCCTGTAGCATCCTGGCCCCATCAGCGCACATCTGGTCCGCGCAGCAGGCCCAGCCAGGTCCCGGCCGGCACGCCTCGAAGCCCGGCGCCGCATGAAGCATCAGCCAACGCATCGGTGGCCAGCCATGCGCTAGAGCGATCGCGGAGCGTTTGTGCGAGGCACAGGCTTGTTCTCATAGTTTGATCCGGATTCCGCGGCGTGATCGCGGAGGCGCTGGTACTCCTCCTCGATGGAGACCTTGCGCTTCTTGACGTGCCTCTTTGTCCGCTCCTCGAGCGTCACATTGGTCTTGCTCGCGGTCGACCGCTCGAACTTCTTGTCCATCATGTACGTCGCGCCGTATAGACCGGCGACCATAAAGCCGACAAAGGGAATACCGACGCGGACAAGCGGGGAGCGGGGCATGCGGGGCGGGAGTCGAGTCGAGCGGTGGCGACTTTCGCTTTGGCAGCGTGGGTCCGCGAGTCAGCGACTCACCGCCGGGCTGCGAGCCGCCCACAACCAAGTTGCTGCCGCCCGCCACGCCCGCAGAGTGCAGTCGGGCAAATGATGCATGGCGGAGAATTTAACCTCGAAAGCGTCGGCATCAGCTATCTTCTTCCTGGCACGCAGTGGTGAGGGCAGGCTCGGAGAACGCACAGACGTCGTCGGCGATGTCCAGCCGATCATCGACCAACGGCATGGCCGAAATGAGCTCCGGATCGTGGACATCGCCGGCGTACGAGAGCAGCGACTCGACAAAGCGCGGGCCTTGCTATTGCCAGCGCCGTCGTCTGCAATGGCCGGAAGCGACATCGAGTTGACGGTGTGGGTGAGCTTGCTCAGGGTACGAAAGTAGGCAGTGTCGTAAGCAGTCATGGCCGCGACGGCGGCGTCGTGCTCTGCGGCGGCCACCTCGGGGAGCTTGGTGAGCCACGTGGTGAGGAAGGCATTGACGTTGGACGTGAGCTCGATGCCGCCAAAGGCGGCGACCCAAGCCTGGAACATGGGCTTGACTACGATGCGGGCGATGGAGGTGAGGCCCTTGGTGACAGACGTCGACTTGCCGTCCATAAACGGAGAGACGGCGATTCCAAGCGCGGCTTCTTTGCGGCCCTGCGAGAACTGCTCACAGGTGAACCGGTGGGCCCAGACCTTGCTCAGTGGAGCCGGACGCGCGACAAACGAGAACGGCGTGAGCTTGACGAGCATGGCGAGGGCGAGACGGAGGAGCTTGTCGTCGCCGCGCAGTCGGGTGAGGAGCGCCTCGCGCGCAGAGGAACCAGTCGGCCGCATCCCGTTAGGGTGGGGCTTTGCTCTGTCAGCTGCGGGCGGCACTGCGCGCGCGCCAGGCATCGACAAACCGAGCGTGATCGAGAACCGCGACATAAACTCGACGTGTCGGTGCATGTCTGATGCGAGGACGAGGTCTGTCACCAGCCTGTGGAACTGGTCAAACTTGGCAGGCGAGAGCGGCGCAAAGAGCTTGAACTCGGGCGAGAGGGCCAGCTGGAAGGCGAGCGCGAGGTGGTGCAGCTCAAGGACCGACCGATTCGAGTAGCGGATGGCGATCTTTGACTGGGTTTTGACCAGGAACGACGCCGTCACGCCCGGGTGGCCGATGTCTTTGATGGCGACAGCAAAAAGGCGGCAAAAGCGTCCAGCGGCGAGAGGATATTGTACAGGCCCGACGAGGTGAGGATGTAGTGCGCGTACTGGAGAGAGTGTGCCGAGTGGAGGACGTTGTGGAAGGCATTGGTGGTGCCCTCGCACGCGAGGTCGAGGACTTTGGCAAACTTGGCAAACTTGACCTTGTCGATGCCAAGCACGGAGAGGAGGCCGCGCTCTTGAACAATGGCAACGAAAATAGAGCGGAGAGGCATAGCGTCTGTGTGCGCGTAGGTGAATATGTCAAAGTCCGGGTCGGCGAGGCCAGGAATGGTGGCGGCGAGCTGACCCGACTGGTCGAGGGAGTCGACTTTGCCGGTTGCCGAGAGGGAGATCGAGGCCATGGCCCGCGACAAGCCGGTCTGCGCCTCACCGGTCCATGGCGACTCGATGAGTGTTGCGCGGATCCACTCGCGGGTGTCCAAGTCGCGCGACGCTGTGTTCGCGTCCTTGGTCTCGGGTGTAAACAAGACGTTCGACTGGATGGCCTCGATGGCAGCGTTGATGTCTTGCAGATCCTTCGGTGAGTGGACTGTGCCCTGCAGCCGCCACAGTAGGCTTAGCACTTGGTTGACCGGAATGTCGATTACCGGCGACGTCGTTGTCCGACCCGACTCAGCCGACGTCATCTCCGACAGAGTGTCCAGTCGCGAGTTGAGCGCCCGCGTCTCGAGATTGAGCTGCTTGTTCTGGACCTCGAGGTTGACCACCTGCGCCCGCCGCCGCCGCAACATCAGGACTGCTACCAGCAGGAGGACGCCGACAATGACCACAATCGTGGTCGAGAGAACAATGACAAGAATAAACACTGTGTTGCTCTCAGACGTTGGCACATCCTCTTTCAGGAACGGTATCTCGGTGGTGTTGCCCGAAAACCGAAGCGGGGTGGTGAGATGTAGCGTCTGGTCGACCCGCCACGTTCCCACGGTCCGCATATTTGCACCACCTTGGTAGTTGACCACCGAGTACTGCGAGACGCGGTCGTAGTTAAAGTCGAGTGTGATGTTCCCTGTCAGACCGATAAAGGTCGTCTGCGCAATGCGATCCATGAGCGCGAGGCCGTCGTACACGTCGGTCTCGGCAGAAATGGCGGCATGTATCGCATGTGCAAAGAGCGTGACCACGTCGTACGAGAAGAGCGCAAAGGCGGTCGGCTCGGGAAACTTGGCTGCGGGATACAGGGTCTCGTTGAGTGACGGCCAACGAGCGCGAAACTGGGCCGTGTGCGCAGTCTCCTCAAATGATGAGACAAGGCCAATGAGCCCCACCAGCTCACGCTCCGGCAGGTCGGTCGACGCGATAAACTCAGAGGTCATCCAGTCGCCGCCACAGAAGATGAAACGTCCGTCAAGCAGCTTGCGCGCCGAGAGCTCCTTGAAATGCCGGCCATTTCATAGGAAAAGCCAGCGAGAAAAACCACATGCGTCCGGGTAGTCTTCTGCATGAGCGAGGCAACCTGGGAAAAGTCGGAGGTGCCCGCGCGGTACGAGAGTTGCGCCGTGACCTCGATTCCGAGCTCTGTGGCGTAGGCTGCAAACGCCTGTCCGGCCGACGCACCGTAGTCGTCCGAGTGGAAGATGACCATGACTCGCTTCCAGCCGTACGCCTTGATGATCCGCGCCATGGCCGCACCACGCAACGACTCGGGCGCCAGCAGACGCGCAAAAGTTGGGTACGCGTCCTTGTCCGACAGCACCGATGCTGTTGACGCTGGTGAGATCTGCGGAAGCTTGAACAGCGACGCGATGTTTTGGATGGCACGCGAGACCGACGAGACACCGGCGCCGACCACGCCCACAATCTCATCACCGTGCTTCTGGATGGCAGTCAACATGCCAAGCGTGGCGTCAGACGCGGATCCCTCGCTGTCATACGCATCCAGCAACAGCATAGTCTGTCATCGCCCACACCATTTGGTGGAGCCAAAGGCCATGACGCATTGCCGCCACCACCACGCACGTGTTCCTGTGAGTGCCACCTCATGGCCTTTGTGCGGAGCGCAACAAATTGGTCCCGGAAAAAATCGTGCCGTGGACCCGGCCACGCGGCGAAAAGCAAGTTGAGCACGGCGGAGCGACACAAGACAGAGGGCGCGGGAGGAGGTGGGCGGGGAAGCGGGGGAGGGAGACGGAGGGGGAGGGGGGAAGAAAGAGAGAAAGAGGAGTGGGAGTACAGTCTCTGCAGACTCTTGCGTGGATGCATTGGCGCTACACGCCAGGGAGCAAGGGAACAGGGGGGATTAGCAAGGTGCGGGACATACCTTGGGGAGAAGGTTCGGGTTGCGGTTGATATCCTCGATGGCGAGTAAGACGCCGGTGTGGACGTGCGCTCCAGGGCCGGCAAGCGAGCCGGTGAGCGGGTAAATGCCGACAAGGGTGACGTTGGAAGGCGGAGCATACCCGGTAAGCACGCCCTTTACGTGTGGCAAGACCGCGGCGAGTGCAAGACCACACACAAGTGCGGGAATGAGGCCGTGCATCACCCAAGAGCGGTGCCGACTGACCAGGGGCGACGGCCGCTGGCAGCTTGCGCTCTTCGCGCCTGCCAACTATTCGCTCTAGTCAGCGCCACGGCTTTGATTGGCACAATAGCGCTGACCCGCGTTCCAATAAGCATCATTCCGACGAACCACGCCAACCTGTGCAGAGCATGTCAAGGATGCGAGACAACGCCAAGCACGTGTGCGAGGGGAGCTGGCACGCTGGGTGGTAGCTAGAGGATGCACGGGCGGTGGCGATGGCAGAAGGAGAGCGACGAGCGGTCGGTAGTTGTCCCGGCAAAGAAATCTGTCAAACGTTTGTTGTCAACGAGGCTGTTACTCGGCGCGACTTGTACAAAGTGCGGCCATGGCTGCAGTGAGCGACGGCGAGATAAGGGGTGATACGGGTGCAAATGCCGGGTGCGTCAGTTCGCGTGGGCATGGAAGGGTAGATCCAGAAGCAAGGGTACGGCGCGGTGATGGCGCAGTAGCCGTGGGATCGACGCCGGCGCGCCTCGGCAGTGAGGGCGACGACGGCGGGGAGGCCGGGCGAGCGACGGTGGGCGACGGCAGCGGGGCGCCGGTCTCGGCAACGTCAGCAAGACTGGGCGCAGCAGCCACGAGTTCGTCGACTTGGTTGGCAAGGGAAGTGGCCTTGGCAACCATGGCGGAGCGGGCGGTGGCAAGCAGGTTCTGGATGTGCGGACGAAGGGAGGCAAAGTCGGCGAGGAGGGCACGCTTGCGAGCGACGTCGGCCTCGAGAGCTTTCTTGATGCCAAGACGCGCTTCGTTGGCTCGGAGGGAGGAGGTGAGGACAGTCATGTTGTACAGCATCGATCGGAGCGAGACAATGGCGCCATCGGCGGCATCTGGAGAGTGGGTGAGCGTGTGGAGCAGGGCAAGGTAGCTCCGGACAACGGCGTCCAGCAGCGAAGTGAGAAGGGCCGGGACGGCGGACGGAGCCGGCGAAGCCGTCGACACGCCATCGACCACCAATGCGTCCCGTGCGAGCACAGTGCTCGGCACCGGGCCAGCTGTCACGCTCTCCCCAAACATGGTGTACGTTGCGCCTGGCTCTGGTCGCGGCGGCGGAGGAGGAGGAGCTGGCAGCGCAAGCCACACTAACCACCGTTTCCGACCACGCCCTCCCTCGCTGTTGGTGTGCGACAAGTGTACCCTCCCGCGGCAGCTTGAGTCCAAGCCCAAGCCTAAGCCGCCAGCCCAGGCCGCCAGACCTGGCCCGTCGCTCTCCGCTCACCGTCCACCACACCCAACTCCAGTCCCTGCAGGCGATGGAACATACCACACACACACACACACACACACACACACACACACACACACACACACACACACACACACACACACACACACACACACATACACACACTCCCCTCGCACATACACACATACGTGCACGCAGGCTACACACGCACAACAATCATGTCTGCTGTGGCTGGTGGCGGGAGCGGCGGGAGCAGCGGCGGTGGGAGCAATAGCTCCAAGACGTCCAGCTCGGGACGGACCTCGGGCGCCGCCTCTGTCTTTGCTGTCCCGCTCCTCGCCCTCAACATGGGTGCCGAAATGGTATTTGTCCTCCAGCAGCGTCTTGCTGCACAGAACATCGGCGCGTCCAAAGCTGCTAGAGGTAGGCTGCCGTTGTTGTTTCCTGCCTGTCTTTACCCCTCCTCTTGGCATCGCACTCACCGCAGACCTAGTCCTCGGCGATGTCGTCCTCGCCCTGCTCAAGCCCTCGCTGCTGGACACGCTCTTCGAGCCGCAGCTGGTGTACACGCCAAAGCAGCTGCTGACCATGTTCCAGGACCTGGCACACGCGTCGATCATGAAGCTCTCAGACAACTCCATGTCCAAGCTCTTTGACCTCATGTCGATGGGCTTCAAGTACCATGTCATCGCCGCCTCGATCCCGCCCGAGATCCTGCAGATCACCCGCAACCATCTCGACGAGCTGCGCAACATTGTTGCCGCCGCCAGCAACGCCGCCGAGGTCATCACCGCCATTGACGCCGCCGACGCCCGCATCGGCTCGATCTACGACTCGCTCACCTACGGCGATTGGATGCTCGTCCAGCAGACCATCCTCGCCTTTTTCCAGGATCGTCGCGTCAAGGTCTCCCTCTTCCTTAACTCGTCCATCCAGCGGCCCGACGGCACGTTTATTGTCGACACGCTGCAGGGCGTCACCCCGCCGTTCTTCAACGTCCCGGGCGCCATCATCTATGCCCCGTCGGGCACTACCGGTGCGTTTGAAACGCTCGCTACGCTCGAGCCGTGTACCATTCCGGCCCAGGACCGCGCCTCACCGTACGGCTTTAACATGTATGCCGAGGCCACCGCCGCAGCCACAGAGTCGGGCCCCGGTGAGTCGAACCGCAAGCGCCGCTCGCGCAAGCGCCGCGGCCTCTCCAAGTCCATCTTTGACCGCAACCTGCGCTCCAAGTCGGCCGCAAAGGCGCTGCCCAAGGCCAAGCTCCGCAAGAACGAGGCCGCCAAGCACGCTGCGCTCGCCCGTGCAGAGCTCGCCATGCTCTCGTCCATGCTCGGCGTCGAGCCGGCTGTCGACGAGCCGGCCTCGGCAACCCCGTTCTTGGTCAATCTCTTCCCGGACCTCGGCGCCGCAGACTCGCCCGCCCGCAAGCCGGCCGTGCCCGGCGCTCCAGCCCGCGCCGTCGCCACCGGCTCGCTCCTTGGCGGCGACGACTCGGACACCTCTGACGATGACGGCCCGGCTACGTCCGGCATGATCGTCATTGACGCCCAAGACGCCATGGGTGCCACCCACTATGCTGCCAACACCGAGCTCAGCTCCATCATGACCGCGCTCAACAACAATCCAGGCTCGAGCCCCGAGCACCAGGCCGATGGCCTCGGCGACGAGGACGATCTCCTCGCCCTCATGGACGGCGCGTAGCATCTGTCATGTCTGCGGGTAGCGCGCCACCGCCGACGGCGGCGTAAACGACTCGGATGCCCACGCCGCAGCCGCAGCCGACGACGACGTCGTCGTCACCAGCGCCACAAGGTCGCGGAGGCCCACCCGCGGCTCGTGTGAAGCGCCTGGCAGTCGGATAAACAGCCGTCGCGTCTTCTCGTTGATGAGCGTTTCGGGGGTGAGCAGTGCGCTGTTGTCATCGTAGTCGCCGCCGTCGTCCGACTCGTCGCTGGCCTCGCCGCCATCGTCGCCGCCGCCACCCTCGCCGCCGCCGCCGCCCTCGCCGTCGTCGCCATGTCGTCTCTTGCTTGCCCGCGCGAGGCCCGCGCCGTGTGCCACCGCCGCACACACCAGCGCCTCCAGCTCGCGTGGGCATGACACCCCGTCAGCACACATCAGCCACCCGCACGCCAGCAACACGTCGGCGTGCGCGGCCCACACCGCCGCAAGCGCCGGCCCCGGGCTCGGCATCCCGACACGATCCGCCACCCGCGCACCGGCCGAGATCAGCCCCGCCCGCCGCTGCGCCACACACGCTCCAAGCAGCGCAAACGCCCGATGAATGGCAGTCAACGAGTCGGTCGCCGCGAGCTCGATACCGGGAACGTCGTAGTACTCTCTGATGGCCAGGATCTCGTCAAACGGAATGGCCCGGCGCGCATCGGCCTTGTTGCCCACAAGAATGAGCGGGACGCCCGGCCCGAGCACTCGTCGCGCGCTGTCAATGTACGCTAGCGCCGGCGCTAGTGAGCTCGCATCGTCGAGCGCGTAGACGACTGCAACTGCCTGTGCTGCCATCAGCGCGGAGACCGCCTGCGGCGCACTCGGCCCGAACAAGCCCGGCACTTCCTGCAACTCCAGCAAGTATGCCGAGTCAGACAGCCGCACTTGCTTCGACGCCCGAACCGCTCCCAAGAACCGGGCCTCGCCATCGCCCGAGCCGGTACCGCCCCCGTTGGAGGTGGCACTCCATGCGCTGTCCATCGACATGGTGTACTGCAGCGACATGGTGCGCGACAGCGATGATGCCCGGTCCAACCGGCCGATCGACAACGATGGCACAAGCTTGTTCACCCGATGCGTGCCGGCACCTGTGCCTGTCCCGTCACCGCCTGCCGCGCCGCCCAACCCCTCGGTCAGCCCACCGTCGTCGACCTCGTCGCCCGTCACCTCCGCAGGCTCGCCGCCGGTCAGAAGCCTCGTTAGCAGCGTCGTCTTGCCCACACGCTCTGCCCCAAGGACAGCCACTGCGAGGTGCGTCACCGGAATGGTCAGTGACGCCGGGTCCACCGACATGCCAAGCGGACAGAGAGGTGCGTGCAGTCGGTGTCGACCGCGGGAGAGCGGGAAGGAGCGGCTGAGCAGCCGGTACACCCGCGGCATGGCTGGCCATTTACCCACTTTGACGGCCATCACGCAACCAGCTCGCCATGCTGGGAAGAGAGCGCGGCCATAGTCTTGGCACCGAGGCGCCCGTCCACAAACAGCTCTTCTGACCGCTGAAAGGCGCGCACCGCGTCGCGTAGGAGTTGCGGGGTGCGCAGGAGCTGGGCGAGGCTGGCGTCCGGATCGAGGTGGCCAAGCCGCGCCAGATGCGCTCGCCGTGCCTCGAGAACGCCCATGACATCGCTGTAGCCTGCCGGATCGAGCCGCCCGCCACTTGCGGCAAGGCCGTGCTTGGCTTGGAACGCAGTGAGCGCGGCAGAGAGGATAAAGCCAAACTGCTCTTGGACCGGGACAAAGACCGGGAGCGCGTCGAGAATGTGCAGCGCGTGCTGGAGCGCCACAACAAGGGCGCGAACGCGGCTGCCCACATCGGCATCGCTCCACAGCGCACCCCAAGACGGACCGTAGGCAGCGGCAACAGCTTCCGCAAGCTCCTCGCCACATCCCAGACTCTCATCCCACGCCACCACTGTGGCGCCCGGGAGAGCGTCGGGAACGACGTGACCCGCGTAGTGCGAGCCATCCACAATGCCGAGCTTCTCAGCCATGACTGCAGTGTACACAGTCCGCGAGACGGCGTCAAAATCGCCGCCGGGAATCCAGAACACTGTGTCCGTGGCGACCGGCGCGCACTGCAACGCTGCCCCGGCATCGCCGGCCACGATGAGCGCAGCTTGCGGCGAGTCGTCGACGGCTTCGTAGTCAAAGACATCGATGCTGATCACTTGCCGTGGCGGAGGTGGGCTGAAAAACACCGAGTCGATGTACGCGGCCTGGGCAGGCGCGAGGTTCGACGAGGCTGTCACCACGCCGGTGACAACGGCAGGTCCGCTGGTGGCGGCCGGTAGCGCCAAGCTACCTGCAGGCACCACTAGCGTCGCTGCAAAGTACTGCGGGTGCCAGAACCAGGCCGGGACTGCCAGCAGCCAGTGATCGGCGACGCGCACCGGCGGGCCGGGCCGAAAGTCAAACTTGTCGTCGGCATCGCAGAACGCCCGGTACCGCTCGCGCTCGGCAACTAGAAACGGTCGACCCTGAAGGCAAACATCGGGCGCAGGCAGTGCGTCAACGTCAAGTCCGGTGACGTACTCGGCGGCGAGCTCGAGCGAGGAGACAACAAAGCCGAGTTCACCAAGCAACAGTTGGTGAAGCGCGTATCGGTTGAGAAAGGCAAGCGTCGTCGCCAGGCCGCGGACGTTGGCCTTGATCACGACGTAAATAAAGGCGGGCAGAAAAACGTCCGTTGAGACCGGGGTCTCGGGCACGGCGGCATGGAGCTCGTCAAACAGCGCTTGTGCGGCTTCAAACAGCGCACGGAGCTTGCGAGACGGGGTCACCGACACGTACACTGCCTTGAGCAGCGCGATCGGAAGCGCAAACGGCACCAGTTGCACAGACTGGTATCGCGGCTCAATGCCAAGCCGCGACTGGGTGACATGGCCAAACGCCTTGCACTGCGCAGCCAGCCGCGCGTCGCCGGCCTCGTCGCGCACAAGCCGCAGCGCCCGGTTGTAAATCGCCGGAAAGACAACGTCCTCTAGCGCATAGACCACCGCGTCGCGGTCGGCCTCGATATGCGGGTGACGGAAGAGCACGAGATCCGCCAGCGCCTCTAGGAAAGCCTGCACCTCGCCGGAGCTGCCCTGCACAATGTCGAACTCGTCGACGAGGGACTGTCCTACGCCGGCCTCGGGCTCGGGCTCGGCATCGGAAACCTCAGGTGTGGACGCCGACTCGCTTTCACTGTAAAAGAGTGAGATAAAGGCCTTGATGTTAAGCGCCTCGACCGTTCCCGGCGGCGAGACAATGGCCTCAAGCTGGGTACGGAGCGTGGTTGCGCCGGCCTCGTCGGCGCGGCCACCGTCGCCAGTCCACGCCTCGCGTACAATCTGGACCGACGACGCCAGACCGCCTGTGCGCGAGCTGCGAGCTCTCGCCATCTGCATCTCACGCATCGTCGTCTCCAGCTCCACCAGGCGTTCCTTGAGCGAGGCGATGACCGCGTCTCCGCCATTGAGAAGCGCGAGCATGCCCGCGACGCTGAGCTTGCCCACGCCATGGACGGCAGCCCGACCACCCCCTGCCGCAGCCTCCGCCCAGGCATCGACCAGCTGAATTCTCCGCAAGTGCACCTCCTTCCGCAGCTGGATCCACTCGCCCATAGCCACCGCGTGCTGACCGCCATCGTCGGCCCGTCCGTCTCGGCCACCCTCTCTCACCTGACCCTCCCGCTCCCCAGCAACCTCAAGGTGCTCCAGCAGCAGCAACGAGTTGGCCCGAATAGAGGCCAGCGCCTGTGGCACATCGACCTCCCCTTCGCCAGCCATATGCAAAACTACGTCGAAGCGTTGGGTCGGAGTGGGGTGGGGTGGAGTGGGGAGGGGTAGGGGGAGGGGGGTAGGGGGAGGGGGTAGCTCAAGTCTGAGCAGAGGGAGGGGAGGGGAGGGGAGGGGAGGGAGGAAGGGAGGGGGAAGGCACGACACGACACGACGAGACAAGACACAGCACGACACTCCTTTCTCTGCCTTGCACTCGGGTACAACAGCTCGCTTACACAGCTCGACGTGGAATAGGGCAGTGAGGGGACAGTGTAGGAGGTTGTGGTTGTATTCTGTTCTTGGCTGTTGGCGCACAGTCCTGCTCAGTACCTAGCTCTCGCTCGCAGACACACACACACACACACACACGCACACACACACACACACACACACACACACACACGCACGCACGCACGCACGCACGCACGCACGCACCTCGCCAATCATGTACTATGTCTATCTTGAGCATGACTCGATGCTTGTTGGCTTTACCGCTGTTGCCTCGCTCGTCTTTAACGCGTCGGTACTGGTCATGGTCTCGGTCCTCTCATCACGGACGCTGGTAAGCATCGAGAGCGAGTAAGGGGGGGGGGGGGGGGGAGGGAGAGATCGCCTCTTTCTCACACCATTCGAAACGTACAGTTTCTTGATCTCTCGTATCCGCTAGGCCTGGTGCTGATCACGGTGCTGACGATGCTCGCCAACAACGCGCTCTCACTGCGATCGCAGGCGCTGCTGGTAATGATGATCATCTGGGCCATGCGGCTGGCGTTCCACCTCATGTTCTATCAGTTTTGGAGGCCGCCGTCGCGGCGAGCGCACCTCCAAGATCGCTATCGTGCGCTGTGGGAGTCGCTGCCGCGGCGGGTGAGCTACGTCATCGCCCAGGCTAGCGTTATGACGCTGATGGGCATTGTGCCGGCGTACACCAACCGCATTCCGGACCGTGTCGGCACGGTCCTCTTCCCGTTTGCCGAGATCGAGTACTGCTCGCTTGCCACCTTTGCCACCGGCATGGTCCTGGTCACCCTCGCCGACGGCGCGCGGATGGTGAGGGTGCACAAGCAGGTCAAGGCCGGAGTCAGGCACGTCCGCTCGCGATCGGGCCTCTACGGCGCTGCGCTCTACCCGCACTACGTAGGCGAGCTCCTTGTATGGCTCGGCATGTCTCTCATGCCGCTTGCGCAGGCTATCCACACCCTCGAGCCGGCCTGGCACATCGCAGTCATCTTTCTCCCGCTCGCCCACCTGCTGGCGACCGTCACCTTTTTCGCCGGCATCTGGTCCTCGCCCGTCGCCACATCCTCCGAGCCGACGCCCAAGTATCTCGACGATCCGCGCTTCCGCTTCTACTACGCCCGTACTCCGGCACTGCTTCTTGGCTGCAAGGCCCGGTCCGGCTTCACCCTCGACTTTCGCACCCGCCTCGGCTGGTCGCCGCTCATGTACGCTCTCGCCGGCCCGCCCCCGATCCCTACCTCGGCCAAGTCATCATCTCGCTCTGGGCGTGCCCCTGTCCATCGCACCACCAACCGCTCTACTGACGCCAGAGAAAAGAAGGATTGAACCTGCTGATGACCTGAGTCACCGTGGTGTGCGACCATGTCCGCGCCGTCCCACAGCCGTCATAGCCTCATGCCTCGGCCTTGGCTTCGTAGCTATGCTATGCTTCTGCCAAGACACACTTCTCGCACAGCACAGCGCGCCAACATCCAACCAGTACGCGTATTCCGAATACACCTCACCCCTCCCCCCCTCCACCCCTCCACCCCCCCCTCCATACACACATACATCCCCTTTCGCTTCCCCTCTGCCGCACGCCAACTCACGCGGGGTGTGCGACCCGGGGATCAGATGGCGCGCAACCAGAGGACCGCCTGGTCTGGGCGAGCTGCGCTGGTGCTTCTGCCGCTGCTGATGGCACTGGCCATGGTGGTCGGCATGAGCAGTGCTTCACCTGCAGGAGCTGCCTCCATCTCGTCGCTCAACCTGCTCCTTCCACATGGTGCGACACACTCGCTCTCGGCTTCCGGCGGATGCTTTGCCTGGGAGTCGTCGAATCCCGAGGTGGTGGCCTTTGCTCCGGCTGCCGCGGCTCGATCGGCTCCGGCCACGGGGCTCGACTGTGTTGACGAGATTGTGCTCACTGCGCATGCGCTGCCCGACGGCGAGCGGGCCTCGGTCTGGGTCTTTGCCTCTGACCGCGCCACCGGCACGGTCCTCCGCTGTGAGGTCTTTGTCGACACCATCGCCTCGCTTGCCATCCTCACCACGTCGCGGACCATGTACCGCGGCGACGCAGAGGTCATCGAAGCGCAGGCCTTTGACGCCCAGGGCAATGTCTTCAACTCGCTCTCGGGCCTCCGGTTCGCCTGGTCGGTCTCGGCGCCCAAGGTCCTCGCCATGGCTCACGCCGCAGACTACGGCATGGCTGAGGCCGAGCATGACCGCGGCCTGCACTCGTTCCAGGTTGTGCTCCGCGGCGAAGCAACCGGCACGGCCACCGTTGCGCTGCGCCTCTCTGGTGAGGACTCGGCGTCGGTGGAGCCGGCCTCGGCCGACATTTCCGTCCTCGAGCCACTGCACCTCGAGCCGTACACGCCTGTGGGCCTTGTCCCTGGCACCCAACTCCAGTACAAGCTCTTTACCCGTGGCGCCACCTCATGGGCTTCCAACGCCACGGCATCGGCGTCGGCGCCGCTGGTGGGCATACCCATGCCGGATGCGAGCTACTCCTGGTCGTCGTCGGACGCCAAAGTGCTCCACGTCGATCCGGCGACCGGCCTCGCCACCGCGCTCCGCCCTGGCGTCGCCACCGTCACCGTCTCGGCCGCCGACCTCGAGCTCAACTCGGTCCATGCCCTTGTTCGTGTCGCGCTTCCGGACTATCTCACCCTCACCGCGCAGCCTATTCGGACAAGTCCACGCTCGCTCGCCATGCCCGCGCCGTGGACCCTTGTGCACGAGGCTCGGTACGAGGTCGCCGTCCATGTCCACGACTCGGACGACCGCGAGCTGCTGGCGACTGCCAACATGCACTTTGAGGTCGAGCTTCCGCGCGAGCTCGTCCAGCCGCGCAACACGTCGGCCAACGGCGCTGCAGTGTGGGCGATGACCAAGTCCGCGTCTGGGCCTGGCTCGGCTACGGCCCGGCTTGTCCGGCTCTCTCGTCCGCTCTCGCTTGCCTCGCATCTGGCTTCGGCTCTCGCAGCCGTTGATCTCACCGCCCGGGCCGTCGACGGCTCGGCCGAGTTTGTTGTCGGTCCGCCGCTCGCCCTCTTGCCCAGCGCTGTTCACCTTCCGCCGGGCCAGACATTTGCCTTTGCGGCATCGGGTGGCTCGGGCGTGTTCCACTTTTCGACGGCTTCCGCGAGTGGCCACCCGCCGTTCTCGCTCCTCGATGCCGCCACAGGTATCATTGAGGCGCACGCCCGTGCTGGCGCCGGCAAGCTGTATGTCAGCGACACCTCTGATCCGTTCAACGGCGTCGCCGCCAACGTTACCGTCGCCGAGCCGGCTGCGCTCGGCTTTCCTGACCAGCTGGTTGAGGTCCAGGTCGGGAGCGCGCTCGAGGTATCAGTCCAAGTCCTCGACGCCCGCGGCGAAGCATTCACCGCCTGCTCGATTCTCCCGTTCCGGTTCCGCATCACCGACCCGGGCATTTTCCGGCTCGACACATCGAGCGGTGCGTCACTCGCGCCCGGCGGCTGCCACGCCATCCGCGTCCGGGCTCTCGGCGAAGGCACGGCCACGCTTCAGGTCTCATTCGGCCCGCACATGGCCGAGCTTGCCCTCTTTGCCACCCCGCGGTGACAGCAGGCACGCCAGGCGCGCTGGTGGCGCTTGGCACCTCGTGGACGTTTGCCTTTGCCGGCGGCCCTGCGCCTTGGGTCTTTGAGCCGTCTACCCACAAGGTCTCTCTGCTGGCGCCGGGCCAGCCGTCAGGTGCAATCCGCATCGAGCCGGTCTCCGCCTCTGCCGGCTACGCGTATCGGGTCACGTGCTTGCAGCATGTGGACGCAACGCTTGTGTTTGCCGTCACCAACGCACCGTCTGCGTCTAACCCGGTGCCGGCGCGCGAAACGGTCGACGTCGATTTTGTCTGCGCCCCGCCGCACACCCTCGACGTGAGTGTTGGCGAGCGCGAGCTCGGCGACGAGTGCAGCTCGGTGCGGGCGCCGGTCGGCACTTCGTCGGTGGCCTCGTCATACACGCTGCAGGCGAACCAGGACGTTCGGCTGGCAGTCCGGGTCCTTGCCGAGAACGGCGCCGTGTTTGACAACGCCACCTCGCTAGCTGTGACATGGGCGGCGACACCGGCGAGCGCTGCGCTTGACGCAGGCAACGGCGTTGCCATGCTCTCGGTCGGCGAGCAGGCGACTTCGCTCGAGCTCCGGGTTGCTGTCTCGGGCTACGCACCTGAGGTGCTTTCTGCGGCGCGGACGCGGACGCTTGGCGCTGTGGCACGGTCGCGGTGGTCGTCGCGGGCGCGTCTGGAGCACGTGGTCGAGCTCGAGGTCCGCCCGGCGCCGGTTGTCGATCCGCCTGCGGTTGTCCTCTTCTCGGCTGCCGACAACAAGGACTCTGTGGTTGTCCGCCACGGCTCGGGCCACGTCAGCTTTAGCCTGGCCGAGACGAGCGGCGCCGAGCCGGTGGCGATTACGCCGCTCGGGCACGGGGTTCCGGGCGTCTCACTGGTTCCGCTGGCGATCGGGACGACGACGCTGGTGGCGAGCGACACGTGCCTCGTGGGTGGTGCGCCGCTGGCTATTCCGGTCACCGTGGCAGACCTTGCGAGTGTCGAGCTGAAGCTCCCGTCGATGGTGCACTACGGATCCGAAGTCGAGGCAATGATCACCGTGTATGCGCCAGGCCACAAGGCGTTCCCTGCGCCGCAGTTGGCGTTTATGGAGGTGCGGCTGGTGATCGACGACGAGGCTGTAGTGACGGCGGTGACGCTCTCGCCGTCGGACCTCTCGCGGTACAAGATCCACGGGCGCGAGCTCGGAACGGCGAGGTTGACAGCAACTGTGACGACAGCGTCAGGTGTGCAGCTCAGCTCTGGCGCACATCACATTTCGGTCTTCCCACCGCTCCGGCTCGAGCCTGCCAGCATCGAGCTGGTGTGCGGGGCGTCGGCGCAGGTGCTTGTCCTTGGCGGGCCGTCGGCACACGTCGAGCACGTGCACAAGATCAGGGACTCGGGTGTGGCGCAGGTGGCAAACCCGATGACTGGCGAGGTTGTTGGCCTCGACGTGGGGACAACGGTGCTCACCGTGGCAGCGACCGGGTACGAGACAGCGGCTCAGGCGTCGATGGTGTATGCGTCGGCGACGGTCCCGGTTACGGTCCGCAAGCTTGCGGGCGTGCGGATTGCGGTGCCGAACGCGGTGGTGCTGGCCGGCTCGCGAATTGCGCTGGCCGTTGAGGGCTCGCGCGGCGAATCGCCGCATACGTTTGCCATCCTTGCTGCAGGGAGGAAGCCGAGCTTCCGGTGGGAGGTGACGTCGGGCGCCGGCGTGGTCGGCCTCGCGTCACAGCACGAGGCCAAGGCGACTGCTGTGTCAGCCAACGGCGACCTCTCGATCATGGCGTGGGCGCTGTCGCCAGGAACAGCGACGGTGTCGGTGACGTACGAGGCCGATGTGGCGTGCGGAGGCGAGACAAGCGTGGTGTCGTACACCGACTCGGTGGTACTCACTGTTCTCCCGGTGCTATCGCTTGTTGTGCCGCCGCCGTGCGAGCCGCTGCTGGTCATCCACCCACTCGGCTCGGCATGCATCGCCACCAACCGCGACGGTCTGCGGTCATCGTCGCTCGAGTTTGCGGTGGTGAGTGCACCGCCGGCCGAGCTGCGGCCGCCGACGTTGGCGCGGATCCGCAAGGTTGGAGAGGACGCCGATGAGGTTGAAGAGGACGCCAGCGAGCCGCGGATGATTCCGGAGCACGGTGGGAGTGGCGTGGCCGGGCACGCCGAGCTGGTCGTCGACGGCTCGGGCTGTGTCCATGCCAGCGCCAAGATGGGGACCGGGTTTGTGGCCGTTCGTGACACGTCTGACGGCGAGTTTGTGCTTGTGGGCGTCCGTGTGGCGGCCATTGACCACATTGCGATTGTGCGGACTGACGAGGACGTCGAGAGTGGCGAGGCGAGTGCAGGTGGCGACGCGGCGCTCCCGATGGGCGGGGTGCGGCGGTACGAGATCCGGGTGCTCGACGACCTCGGGCGGCAGTTCTCGGTGCCTGCGGCCAAGCTCGAGTTTGCGGTGAGCGTGTCGCATCCGGGGCGGGTGGCCGTGACGGTTGCCGACGACGGCTCGCTCTCGGTCCGCGGGGCGTCGCAGGGCGCGGCTCTGGTCTCTGTCGCGCTGGCGTCGAACAGCGAGGTGGTGGGACATGTGCGTGTTGTTGTGGGCGAGGCGGTGACGCCTGCATCGCCGCGAGTGGCACTTGGCGGGCGGATCCAGTTTGCACTCTCGCCAGCGTTTGTGGCCGGGGTTGCGGCTGACGGTCCAGTGAGCACGGCGACGGCGCAGTGGAGCTCCGGTGACGCGAGCGTGGTGGCGGTCGATCCTGTGACCGGGGCTGCGCGCGCCGTTGGGCTCGGGACGACGACGGTGCACGTGGTGCTCGGCCACGAGCGGACGTACACGCACGTGTGGGTTGTGGAGCCGGTCCGGGCCGAGGTGGGCAGCGAGGCCGGCGGCGCGGAGCTGATGACCAACGTGGGCGTGACGGCCGATGGGCTCCGGCGCGAGTACCTGTTCCCGGTCACAGTTTGGGGCGGGGCCAAGGGCGGGGCCGAGTGGCCGCTTGCGCTCGGCGAGAGGAGCGGGCTTGATCACAAGCTGCCGCTAGTGTGTAACGTCGAGCCGCGCGGCTGGGCGCTGGCGTCGGCGAGCGGGCGCGGGTGCGTGGTGACGCCGCTCTCTCCGGCAGTGACGGACCTGCTGCTCCCGTCGACGCTGCGCGAGCTGGAGGTAGTGGCAAAGGTGGGCGAGGTGAGCGGCTCGCGCAAGGTTGCGTACGCGCCGGCGTTCTCGGTCTTCCCGTCTGCAGGCGTCTCACTCTCGCAGTCGTCGCCGTCGGCCGAGGTAGAGATTCTTGGCCCGGGAAGCGAGATGGCAGTGAGCGTGGCCGGAGCGAGCGACAAGGTGGCGGTGGCGACGACGTCAAACTCGTCGTCGGTGGTGGTCCTCCAGGTGGTGCTGACCGGCACCGCGCCACGGAGCAGCCCGTGGTCTGACGTCGAGCTCGTGCTCGTGTCGACAGTGACCGGGCAGGAGATGCGGCTGCGGGTGCTGTACGATCCGGCCGGAACCGGGACGGCAGCGCGGCGGACGTCGCGGGGCTCGGGCCGGATCGACGTGCCGAGCAACAGTGCCGGCGTCTCGGTCGACGCAACGCATGCGCAGCGGGCGACCCGCACCGCACCGCCGCCGACGCCGACCCCAGAGGCTGGAGGCTTGGCGGCAGCCGGGCGCGACGACGCTTGGGACGTGCCGCGGAACCACAAGGTGGCCGCCCACGGCGGCTCGGGCTTTTCGTGGTGGTACGTGTGGCTGGCCATGGTTGCCGTGGTGGCGGCGGCGGTGGCGGCACGAGTCTGCGCTCTCCCGAGCATGCAGCCCGTTGGCGCACCAGCGCCTGACACCCGCAAGATCCCCGAATCTGCCCACGTCGCCGGCGTCACCCGCACGCCCGCGGGCTCGGCCACCTTTGATATGGTCGCAGCTGGGCTCACTCCGACCCGGCCTGGGGCTGGCGCTCGCACCGGCCCGGCCGCGAACACCACCCCGACCCGGCCGATGATGTCATCGCGGACACAGACCCGGTCGCGTGGCCTTGTTGTCTCACCGCGGCTGCGATGATAAATGTGTTGTGAACTGGTGTTTGTGTGTGTGTGTGTGTGGCTGCGGATGAGACAGAGACATCCAGCGATCAGCAATTGCGCCGTGTTGTCGCCCACACGTCGCCCAGCCAGGCAAGCCAAAGGCAAGACATGAGCAGCAATGGGAACGAGGGAGTGAATGCGGCAAAGCGTGCAGCGGCTTATGCAGCAGTCGAAGCCCATGCGGGCGAGGGGATGCGTGTAGGCGTAGGCTCTGGCTCGACGGTGGTGTTTGCGGCCGAGCGGCTGGGCCAGCTGGCCAAGGAGCACGGGTGGACATCGGTGGTGTGCGTGCCAACCTCGTTCCAGTCACAGCAGCTGATTGTGGAGGCTGGCCTGGTGCTCTCAGATCTGAACCAGACGCCCGAGCTGGATGTGGCTTTCGACGGCGCCGACGAGATCGACGGCGAGCTCAACGCCATCAAGGGCGGCGGGGCGGCCCACACCCAGGAGAAGCTAGTGGCGGCCAACGCCAAGACGCTCATCCTGCTTGTGGACGAGTCGAAGGACACCGGGGCACTGGGGACCAAGTGGGCGGTGCCAATCGAGGTCCTGCCGGGCGCGTGGGTTGTTGCCAAGGCTGCCCTGGTCAAAGCAGGCGCCACAAGCGTGGTGCTGCGGATGGCCAAGGCCAAGGCCGGGCCGGTGGTGACAGACAACGGCAACTTTGTGCTCGATGCTGCTTTTGGGGTCATCGCTGCGGCCGACGTGGCCGGCCTTGAGGCGAAGATCAACAACATTCCGGGCGTGGTCGACAACGGGCTCTTTGCCGGCCTTGCCAGCGAGGTCTTTATCGGGCGGAGCGACGGGAGCTTTGAGGTCCGTCGGCGCGAGTGACAGCGGTAGATGCGGGATAAAGCAGGGGTTGACTCACACCACGACGTTGGCGTAGTCCTCGGGATCCTGCCCAAAGTGATCACGGGTACGGAAGGTGGCGCGGAAGCGCGGGCGGGTGCCTGCGGCAGGCTCGTTGGCGCGGAAGATCTTGTCGGGCCTCAGCGGGGCGTAGGGATCCGAGGCACGGACCGAGCCTACCGGGAGTGGCGGATCCTTGGAAGGTGGGACAACGGCGACAAAGTCGTCGGGCACGACGCGGAGGAGCTTGGAGAGGCGGGCCTCGTCGCGGGCGACGTGCTTGGAGGCGTCGTAGGGGTCGGCGCGCTTGGTGGAGGGCTGTGCCACACGGAGGCGCTGGCGCCAGACTTTTGTGCGCGGCTTGAACGGCCCCGCCGGCTGCGGTCGCGTAGCAGCACGCGACGACATGGCGTTGGGCGAGACCGAGGACGGCGGGCGGGGCGGGCCGGTGGCGCGCGGCGCCGGGGCGGCGGCCATCTGGCGGGCAAACGCGTACTTGATCGACTCCTCCACGGTGTCACCAAACGGCGAGATGGGCGGCGGGCGACCGGCAGGGGTAAACACGCCCGGGATGGCGGCAGTGCCGACGAGGTGGTGGACCGAGGTAGCGGCCGAGAGAAAGGCGTGGGCCATGGCGGCGGCGTCAGCCTCTGCTGCCGCGGCAGCCGAGGCAGCGGCATAGGCGTCGAGCTCCTTGCGGACCACGGCGTTGTTCGCCGCCACCGCATCGAGATACGCCCGCCGCCGCTGCATGTCCGCCACATACTTGCGCGAGATGAAGCCACGGAAGACCCGCTGAATGGCTGTGGCTGCGGCGGCGTACCAAGCGGCGGCGAGGGCAGCAGCAGCTGCGTCTACGGCGGCCTCGCCTTCTGCTCGGGCGAGGTGTGCCCGCCAGGCCCGCTGGATAACTGCGGCTGCGGCTGCTGCTTCGCTCGCCTCCCGCCGCACTGCTGCCCCACGTGCTGCCGCCTGGATGGCTGTGGCGGCGGCGGCGGCGGCCGGCGCGGCGGCGGCGGCGGCCGTTGTGCGGGCAAAGACGGCGGCGCGGACATGGGCCACCCCGTGCAGAGCGAGTCGCTCGAACGGGGTGGGGGTGGCCATGAAGGGAGGTGTGTGTGAGGTGTGTGTGTGTGTAGTGTGTGTGGTGTGGGGAGGTGTGTGTGGTGTGGGGAGGGGTGTGTGTGGGGGTGTGGGGAGGGAGGGAGGGGGAGGGGCGACGGGCAGCCAGGCGACGGGCGGTGACAGCAGGTCTCGTGGTATGTTACTCAGAGTGCAGCTTGGGCCCGGTGAGGCGGAAGGCGGTGTGGTTGGAGAGGAGGGCCTTGCCAAAGAAGAGAGCAGCGGTGCCGAGGATGGCGAGGTAGCCGAGGGTCTGGAACATGGTGAGCTGGAGCCAGTAGGTGACGTAGAGGAGGACGATGCCGCCGATGGTGGCGTGGAAGGCCACGGCGTGGATCATGAGCGGCTGGCTGGTGGGGAAGTTGGCAATGTTCGCGCCGGCCCGGAGGAGAAGGAATCCGAGAACCAGGAGCGGTGCGAGGGTGGCGGCGGTAAATGCCATCGAGATGGCGGCCGGCGGGCGGGCCTCGGGTTGGCGGAACTGGTGGACAATGTCCGGGAGGGCGCCCGAGGAGGCCGCAGCTGCCACGGGGGCGTCGGCGCCAAAGTACAGGTCAAAGGTGGCCAGCTCCCAGACAATGGCCTGGGTGAGGAAGGCGTCGCCGATGACGATCTGGGCGGTGTAGCGGCCAGAGAGCGAGCCAAACTCGGGCGCGGCGGCGCCAAAGGCAACCGTCAGCTTGTGGCCGGTCTCGGCCTCATTGGCCGGCACCACAAAGACGGTGTCGACGCCGGTGGCCTCGTTGACAAACCGGAGGAAGACCTGGTGTGGGGTGAGCGGGCGCTTGGAGACTGACGAGCGGATGGCGAGGGCGAGGTCGAGCTCGTGGAACGAGTCGGCGGCAATGACGTCAGGCACCTTCTTGCCGGCCGCGCACGGGTACTTGACCTTCTCCGAGCCGCCGACATCGTCCTGCACCAGTGCCAGCGAGCAGGTCTTGACCTCGGCATCGGTCACCACCTTGGCGTCGATCACCGTAGTCGCAGGCAGCGTCTTGGCGCCGGCGCTCGCAGAAAACTCAAGCATGTAGTACCCGGGTGCAGGCTTAGCCTGCAGGAGCGGAAAGGCAAAGCCACCGGTGACGCCGGCCGCAGGCTCGAGCTCCTGGTTGGCAAAGAGGACCGTGTCCGGCTCAGCCGCCGCGCGTGCAGACTGGAGCACCACGCTGGCACCGGTCACTGCGTTGCCGCGGACATCGGTCACCGCCACCACCACGGCGGCCTCGGCACCCTTGGCCGAGAGCTCCACCGAGGAGCGGACAACCGAGATGACGAGCGGAAGACCGACCGAGTTGGACTGCACAAAGGCAAGCGCGTCGAGGAGCGACGCACCGAGCTCCGGAGCCGACACGCCCTTGCGCGCCAGCACATACCGCGAGAGCGCTGCAACCTGCGCCTTCGACAGCGGGACCGGGGTCTTGAGCGCAGCCGTGAGCGCCTCCAGCGAGCCGAGCACGCCACCGGTCGTCACCAGCGGGTCCACAGACGGCGCCTGCGAGTCGTAGAACGAGAGCAGCTGGCCGTCAGCCGAGCTCTCGGCGAGTGCCATCAGGTCCTCGAGGCCCGAGGCCAGGCCGTCGAGCGCGTCGGCGTCGGCCTCGACGCCGGCGTCCAGCGCCGCAGCCACCACCGGCAGAACCTTGCCAGCCACTGCAATCGAGCCGTACTCGTCGTCGGCCGCCGCCCGGAAGGTGGCGTCCTCGTCGGCAAACTCGAGCAGCGCGTCAAGGGCACCGGCTGGCACCGACTTGCCCGCCGCCATCAGCCCGTCAATGCCCGCTGCCAGATCGACAGCGTTATCCGCATCGGCAGCATCAGTGAGGAGAGCGAGTTCAGCGTCCGAGGCGAGCGGGGTGCAGCTGGCGGCAGCGCGGGCCTTGACGGCAGCCGCCACGAGGACCGGCTTCTGAGCGCCAGCCGCAGCCTTGTTGAGGGCGGCACAGACGCCGTGAGGCAGCTGAGCACCCACAGCAGTCAGAACCTTGACGGCAGCGGCCACATCCTCCACAGCGGCCGAGCTGTCGGTGAGGACGGCGGCAGCCGACGACTGCAGAGCGGTTGCGTCTGCAGCAGAAAAATAGCCCTTTGCTGCCTGGGCCGACCACGGAGCGGCAGCCAGGCACAGCACCAGCGCCACAGCCAGGACGTATTGCGGGTGCACTGGCAGGGGGGTAAGGGTAGAGGTAGGGTGGTGGGTGGTGGTGGTGGGCGGGGGGGTGGTGGTGGACGGGGGGGGGGGGGGTGAGTGTAGAAGGGGGGGGAGGGGGGAAGGGGAGGGGGATCAGCAGGTGGGGAGGGAAGGGGAGTGGGAGTGGGGG